GATACAGGTAGTTACAAATCCATACAAATCCCATTTAGACCTGGTGGTCCGGGACAGGCACCTTTGAAGTCCAACTAATTCAGTGATGACATGGTTTCAGGGTCAACCTTGCCCATGCGGGGCACTTGCCAACAGTAGGTTACAAAGGCCAACAGTATGTGAGCTGTGGGTCGAAACCCTGGTACCAACATCAAACCAGCTGGTAAATGGATGCTGAACCCCCAAAATTTGGTCTCATAGGTTTTAATCCATCCCTGTATGGGTATATGGTGACCCTATAATATCATGTGTACACATCAATGAAAGGGGACGGATTGCACAAATCTTGCGGATGCTGCCGGGGCCAGCAATCCTTCAACCAAGCAGCTGATCTGACAATGCCGTGCCGACACCGCCTTGTCAGGCAACCGCACTGTGCAAGCCTGGCAGCGAAGAGAAGGCCTGGAGTCATTCAAGGGGTTGATTTATGAGGGAAAATCTGAGAGGAAAGTAAGGGTCTTACCCCACATATAGGGTTCTCCTGTAACACTTGTTGGAGTCATGCTGCAACACTTCAAGCACTGCATGAATTTGTTTGAAGAAGTCACTGCTAAGGTCGATTCAATAGCTTGCAGTCATGGTTGTTTTTTGAAGCTCCCATTATGTCTCAAGCCCTTCGCGCACCCGCCTCTTTACCAAGGGTGATCCATTGGTTCGCTGACAGGATGACCGACTGGCACCGTGCAACCCACCAAATCATGTTTATCCTGTTTTGGGGGGAAGTTTCAGTCACAGCCGGTTGAAGTCAGACTTCCCTGGGATCACGTTTCGATGAATTGTAGACGATTAGGGCTAGTGGCAGGAGTTCTCGATGATCGCTTGTAACAGTGTAACGCGTTTCAAAACCTCTCATCATTTCAGAACTCACGTTCACGTAACATCGCACATCGCAACATCGTACGACGACAACAACTGAGAGTCCTAGCTCAGAGTCCTAGTCCTGAATATCTTGGGCACCAATGGATCCCAAACTGGTTGTATTTATGATCCCACCGGCTCCAATTTGGGGCATCATTTTTCGTGCCATAGTTATAGCAGCACCCCAAATCTCTTGACCATTTCCCCAAAGTTGATTGTTTGGTGGTAAGTTTATAACCAATATACAGGTATATACTATTATAATATCTATTATATACAGTACATGTGTTATTCAGACAGAAATGGCTTATCAACTGGGTTATCAACAGCAACTGTTCAGTTCCATTTTAGCGCACCTTATCATGCCGTCTGCCACACCAAAGAACCGGGCATGGACCCTGAAGCGGGTGAGAACTCGATGTCATGTTCGATCACTTCTACATGGCCTAGAATTATGTTAACTGGCTGGTGGTTTTAAGCATCTTGAAACATATGAGTTCGTCATTGGGAAGGATGACATCCCATATATGAAATGGAAAATAACATTCATGTTTGAAACCACCAACCAGTTAATGAAGGTCACTAGTCATCTACAAGGATTTTTTGCTATACTGTAACCTGGATAAAGTAATAGTTTTTCAGCATAATGAAAAACGTACCAATTCCACGGTAAAAAAAGGGATATCCAGGGTGACCATTCCTAATTGCCCGTTTTGAGGTCAGCTATTCAGGGAATCAGGGAAAAACCCATAGATTTTTCACAGCTCTCAGGGGCAAACTTGGGGAACTGTTTCCATGTACCCTGAAATTCTGGGGATGAACTAGCTAAACTCATCAAATAATTGGGATTTCAATCTGTCCTCGAGCTTGGGCACATTTGGTGCAGCTGAAGGCCCTCAGTGCCGGACTCCCCGTGGCCCAGTATGAGCTGTATAACAACCCCAAGTCATAGAAATAGATAGGGAAACCATGGAACACCTGGAATTCTTGGATGAATTGAATGGGATTTCATATGGAATCTAATGGACATGAGTGGAATTTAGCTGTATACGGACTTGGGTTTTTGAGTGGTTACTATATTAGTTGTATGCTATTCAACAAAGCCAACATTATAGTGATTTGTTTGTTGTTGTCTATCTTTGTTGAGGCTTTTTAGCTGAAACTTATATATTCATGGGTGACCGATGGACCGATAGAGATCGATTTCGATAAGAATGGAAGAACATCAATAATGCTGGGTCAAAATTCGAACTACTATGATTGCATATTGATTTTTCTGAAATAGAGTGTATATATCTGAATATTGATACATCTATGTATATATATCTTGCCCTAACTGTATTTCTGATGTTTCATCTAAGGTGGAAACTGCGATCCAGGTGAGATTAAGTATGAAAATGGTACTACATGTAACGGCCATTTATAGAATGCACCTATGAATTCCCGGGTAGGTACACTTGTATACATATATAAAATATAAAATATAATATACAGTAATATGTGTATAATTGTATATATATATATATATGCAGTACATCCGTATATGTAATGAGGGCGGCTTCGCCTGGGCATTGATTGAAGTTACACCCCCAAGCCCCGACCTCTACTGATGGCCCTGGTCAAGAATTCTTGGATTCAGCATGGATTTTACGGATCACATAGCAGAACACCATCTACCTGGACCCTCCGTTTGTAAGCGCAAAAATTGGTAACAGTCCCAAGTCATAATGGGAAGAATGGGTATGTTACCTCATTTTTCTAGGTACCTTGAGGGTCTAAGTGAACAGCTACAAGAGACTATTTCCTGATGTACGGTAGTTTACATGTATATTTTGTTGGGGATCGCTTCAACCCCAACCCTCCACCTGCGGCTTCTCTGGGTTTCTCTGCTCTGGCCCATCGATTGGTTCGTTTGGCCCATGGGCGGGCTGGTTGGCATCGGAGGGCTCATTTGGCTCATCCTGACCATCGGCGTGGTGAAGGCCGAAGGAAACAACACTCTAACAGGATTGCTCCCAACACCCCAGGTACAAAGGGGGGCAAATGGATGGATAAAAATGTAACATATTGGAAACATACTAAATTTATCCATAAATCCGCCGGCCTGCCGGCGTGTCTTGTGGATCTTGCTTGTTCGTAGTTGTACTGTTTGTTTAGTCTTTTGTCTTTGTCTAGACTTTTCTTTGGCGCGGATTTTTGCCCCGTCTAACTTGAACCCACCCAAACCCCGCTTACGCAACACAAATCTTTTCTGTCTTCTCTTCGTATTTTTCCTCTGTGTCTTTCGTTGCAATGTGCTGGGTTCGTCTCTGCCCCCGCCTTGCACACCGTGCGCGTGTTCTTGTTTGCTCCACTGCGTCCTGCGCTTCACGTTCTTGGTTGGCTAGCTGGCTTGCTGTTGTCTAAGCTTTCTTCTGCCGCCGTTGCTTCGCCATGAATGTGCTACAAGGGCTTTCTAGGGCTGCCGCCCCGTCTACACAACAGCCTTGGTTTAGCCAAAAGCTTTGCTGCGCTCAAACCCACTCCTGTACAGACCAACCCTGTCTTACACAAGTGCCCTGCCCGGCTTCCTCACCTTCATGCTCTTGCTGGGTCGGCTGCTTTGCTACTCTCTCTCTCTTGACTGCACTGAAGAGCAGGGTTGGTTCCCACCTTTTCAGGGTCTAGGACTTCTATCTTGGTGAGCAAGAGTAACACCAGCCTTTTAGGAACCAAATCCACAAAATGCTCACTTTATCGTGGCGGTACCGCCGAAGCCAGCCTGGGGTTGCAACTTACACTTGTACAAAACCCTCAACCATCATCGATAAATTTCGATTTCATAGTCAGGTGCTGTTTCGCCCTTGCTCTTTTCGACTCTGGGCTGGGTCATCTGTCGCTTGGCTCCGTTGCGTCCATGGCCCCAAATCTACACCCCTATCCTGACTGCTGCTACGCTTTACTGCATGCACTTGCGCTTTATCTCTCCTATGCCATGTCTCTGCGTTGAAGGTCTGAGAAGCCGAAATAGCTCTGGCCGTGGTGGCCGGCGGAACACGCCAACGGCGGTTAAATTAACATCCATTTATAAAATTTTATCCATTATGTAACATACATTTTGTCCGACCTGTTGCTATAAATTTGCCTGTCCCGGGTTGGAGCACCCGTCGATTCCTGGCCGTGCAAAAAATGGTCCTCAGAAATGGGTCCCGCGTGGCATCATCGTTGTCTGCCACTTCCTGCAGTCCATAGGTGAACATCCCTTTGTGGCCATAAATAAACGGCTAAAAGATGCTAAAAGTCCCAAGTCATAATGGGTATATTTTTTATTATATGGGATATACATGGATATACAATTTTTCTAGGTACTTGGAGGGGGTACAGGTGACGATCGCCATCATCTAATCGCCTTCTTCTGCGAGATCGGCTGCGCCTTTGTTTGCTTTGCCTCATGACGGAGCCATCCCAGCCATGATTTTGTCGAGTCAGTTCCAAGATTTTGCTGGACTAACCATATACCCATAGGATCCATGGTGCTGGTATATATGCTAACATAAAGGGGGTATATTGATGGGATCCATGTTACCATGTATAGCAGCACCATGGATCCGTCATGGGATATAGGTTTACCATTGATTGCTGGATTTACCCATGGGAAATATGGGAACACATATCTAACTCTTCCAAACAAAAATGGAAACAATGAGGAAATCACAGAGCTAGGGAGCTAGGGCTTCATATGACTTCCCTTGGTCTTCGCTCTCAGCCCTCTTGAAAACATGGATGATCACTATGGGATACCCCCATGTCTTGGGAAACTCCCATATCTGGTTGGTGGTTGAGCCACCCCTCTGAAAAATATGAAAGTCAGTTGGGATTATTATTCCCAAAAAATCTAGAAAGTCATAAAACATGTTCCAAACCACCAACCAGATATGTTCCATTGTGGTCCCATTGCCTGTCACTTGGGGAAGTAATCTAAGAATCTTCCGTACCTTCCGGAAATTGGTCAACATGTCCGCATCGCTGTCGGAGTCTGGAAGATCTGCCACGCTGGGAGCTGAATGTCTGCGAAAGAATGGGTAAACGTTAACAGTTTGCTATTGAAAATTGCCATTTATAGTGGATTTACCCATTAAACATGGTGATTTTCCGTAGTTATGTTAGTTTACAAGAGGGTACAGATGGGCACAGTACAGAAAGATCATCCGTGGCACCATGAAATCATTGGTGCTCAGGTATTTGTTCAAGTGTTTTTGGAGCTATACACTTCAGCAAATTGATACCCAAACACTCCAAGCAGTACCCATCAAAAATAGGTAAACGTCTCAAGTCACAGTGAGTTATATCCCTATGTCTATATCGCCCCATTTTTCTGACACTTGAAAGGTCTATGATCCGACCCGCCCGGTGCACCCAACAGCGAAGCCGCTGTTGCCCGTTTAAGCGCGCCTCTCTGGGTGAGGCCCTGAGCAGTTTTCATGGGAAAATAATTAGTGTATATCACTATCCCATAATTGTTATTTAATCCCATTGAAATATCCAACAATTAATTATCCGATATTCATTCTATTTAGTGAATCATTTTGTGAATGAATGTTTCTTCACTATTATTGTTATAATTAACAACTAATCACTAGCCTGAATAATTCGGCTACTGTTGGATGATTTTCCATATATATATATATATACACAATTATACACACATCATCACATTGAGGTCACAGCGAGGTCGGAACATGATTTATCCAAATAGGATAAAGCAGAAACCTTCAGCATTTTCCTGAACTTTTGAGACACACCCATATTTCTTAGATTTGGTTTAAGGGAAAATGATGAACATGTACAGTTGGCAGCCCCATATCTGGAGTTAGAACCGGGATTTCCTCAAACATGTTCCCTCAACCAAAATCAGCACGGGATGGCATGCTGCCAAAATTCACCCACCTCCCGGCGGCGAAAACTCCAATGCGAAGAATCCCACTTTGGTTTTTCGTAGGACAGTAGGACATCACATATCACATCATTGACACTTATATCAATCAGTGGGATAATGTCCTATAAAAATGGGATATAAATGTCATATATCACATATTCATACATATTCGCCTTCCATTTCCAGCATCATAGCATCACTACATTTTGCAACTTGCCCTCAGTCACCCCTGGCCACAAGTCACCCCGTGCCTTGTTGATTTCCAAGCCCGGACCCTGAGCCATGGTTTGGAGCTGCAGATGGGCCAAGCTGATGTATTTCAGGTTCCATTCTCCCGCAAGTTGGGACATACCCTCTGGGAACTTGACAGTTGGCCATGGAAAAGTCAGTCTAAATGGAGGTTTCTAGCTGGGCAAAACATCTATAAATGGGTCATTTTCCATAGCCACAGCTATGTCGAATAACCCACCGGCTAACCCCTATAAATATGTAGCTCCCCTTTGCCCTTATCAAGTGGAATTCCACTCCCAAAATGTGGACCCCGTGGTTTGATTCCATTTCGTGGATGCCTTTAGTGGATCTACATGAAGGCAATGCCTTTAGATGCCTCTAGTGGATCTACAATGGCATCTGGATTTGAGGTGTCGTTTCCCGAGAATCGAAAAAATCGTTTCCCCTCCATCCATCTTAGAAGTTTACATCGCGGAGATACTTGCTATAGTGACATACCCATGCTAGATACTTTCAATTAATCTGGTCTTAATGGTAGACCCTCAACTGGAACCTCCGACTGAATTTGTAGTGGATGGTTTCTGTGTTTAGAGGAGATGAATTCCGGTTGTGAACTGCTCCATCTTAGGGGACAGAAAGGTTTAAGTCTGAACATAGGCTATCCAAAAAATGATGATTATCTGAAATCAATTAATTCATCGCCATTTGTCCGACAAAAAAACACGCATAATATGTATATATATATATATGTATATGTATATATATATGTATATGTATATATATATATATATGTATATACATATGTGTATATATACATATGTATATATATATGTATATATATATATGTATATTTAATATATGTGTGTAAGAACAATATCCAATGATAATTCTGGATTTGTCATGATTTGTCTGAAAACATGATTCATCCCTTCATCCAATGGTTGATCACTGGTTGATCACGATTTTCCTGCCCGTGCACACCTCATCATCACTGAAGAGCTCCGCATCCTGTGGGTCCAGCACATTTAACATGATAAGGATCTCGCTGATCTCACTTTGATGTGGTGTATATATATATATATATTGATTTTACTAATATCAGAGTGATTTTTTGGGTGCTATTTTTGTTTTACCAGTTTCATACATGTCGAATCAAGGTCAGCCCTCATATCGCGGAAGCATCGACCAGATTTTTCCCAGCTTTTTTTCAGATTGGCGAACTGGGTCTACCTCCAGAACTTGGTCTTTGGGATGGAAAAAAAAGTGGATCCCCAGTTGAGTATACTTACTTAGACTTCCTTCTTCCACCAAACAAACAACGAATCGTTGAGAATGACACGATCGATCACACACACATGGTTTTGTGAATCAGAATTTTTGGTCCCACTGAATTTGAAAAAAGTTGCATGTTATACCACTAATATGTTATGGTTATACCATTGATATCATACCACTAATGAGTTAAATAAGTTGAACTTATTTGATACCAGTAATTAATTAATCAATATGTTCCGCGTGACGCGGCCAAGAAAAACCACTTCACTAGGCTTCAATCCAGCCTTCAGGAGATTTTTCCAGCATTCCCTGGCCATGTTTCATAGACTTCCAGGAACCTTGTACCCTCTGGTAAACGTTTACATAACTATGGAAAATCACCATTTTATAGCTGGCTAAATCAACTATTTATACTATTTCGACTGGGCCATGTTCAACAGCTTTTTGTATGTTTACCAGGCCGGGCAATTCTTCACACCATCTCAACACGATCCTGCGAACTCATCAGGCCCATCATGGCGCTTCGAGATGGCCGCCAGGGCCGTCGATGTGGCAGAGGACTGGTAGCTAAGGCTGGCAGCTAAGGCTGATCAACCTTTGTGGTGGTGTTAAAGCACGAGATGAATCACTGGCCAGATTATATATATATAGTTATATAATGTTATATATATATATATATGTTTTTTTGTTGGCTACAAGACAATCACCTAATGCAAATGAGTTCCAATCAAACAATCGCAAGCCATTGTACTATATTCTGTTCATTGCATTCTTGGGGTGTGTCGGCAAGATGGATCTGATCCAGACACTTGCCATCTACCTGGCATTGGCATTGCTGGTTTGCCATTTTCACATTTTCCAATGTCGCTGGAGCCAAATGACTCGAGATGCCGCTCCGCTGTTGAGCAGAATTCGTCGAGCTATGGGAGTCAATTTGTGCGTCCATGGGAGACATATCTTCTACCATGGAAGTCCTCTCTGGTAGGAATGTCTCAAGACATTTCACATGCACTTCACATGCGACTTCGATTCAAAAACATGACGGTCACGGCTGATTGAATCCCGCATCTATACAGAAATCGTTTCTCCATCCAAAGAACAAAAACAGGTGAAAACCACCGTAGTTTCATCGCCTCCGAAAGGTGCTTCCAGGCACATCGCGCACCTGAGCTCGACCATGGGATTTTCATGGCATCCACTGGAAAATCATGGAAAAATCCACTGGAAATGATGGATTCCATCACTTTTTCTATCCATCTACGATCCCACTTTATGCATTGAAACAAAAACGGTGAAATGATTGGGTCCAACTCTTCACTGAACAATCACCAGTTATGATCCAGTTATCACTGGAAACCATAGACCAACAATCACTGCAACAAATAAAACAAGTTAGTGTGGGTCATGAACATATCCCGTCTATCAGTACCTTCTCAAGCTGGCCCCATGATATTCCAAGAATTGGTATTTTGCAACTGCCATTTTGGAACGAACACCTGCAGAAACACCGGTGTGAAAACCATGCAGAGTTGCAGTCTCAATTGTATCAATGTCACATGATTACCCCCGGAAGGACCAACTTCAATGGTTGTAACCCTTGAAAACTTCAGTGTCCAGTGTCCAGGCTGAGTCCTCCCACACCCAAGTTTTCGAACACCAGAAACCTTTGCAGTTCGGAAAGGTGGCGTCCAATGACTCAGATTGAACAACCGGTGATTGTTGCTCGAACCTTGAAAAGATAGATGTGTCAGTCTGAGTGCCCACTCTTCCATCATGACAGGACACAATAAACTAGCTGATAACTACTGCGAAGCCACCAGGGTGCTTGCTGCTCAATCAGCCCCACATCAAACAAAAAAAAATCAAGTGGCTCTGACAGGGGTGGTGAAAAGACCTACAGTACCAGAGGATAGAAATCAGCCACCTATTGGGGAGAGTGTCTTCACTATCCATGCATCGAGATGTGGCTAAAAATCCCTCAGTGAGAACATTTGGCTTTGACCAAGCCACTGAAATGCCACGGTTTCAATCCCTATTTTCCCTCTTAAAAAAAAAAAAACTGTTTTTATTGGGTACTATATCCTTCTTTTAACCAAACTCTGGTTAATATATGTTTTTTATTTTCAAAGGTTGATATGTTGATTCTTCAAGGTTAACTCCCCATGTGTTTGATGGTTCAACAATCCCGTAAAGCTATGTAAATTTCCCCAATTGTGCCAATAACATGGTTGTATGGTTGCTCTTGTCACCCATCTCTGATGCCGAAACTATGAAACTCAGCTTCTGAGGCTTCAACTGCTTGGGTGCCTCGTTCGGTTTCTGCCCCTGACAAATGCTGAGAGCCCACAGCTGGATGATGATGACAAGTAGTTGCGGCAAACAAACATTAAAATCATGAAACTTCAATCGGAATATTGGCATGTAAAAAGATGCAAAATCAACATCACAAAATATCACAAACATGAAGTCAATTGGAATAACTTAAGAACATTAGCATCGACCATCTGCGACATGGCGCTGGTTATGTCCGGCGATGGCCTCAACGTGGCTCTCCAGTACACCTTCGTAGTCAAGGATATACCTGGACATGCTACCGGCAAAGGATCTTCAAGCATAACTCCTTGGTGGAGACATGAAACAGTAGAGATTGTCCTTCTTGATCTTCTTGGGTCCTTGAAACATTCTTTTTCTTCGAGTGACCCCCACCCTGAAACACTATTCTGACACAGTCTCTGACATACTATCTGTAAGCATATATGGCATATCATGGCATATCTATTCTGACATTCTCTCAGGCGTCTGGCTGAGGTCCGGCAGTGCCGAGATCCGGAGCTCACAGGATCCAGATCCGAGGCTACGGGGGGAGAAGACCTGGCAGGTGGGGAACAAAAAATAGTCACACTCCTGAATCCTAACGTGGAACTGCAGGCTATTCCTGAGGGCTAACATGACACCATGGTATGGTCTCGAGTCGATTTTGTTCCCCAGGAAATCATGCAACTAACTTGTTTAATAAAGTCACTCCAAAACTGACATGGAGCCCACTGCAGGCCCGACCTGAACCCACACTGCACCCTGAAACATGGATTTCCATATTGTATCTGCGTTCAAATTTGTGGTTGACATGTTTATCATTGTCCGTCCCCGACTGAGATAGGCCAATCTCCAAGCAAGCTGCTTGATTTCAGTGGTTGATCGTCATGAAGCTACCATCGTTGGCTTGCAAACAAACTAATGTGGTAACCCCAATAGTAAAGCATCCCAAAAACTTCCATAAATGGGTTCTATAAACCATCCCCAAATGGTAGGTTTATGATTGGCTTTCCCACATTAGTTCATTCATGGTTGAGCAAACCCTATGAAGAATGGTGGTCCTTTGGACATCCCTGTTCCTATTTATAGGCGTATGTTATCAAGACGTATGACACATGATTGAAAGCACCAGTTGGTGAGCTACCGCTTAAGGAATACATGATGAAATTGACACCTGCCATCACATACTTCAGGGTATTAACATGTGTCACAACCAATAATAAAATACATTAACTTATACATATCATATGATGTAAACCAGTAACCCGATCATCTAGTTTAAACTATGTACATAATTATCCAGATTTACATTGTTCAAAATGGATCAAGTGGAGTGTGAAGACTATTAAAAAAACGCATATATATTTAAGAACGAGATGCGGTTAAACAGCTAGAGCTGATCAAAATTAGTGTTTTTTGATCTGAAGGCTGGGTTAGACCATTCTATTTGTTCACAACCACCCCGGATTACAACAACAATCTAAAAAAACACACCTTATAATTCATCAACATGTTTCAGAATCAAATTTACCCACTTCTATTTTTCTGAATGGTTGCTAGTTGCTCTAACCATTTACTCACCATTCAAAAAACCATTCGCCGCGACCAGGGGGCACTCCAGCAACGCCTCAAAGGCCCCAGCATCTTCACTTCGCAAACGCCGCACCTGGTGGAAGTTCTCCAACTACGGGGTTCAACTAGGAAGAAATCGATGGAAAGTTGGGTTGTTTTATGTTGTTTTCAAATGTTGAACCCAAAATTTCCATGGCTTTCAAAATGAGGCTTCGAATGCGATTTTAACACTGGGTTATAACATTGGCTTTTCGTGGAGAACATTGCTTCTTTGATGGGGGACATTGGTTTTTAAATCGGGTTGAATAGCAGTTACAATGGTTTTTTTTGGATGGGGTCGGTATAATGGGCCTGGCGGCCTGGTCCCTCAACATGGGTTGATCCGTAAGTCCTTGCTGGATGGACCGGCTCCAACTATCCGATTCAAGCCATGACTCCGCTGATCCACTCCGTAAATTGCTTGGAGATCTAGACGCTCTATCAGAGTTGGATTTTTCTTCTGAGAAAAGGCTCAAGACAACCACGAAATCAACTTCAAAAAATGTATGTATGTATATATATATATATATGTATATATATATATACATATCCATTCCACTTTTCATACGCAGGCAGGCAGCGGATTCTTTTGATCTGATTCCATCCCTGGTTCACCCCTCGGTGTTGTTCCACCGCTTTTGGAGCTGCCCCAGTGCTTTTGCCTGACTAAAGGGATAGTACAACCAGCTCTATGCTTCACTTCTGGGGGTAAACTTAGCATTTGCAGGCGCTTAAATTTTCAAATGCAGTGCTAGTTTCAATAACATGAACATTGATTTATAGTCAATTATATAAAGTGTTTCTGAATTCATCAATAGACGTTAGCAAAGACTTTGAAGATGCCACACTGAGATACACTAAGCATTGAAGATCTTCAACTTTTCCCCAATATACAGCACTCCATTCAAACAGGCTCCAGCATAGCTGCGGCATTAATATTTGCCTCACAACATCTGAGCCGCAAGGACTACCGTCGGCGCCAGTCGGCTGTTATCATCCTCCATCAAACTTTATCATTCTCAACCTGATGAAGTTAACCAAAACTATAACCCAAACACCGCTTGACAAGAAAAATATTCTTAACACTCACTTTAGACAGGTCTTAGATTCAAGAAGAGACACGTCTTCTGTCAAGTTCTCAGCACACATTTAGATCGAAATCTCGGATATGGTCCCTATGTCCCCATGTTATATCGCTGTCAATTGCTGCGGGCAACTGCTCTCACGCCACGACATCGCCACTTCGCTGCGTCTTCTCCTGAGAGAAGCGCCAAAAAACCAGAGATCGCCACATGGGGTAAAGACCCCGACAACTGGGAAATACTGGGAATATGTCTTAAGCATTCTTAAACCTTTCTTTAATAGGTGATGAATGATAAATGTAATATAGTAGATATACAGTATGTACATATCTCAGATCTCAGGTTAGAACTGTTTGAGCACTTAAACAAATCTCTAAAAACATGTTCGACACTCGGAAGAAACCTCATCGGTCCCCTATTCGCCATTCCCCCTAAGAACGCCTTGGCCCATGGCCACACAGGCCGTCATTGTTTCGCTTTCGACTCGAACACATCCACCAATAGGGTACATGTTCCTGAGATGGGCTGAGATGGGTTGCTCCCAACACCCCAGCTAAATAAAGGTATAAGGGGGTAAATATGGTACATTACCCCCAAAGATCCCAAAGGGGTAACATCACCATTCAGCCATGGGTAATCATTGACCTATACAGCTTGGAGCAAGCCTGGCTGAGATCTGTCGGATATTGGGCAGGAGACTTTTGGAACATTGTGAATGTCAGTCCATCTGCAATCTGCGAGGAACAGGGGATTAAACCCATGTTCAACTGGCTTTGTTAGAAAATTCAGTACCCCCAAGTTTCATGAGCAGCTCATCATGAAAATTCCCCAAACCAGCGCCACCTAAATTGGAGGTACCTACCATATATAAGGCCTATGTAAAGCCCCACGAAATATGGTAAAATGATGGTAAATCCCGCTGAAAATAGGGACAAGCTATGCATGTGATCCTGGATCCAGGGCCCCCTGGCCCAGCTTGCTCTCATTCAGCGCCAGTGCCAACTGCGCATCTTCCGGCGTTTTGAAACACACGCAGCCTGTGCCCTCGGGATGAAAAAATCATTGGCCAAAAAATGGTGGAATTTGCAGCAAGAATCATGGTTTATGATTCTGGATGTTAATTGGAAAATAACCCATTCGTATTTACCTGGAGAAATTAGTAGATCATAATGGGAATGATTCTACAGATCTCTACTATCTTGGGGATAGGCTTGGATGTGCGTCCCAGTTGGGATGATGTTTGACTTCGTTCAGCCAGTAAAACCCAGAGAGAGGGGGATACACGAAGATGCCCCTTTTCTATTTGGAGGATACCTTTCTCATATCAAGAAGGTAAAATTCAAAAGTGGGAATTTTCAATGATACACATCAAAGGACAACCCCACAGTCAAATATCAAACCTCAAAAAAATGTTTTGTTGATAGATGTTGACAGGAGTTCCCATCGACCTGGAGATAATGCCAAATAGCCCTTGGAAAGGGGCCGGCTATATGGTAGCCGACATGGTTACAAATCAAGCCCCCTGTTACCTTGTTTTTCACAGCAAATCTATGTATTGCTAGGTTATGGGTCGGAAACCACCCCTTAAGGCCTTCAATCTTGAAAAATCAAAGAAGTTTGTGACCTATCCCCACATCATTGAGCATGCTAAAATAAACAAAACAATGTGAAAGTGTGAAACCCTTGTTGTTTCATGAAAACATCCCCATGTTTTATGGTGACATCCCTATTCTTGATTCTAAGTTATCTCAAGTGATTTTAAAAAATCACCGGTTTTGATAGTAACATTGCAATTTTGACCGTAACCTCCGCATGTTTCATGGTCAAAACCATCCACCGTCAGCCCCGTTCCGCGACGGTTTCAAGACGGTGGCCTTGGGAAAGACGGTGGCCCAGGTCACGCTTCCAACGTTGCTCTGGAAGTGATCCTCACGGCCCAATGGCCCAATGGCCCAAATCATGGGGCAAATATAGAACTATACTATAAATAGGTGGTTTTTTATGGTATAAACCATTCCCAGGAAAATGGGTGATTTACGGTTTATGATTCTTTGACCCAACAAAAACTGGCAAAGTTAAAGGTGGGTAGCTGATTGGTACACCAAATATTCGTTTGAATGACTCATTGAAGGAGATTGTTCATAGCACAGTCCTATGGAACATCCAAGTCTAGCAGCTCAACCGAAACCACCATGGGTTTCGACTCCAAGACTTTTTCGGAGTGACTAGAACAACATATTTTTGTCTAACAGTGGAAGAGGACGTGATCGCTGGATTTCATGGGGGACCACCACAATTTGGTGGACACCAAAGCAGTAGTTGCAAAACCCAGCGGTGGCCACCCCAGTATTTTGTTAAGACTTGTCCTTACATCCGTAGTTAGTGGTCCATAATCCCTACTTGGTGGCTCATCCCACTTAGTAAGTAGGTTATAACCCCAGTTATAAATGGGATAAGTAGGGTTAATCCACTTATAACTGGGGTTATAACCCACTTACTAAGTGGGATGAACCACCGTTCTTGCAGGAGCCACCTGGACGCCCAGGACAGCAGTCCTGCAGCATCTTCCAAGTTACCGAACCATCCAGGTTGCCGATCCAAACCTGTTTTGGGCCCTTGGACGATTTGAACATGTCAACAAAAACGCAAACATAGTATAAGATGTAAATAATAGAAATGGTATTAGTAATACCAAATATATGAAACCCACATAATTATATATATATATTATATAATATATATATAGTATATATAGTATATATATATAATATAGTAATGATTAGTAATGGTATACCGAACAATAAGCATCAATTGGGGCCAGGTTGTGGCATTGGCTTTAGCTCATTACTTCTGTTTCAACTTTCCAGGATTTTACACAGGAAAAACGGAATGTACCTACAATTGTCTGAGGATTCCCGGATTTATGGCCATTTTAATCACAAGAAGCATATGGTGATACAGTCAACCATTCATTTTGGGGGTACTGTACCACATTTTCAAACACACCCAAATATGCCGATGTTCAAGTTGAGATGACCGGAACATGATTTTCCATGACTTGAACCATATGATTTTAAGTGTTGACAAAAACGCTTAAGTGCCCGGTGGCCCCCCGTGGCTGGTTGCTCACCTTCATGGTATTGTCGATGGCCTTTAGCTTCCTGATCTCATCCTCGGATTTGCGCCGAGATCTCGCAGCGATTAGTTTTGTGGACTTCGCGACTTGCAAAGTACCGGGAAATGCATCAAAAATCCAACTCAACAAATCCAGAGATAAATAAAGGCTTAGATATTATACATAACATACATATATATATACAAGGAGGGCCCTCAATGAAGAGGGCTGAAATCAGCGTCCGTTAGCGACCCCAAATTCAGACCTTTTGCACACACAGCACGAGGCCCCACGTATAGGGTCACAGCAGCGGCTCCCCCCCCGCACCCCCAGGATCAATGTTGTTTCCTGGTGTTAATCACTGCAGCAGCCAACTTCCAAAGCGTCAGGTCTTCACAGCAAGACATTTTCGTCAACCTTGATTCCGGGGGGTGCAGGGGGGGGCCGCATGTGGCCGGAAAGGCCCTTTGAATTAGGAAGAAACACATGTGCCGTCACGGCAGGTGGCACATCACAGCTGCAAGATGAAATGCTTCACTGGCCGTTGGCGATGTCAATCTTTGCATTGGCTCCACTGCAACACTAGCATGCTTCGGTGTGAAACTACTAAGCACGATGTCACAACTTTATATTGGCTCTGCCGCAAAACTACTATGCTTCTGTGTGAAAACTACTAAGGGGAATTTCAAACTTTGTATTGGCTCGGTGGCAAAACTACTAAGGAATTGTTCAATGGACAAAAAAGGAAACACTTTCTTCTATTTCTTTTCAATTGGCAGAATTCCTTAGTAGTTTTGCGTCCAAGCCATTGTGATTTCAATTTCACGGGTTAGTAGTTTTTCATGCGTGCATGAGCTGTGACTCTGCCGTGCCAATGCAAAGTCTGCGAAAATGGTTGGAAGTATCCTTAGTAGTTTTTTGGGGCCACAGCAAAAACAGGTGCCAAAGCACGCAAAAACGTGTTTTTGATGCCTTGGGAGACAGCAGTCGTTAGGTAACCTGCCGCGTGTGACTTCACCACATTCCTGTCTGACTCCTTTAGAGACAGCAGTCTCAAGTGCTTCAGTGAGACATATAGTTTTGAGGAAGCTGCTGCTGACTCCTCGGGAGACAGCAGTCACAAGTGCTTCAGTGAGACATATAGTTTTGAAGAAGCTGCTACTGCTGACGGGTCATTTTGAAGGCCAGGAGCCACGAGAGGTCTTGGGTGCTCAGTTTGCCCGCCGATTTCAGGACTCTGCGTCGTTTTTTCTCCCGGCGCAGAGCTGAAACAAAAAGATTGAAAGTACAAGTGGTGCGATGCAGGTGCAATGCAGCTTCACCAAAAAAAACCTGAGATGGGAAAGATGAAGGTGCAAGTGGCATGATGGAATGTCAATACAGCTTCACCAACACAAACATGGCACACAAGGATGAAATTGAACCAGCCTGGGCCTTGACTTCTCGACTGGTTTGCTGCAGCTGGCGTTTCAAGGCCTGCCTTTCAGCTTTCAAAGCAGCTATACGGTCATCCATCCCGGGCACATGGGCTACAGCAGCACCTTCCGCAGCATCCCTTTCCATACCAGCGGCGGCAGACGACATGGCTATAGATATAGTCAAATTGTGTTTTCTGCGACGAGCTGTGAGCCGTGCTAGCTGCAGAAGCCATGCCGTCTGGACAGCTTCCATGCCAATTTTCTCAAACTGCACAACTGGAAGATAGTGTGACAAAACATGGCCGGTGGGGGCCCAAAACTGGGGGCTTGAAAAGTGATGCCAAAGGGACTCCCGTACCATGTACCCCCATAGTATTATGGAAAAAAAATCTTTGTCCTATAGTGCCACCCACGTCTGCAAATCTGTTGGATCCACCCGGAGCGGCAGCATCAAAGAAAAAGAACCTTATACGCGTGCGCCATTTGGCGTCGCGCTGGCCAAACGCACTGCATCTGCTGGGGTGTCGGCCTGTCAGGCCCAGGCCAAGGCACCCCTGCACCCATCAAGTGTTGAAGCGCTTTGTGCACTTGACCTGGGCCATTGCAGCCCACTGCATCGAAGCTTTTCTGCCATTGCCGAGCTGCCCAAAATTCGTGAGGGGCTTGCATGCACTGCCATAGCCAGGCCAGAGGAGGCACTAAACCGTGCTCTGAATATGAGCGCAACTCCTGGTGCTTCCTTTTCAAATATTGTTTAAAAGGGGAGAAGCCTTGCAGATCAAGCGGCTGTAGGTAATCCGTTGTCTGCGCTGGGATATATATAAGCTGCAGCTTGCACTTGCGTGCCATTGCCATGACCTGCCGTGGCAGGTGTGCCGGCGCACAATCAAGGAGTACAACGCCTTGTTTTGACGGAAAACTTTTCAGCACTTCTGCGATCTCTTTGAGAATTTGGGCACTGTTGGCAGCAGAGGTCCAAGCGGACTTTTGCCGCAAAACACGCAAACGAGTTTGTGGCAAAGCGCGCTGGGCGCGCAAGAGCTTCTTCGTGAGTTTCACCTGGGTGCCAATGAAAAAATGAGGCAACTTCCCTTGGATGTGCTTGCAGTTGCAAATCACGCTGACATAAGTAAGTCCACGCACCTCGAACATGTTGCTTCAGCACCTGTGCATGCGGCTGTTTGCCACCTGCTGTCCGTGGCTTTGCCACACATCCAATAGGCGGTGTCATGGTGTGGCCGACGCTAGTCTCATCCAGATTTATAAAAAGTAGCTCCCTGTCTGCGAGCCTGCTGTGGCAATAGCAGATGGCCCGCCAAAATGTCATGACCTGCTCGAGCGTTGCAGGAAGTGAAAGACAAAGCCTTATTATATATAGGGTCCCCAAATATAATTCCGAGGGAAGAAATTGATTGAAAATGGGGGCCTATTTTTGGTGCCAGATTCTGGCCCCAAAAATGGGACCGCCCAACCGGGATTAAGTAGGCTTATACAGGCATGAAACATGAGGGGGACCCATTTTTGGGGCCACATTCCGGCCCCAAAAATGGAGCCACCCAACCCAAAAAAAGAAGACAAAATGTTGTAAGTTGGCTGGCCCGCGCCTTGTCGCGCAGTACAGCGGGGTCTCTGCTAACAACTTGCTTCAGCACCTTCCGGCGGACGCCCCACCGAGCCCGCCAGCGCTGCACCCACTTATTGACCATGCGTTTGTTTGGCACACCCATGTCCAGCTTCTGGCCATGGAAGGCCTCCTCCCACTTCAAAAACGTGTCCATCGCAGAAGGTGCTTGACAATGATTCGTATTGCAGTCATAGACCCACTGCTCCGTGGCTGCTTCGGCCAGGAAGGCTTGCGCTTTGCGTGAAGCTGTGTCATCCAAAGCGGTCAAATCTGGCAGCGGCGTCGTCAGCAACATCTCTTGGATCAAAGCTGCCGTGGGTACCCATTGCTGCCATAGGATATCGTTGTCAAAGCACAAGCCATGCGGAGAGTCAAATCCATGTTAAAATTCGACAGCATGTAAACAGCTACCACAGTTTTGCGGGCTGCCACTCCAAGGCCGGCACAGTGCAACCTTTTCCGTTTTTTGGCATTCTGCCGATAAGCCGCTTTCAGTGCTTTGCCGTTCTGCACCAAGGCTTCCTTCAAGTCTGACACCCTGGCATCAGATGTGCCTTCGGCCACACCACAGGGCGGCTGCATGACTGACCGCAGAAAAACTATCTGTCGGCAGACTCATTGAAAACATTCGTGTCATGTCAAACCAATGCTGTCTGATACAGCTGAATTCGAATGGAAGCAAGGAAGATGACCTAATGAGTGCGGCCAAAGCATGGCCTCGGCATTTCAAAGCATACAAATTCATGTCTGGCTCATGCAAAAAACAAAAACTATATTGCTGTTGCATGCAGTCAGCGCGGCAAGACTTGATTCATATGGCTGCGTCCAGGAAAAAACATCGAGGAGAGGCGACCTGTGAGGAGCAGGCAAGACCGAACAATGATGATGAGCCGTCCAATCATGTGGGTTTGTGTTATGACACTGTTATGGAAAATACACTGCTGGTTATCTCTCCACATCATGCAGGTTTGTGTTGTCACAAGGAGGGCCCTCAATGAAGAGGGCTGAAATCAGCGTCCGTTAGCGACCCCAAATTCAGACCTTTTGCACACACAGCACGAGGCCCCACGTATAGGGTCACAGCAGCGGCTCCCCCCCCGCACCCCCAGGATCAATGTTGTTTCCTGGTGTTAATCACTGCAGCAGCCAACTTCCAAAGCGTCAGGTCTTCACAGCAAGACATTTTCGTCAACCTTGATTCCGGGGGGTGCAGGGGGGGGCCGCATGTGGCCGGAAAGGCCCTTTGAATTAGGAAGAAACACATGTGCCGTCACGGCAGGTGGCACATCACAGCTGCAAGATGAAATGCTTCACTGGCCGTTGGCGATGTCAATCTTTGCATTGGCTCCACTGCAACACTAGCATGCTTCGGTGTGAAACTACTAAGCACGATGTCACAACTTTATATTGGCTCTGCCGCAAAACTACTATGCTTCTGTGTGAAAACTACTAAGGGGAATTTCAAACTTTGTATTGGCTCGGTGGCAAAACTACTAAGGAATTGTTCAATGGACAAAAAAGGAAACACTTTCTTCTATTTCTTTTCAATTGGCAGAATTCCTTAGTAGTTTTGCGTCCAAGCCATTGTGATTTCAATTTCACGGGTTAGTAGTTTTTCATGCGTGCATGAGCTGTGACTCTGCCGTGCCAATGCAAAGTCTGCGAAAATGGTTGGAAGTATCCTTAGTAGTTTTTTGGGGCCACAGCAAAAACAGGTGCCAAAGCACGCAAAAACGTGTTTTTGATGCCTTGGGAGACAGCAGTCGTTAGGTAACCTGCCGCGTGTGACTTCACCACATTCCTGTCTGACTCCTTTAGAGACAGCAGTCTCAAGTGCTTCAGTGAGACATATAGTTTTGAGGAAGCTGCTGCTGACTCCTCGGGAGACAGCAATCACAAGTGCTTCAGTGAGACATATAGTTTTGAGGAAGCTGCTGCTGACTCCTCGGGAGACAGCAATCACAAGTGCTTCAGTGAGACATATAGTTTTGAAGAAGCTGCTACTGCTGACGGGTCATTTTGAAGGCCAGGAGCCACGAGAGGTCTTGGGTGCTCAGTTTGCCCGCCGATTTCAGGACTCTGCGTCGTTTTTTCTCCCGGCGCAGAGCTGAAACAAAAAGATTGAAAGTACAAGTGGTGCGATGCAGGTGCAATGCAGCTTCACCAAAAAAAACCTGAGATGGGAAAGATGAAGGTGCAAGTGGCATGATGGAATGTCAATACAGCTTCACCAACACAAACATGGCACACAAGGATGAAATTGAACCAGCCTGGGCCTTGACTTCTCGACTGGTTTGCTGCAGCTGGCGTTTCAAGGCCTGCCTTTCAGCTTTCAAAGCAGCTATACGGTCATCCATCCCGGGCACATGGGCTACAGCAGCACCTTCCGCAGCATCCCTTTCCATACCAGCGGCGGCAGAGACATGGCTATAGATATAGTCAAATTGTGTTTTCTGCGACGAGCTGTGAGCCGTGCTAGCTGCAGAAGCCATGCCGTCTGGACAGCTTCCATGCCAATTTTCTCAAACTGCACAACTGGAAGATAGTGTGACAAAACATGGCCGGTGGGGGCCCAAAACTGGGGGCTTGAAAAGTGATGCCAAAGGGACTCCCGTACCATGTACCCCCATAGTATTATGGAAAAAAAATCTTTGTCCTATAGTGCCACCCACGTCTGCAAATCTGTTGGATCCACCCGGAGCGGCAGCATCAAAGAAAAAGAACCTTATACGCGTGCGCCATTTGGCGTCGCGCTGGCCAAACGCACTGCATCTGCTGGGGTGTCGGCCTGTCAGGCCCAGGCCAAGGCACCCCTGCACCCATCAAGTGTTGAAGCGCTTTGTGCACTTGACCTGGGCCATTGCAGCCCACTGCATCGAAGCTTTTCTGCCATTGCCGAGCTGCCCAAAATTCGTGAGGGGCTTGCATGCACTGCCATAGCCAGGCCAGAGGAGGCACTAAACCGTGCTCTGAATATGAGCGCAACTCCTGGTGCTTCCTTTTCAAATATTGTTTAAAAGGGGAGAAGCCTTGCAGATCAAGCGGCTGTAGGTAATCCGTTGTCTGCGCTGGGATATATATAAGCTGCAGCTTGCACTTGCGTGCCATTGCCATGACCTGCCGTGGCAGGTGTGCCGGCGCACAATCAAGGAGTACAACGCCTTGTTTTGACGGAAAACTTTTCAGCACTTCTGCGATCTCTTTGAGAATTTGGGCACTGTTGGCAGCAGAGGTCCAAGCGGACTTTTGCCGCAAAACACGCAAACGAGTTTGTGGCAAAGCGCGCTGGGCGCGCAAGAGCTTCTTCGTGAGTTTCACCTGGGTGCCAATGAAAAAATGAGGCAACTTCCCTTGGATGTGCTTGCAGTTGCAAATCACGCTGACATAAGTAAGTCCACGCACCTCGAACATGTTGCTTCAGCACCTGTGCATGCGGCTGTTTGCCACCTGCTGTCCGTGGCTTTGCCACACATCCAATAGGCGGTGTCATGGTGTGGCCGACGCTAGTCTCATCCAGATTTATAAAAAGTAGCTCCCTGTCTGCGAGCCTGCTGTGGCAATAGCAGATGGCCCGCCAAAATGTCATGACCTGCTCGAGCGTTGCAGGAAGTGAAAGACAAAGCCTTATTATATATAGGGTCCCCAAATATAATTCCGAGGGAAGAAATTGATTGAAAATGGGGGCCTATTTTTGGTGCCAGATTCTGGCCCCAAAAATGGGACCGCCCAACCGGGATTAAGTAGGCTTATACAGGCATGAAACATGAGGGGGACCCATTTTTGGGGCCACATTCCGGCCCCAAAAATGGAGCCAGCCAACCCAAAAAAAGAAGACAAAATGTTGTAAGTTGGCTGGCCCGCGCCTTGTCGCGCAGTACAGCGGGGTCTCTGCTAACAACTTGCTTCAGCACCTTCCGGCGGACGCCCCACCGAGCCCGCCAGCGCTGCACCCACTTATTGACCATGCGTTTGTTTGGCACACCCATGTCCAGCTTCTGGCCATGGAAGGCCTCCTCCCACTTCAAAAACGTGTCCATCGCAGAAGGTGCTTGACAATGATTCGTATTGCAGTCATAGACCCACTGCTCTGTGGCTGCTTCGGCCAGGAAGGCTTGCGCTTTGCGTGAAGCTGTGTCATCCAAAGCGGTCAAATCTGGCAGCGGCGTCGTCAGCAACATCTCTTGGATCAAAGCTGCCGTGGGTACCCATTGCTGCCATAGGATATCGTTGTCAAAGCACAAGCCATGCGGAGAGTCAAATCCATGTTAAAATTCGACAGCATGTAAACAGCTACCACAATTTTGCGGGCTGCCACTCCAAGGCCGGCACAGTGCAACCTTTTCCGTTTTTTGGCATTCTGCCGATAAGCCGCTTTCAGTGCTTTGCCGTTCTGCACCAAGGCTTCCTTCAAGTCTGACACCCTGGCATCAGATGTGCCTTCGGCCACACCACAGGGCGGCTGCATGACTGACCGCAGAAAAACTATCTGTCGGCAGACTCATTGAAAACATTCGTGTCATGTCAAACCAATGCTGTCTGATACAGCTGAATTCGAATGGAAGCAAGGAAGATGACCTAATGAGTGCGGCCAAAGCATGGCCTCGGCATTTCAAAGCATACAAATTCATGTCTGGCTCATGCAAAAAACAAAAACTATATTGCTGTTGCATGCAGTCAGCGCGGCAAGACTTGATTCATATGGCTGCGTCCAGGAAAAAACATCGAGGAGAGGCGACCTGTGAGGAGCAGGCAAGACCGAACAATGATGATGAGCCGTCCAATCATGTGGGTTTGTGTTATGACACTGTTATGGAAAAACACTGCTGGTTATCTCTCCACATCATGCAGGTTTGTGTTGTCACAAGGAGGGCCCTCAATGAAGAGGGCTGAAATCAGCGTCCGTTAGCGACCCCAAATTCAGACCTTTTGCACACACAGCACGAGGCCCCACGTATAGGGTCACAGCAGCGGCTCCCCCCCCGCACCCCCAGGATCAATGTTGTTTCCTGGTGTTAATCACTGCAGCAGCCAACTTCCAAAGCGTCAGGTCTTCACAGCAAGACATTTTCGTCAACCTTGATTCCGGGGGGTGCAGGGGGGGGCCAACATGTGGCCGGAAAGGCCCTTTGAATTAGGAAGAAACACATGTGCCGTCACGGCAGGTGGCACATCACAGCTGCAAGATGAAATGCTTCACTGGCCGTTGGCGATGTCAATCTTTGCATTGGCTCCACTGCAACACTAGCATGCTTCGGTGTGAAACTACTAAGCACGATGTCACAACTTTATATTGGCTCTGCCGCAAAACTACTATGCTTCTGTGTGAAAACTACTAAGGGGAATTTCAAACTTTGTATTGGCTCGGTGGCAAAACTACTAAGGAATTGTTCAATGGACAAAAAAGGAAACACTTTCTTCTATTTCTTTTCAATTGGCAGAATTCCTTAGTAGTTTTGCGTCCAAGCCATTGTGATTTCAATTTCACGGGTTAGTAGTTTTTCATGCGTGCATGAGCTGTGACTCTGCCGTGCCAATGCAAAGTCTGCGAAAATGGTTGGAAGTATCCTTAGTAGTTTTTTGGGGCCACAGCAAAAACAGGTGCCAAAGCACGCAAAAACGTGTTTTTGATGCCTTGGGAGACAGCAGTCGTTAGGTAACCTGCCGCGTGTGACTTCACCACATTCCTGTCTGACTCCTTTAGAGACAGCAGTCTCAAGTGCTTCAGTGAGACATATAGTTTTGAGGAAGCTGCTGCTGACTCCTCGGGAGACAGCAATCACAAGTGCTTCAGTGAGACATATAGTTTTGAGGAAGCTGCTGCTGACTCCTCGGGAGACAGCAATCACAAGTGCTTCAGTGAGACATATAGTTTTGAAGAAGCTGCTACTGCTGACGGGTCATTTTGAAGGCCAGGAGCCACGAGAGGTCTTGGGTGCTCAGTTTGCCCGCCGATTTCAGGACTCTGCGTCGTTTTTTCTCCCGGCGCAGAGCTGAAACAAAAAGATTGAAAGTACAAGTGGTGCGATGCAGGTGCAATGCAGCTTCACCAAAAAAAACCTGAGATGGGAAAGATGAAGGTGCAAGTGGCACGATGGAATGTCAATACAGCTTCACCAACACAAACATGGCACACAAGGATGAAATTGAACCAGCCTGGGCCTTGACTTCTCGACTGGTTTGCTGCAGCTGGCGTTTCAAGGCCTGCCTTTCAGCTTTCAAAGCAGCTATACGGTCATCCATCCCGGGCACATGGGCTACAGCAGCACCTTCCGCAGCATCCCTTTCCATACCAGCGGCGGCAGAGGACATGGCTATAGATATAGTCAAATTGTGTTTTCTGCGACGAGCTGTGAGCCGTGCTAGCTGCAGAAGCCATGCCGTCTGGACAGCTTCCATGCCAATTTTCTCAAACTGCACAACTGGAAGATAGTGTGACAAAACATGGCCGGTGGGGGCCCAAAACTGGGGGCTTGAAAAGTGATGCCAAAGGGACTCCCGTACCATGTACCCCCATAGTATATAGAATTAATTGGGGATAACAAATCAAACCTGGCAGACTCTGCAAATCCAGGCATCCTTTCCTTTGCCCTTGCCCTTGCCTTTGCCATTGCCCTTTCCATTGAAGCCCCACAACTTGACCTTCCTGAAGTTCGGCAGCGCTTCAGAAGGTCCAGGATTTCGCAACCACCCACCGTAGTCATTGACAATAATGATGAATGCTGGTTGGAAGTTGATCTTGATACATTATGACTGGAGATCACCCCATAGCTCCATAGTTACTGATGATATTCACATGTTTCTTGAAGACGGGCAAATCATCTACTATGGGCCATTGTCATCCATTTTCCATAATGTTAAATTACCAAAGGGAAATGTGATACAGCCAGGAATAATCCATCTCAACGTTTGGTTCATGAAATTGGGTATAACCATACTTTGGAAAAATATATGACTGGCATGATTTGAACATATTTCAAATGCCGCCCCATCGTGGTTGCTTACTGGTATGGTTTATGACGTTGGGTTTACCACATCATACACGCTTCATCAAGGTTCTTGGTATTTCCACACTCAAACAATCATCTATACATATATAATTCCCAGGTTCCCGATTTTCCCCACACTCAAATCATCTACCTGCTATAACTTGGTATATATTATATATCTATACATATATTAGTATAATTTGATATATGACATTCCTCATTATGGCATTATGCCAGTTCCTGATATTCCCCGAGCTTTGCAGGGGGGAAATATGTTCAGTTCATAGAGCCACGAGGTGCCTAAAAGAGACCTGCTTGGCTTTGGAGTTAGATTGAAAAACCAGAAAAACCTTTCAGAAAAATGATCCAAAATAGTTTTGATTAAATAGATAGATATATAATATATATATATATCACATTATAGTTACTATAACATATATTACTTGGGCAAGTTTTGATTCCCAATAGTCGAATGGGAATGCAGGAGCCAGAGGCCTCAAAACTTATCTCTGGGCATTGAGGCATTGCTGAGCCCGTTGGAAATTTTCAATGCAGTGGGATATGACCATAATATCATCCCTGAAGTCTCAATCGTCCAGTCGGATACTAATGATTAACTTCAGGGAAAATATTGTATTCAATAATATTCAATCATTAAATTGGCTGATACGAACCCAACAATCCTAAAACTGGGATATCAATTGTTGTTTTTTTTGGCCTAGGTTAACCAATGCTATAAAAACCATCGGCTGGCTCACCTGGGATCCTCATCAGCTGATCATGGTGCAAACCAGTTTCTCAAAGACCGGCTTCCACACGGGGGCGACGCTGCCTTTGTCTTTGCCCTTCCCTTTGCCTTTTGGCCGACCTGTGTCCAGTCGGGGACGGGTGGCTGAAGGTTGACGGAGCATGAAGTTCAAGAAATCCGGGAAAACAAAGTTCCCTTCAGTCTAAGTGGCAGAATGAAGTAATTCCCACACGACATCCGCACCTGCAGGTTTGGTGAAGTAATCCACCTCGATCTGGTTATCTCCAATCCAAGAGCCATTTAAAGTGGTCACAGCTGCATTGACCTGGTCACCAGGTTATGAGAGATCCAATGTGGAAGCAATGGGGACCTCTTTTCAAGATGAAGTCAGGAAGCTTTGACACTTTCAAACCACTCGAGAAAGACAAAAAACAAGGATGATGTCAATGCAAACCACATTTTTCCTAAGTCAAACTTGACTCCCAAAATTTCAGGTCCCCCGAATTCATAGCGCACAGCGCAGCACCTCCTCAGGCGTCTTGAAGGCCACACAGCCGGTGTTACTCCGGGGGAAGGCGGCTGCATAGATGCTACGCCCCACCTGAGCGCTGCTCCGGTGCTGCGGGAAGTTGGTTGGGATTCCTATGTGGGATAGGCCTCTATATATATATATATACATACATACATACATATAGACATATAGGTATATATACATATATATGTATATACATATATGTATATGTATATATGTATATGTATGTGTATATATAGGTATATGTGTATAATAACATGTAGATGCAAATATACATATATATATATATGTATTTGTTTATCTATTTGTTTACATATGTATATATACATATACATCCCGCCGGATCTGAAACCGCGCGAGCGTTTTAACACGTCTGAAATGAGGACATTGAAAAAACACTGTAAATACTGATAGAAATGACTGTTGGGCACGTCTTGGAAAACCTAAAATGGATCAAACGTGGATTCAAATTCATCCATGTTTGCTCAAAATCCTGTAAATACCACGTTTACCGAGAGTGGAATTTTGATTTGTTCCAACATGGTCCCTGCGCGAGAAAAAAGGCATGTCTTTTCACACCGCAGGTCGGCTCACATTTATATACATATAAATACATATATATATATATGTGTATATATATAAATGTAAATATACACATATATATACATATACATATATATATATATACATACATATTTACATATGTATATATATAAATACATATGTATATATGTAAACACATAAATGTATATATATATGTATATGTGTATATATTTACATATATATATATATATGCATATGTATATGTATATACAGATATGTATATATATATATAAATAGTTATAAATATGTGTATATATAGTATGTATGTATGTGTATATATATATATACATATAGTATGTATGTATGTATGAATGTTTATATATATATAGTATGTATATATATATGCTCACGGCCCCCCATGATCTACCCAGCACATGTCTCCATTGCAATGAGAAGGGTACCCCAAGATACATGTGAGCTTTACCACAAGTCCAAGAGAAACATCTGTATGGTACCAGTATGTGAATTTACTATGTTCGTTCCTCTACCTAGACATAGAAGACGATGTTGGAGGTATATCATGGGGTGTGTGTGTGTGACCACATATATAATATATATATATAATATTATATATATATATATTATGTATATATAGATATATTATGTAAATGATATTGGGGTTTGATGGATTTTGATTGTAAGACATGACAACCCTGGATTCTTCAGCATGCTCGGCTGGGCCATGCTGTTGAAGAGGCCATGGAAGTTGAGTCATGAGATTTGGAACCCCAAATACATCTAATTTAGTCTAAGGCATTTGCCCATCGAGGACCTGCTGAATTTTGTGAATTTGTTGCCGTGTTTCTTGTAAAGCGCACTTCTTTGGATCTGCCATTTCCATAGTCCGCAACATTTCGGGTGTAAAGGTTTTGAATACAAACAGCTGACTTTAGCGGTTTCACCCTCGCAGAAAAAAGCACATCCGCACCTGATTGAACATTTGCTGCAGCTGCTTCCAATCGATTTCTGAGGCAAGGACGGCTGAATCACCAGGAATCGGTGATGACCCAGTGTCTCATGGGCTTCCACCATGATAGGAACCCATGTTCTTACTATGAAAAATGCAAAGTGAAGCCCAAAAACCTGCCTACAGCTATATTTATAGCACCCACTTGGGGGTGCAGTTACCAAGTTATATCCCGTCTCATGGAGGTTATTACCATTGCTATAGCCATGAAACTAACTCCAACTGCACCAAGTTGCTGCTTATATATCCCACTGCAGCCCCAAGTAGTATTGTTGATACATCCCATTATTCCCATGATACATATATATATATACATATATATATACATATATATATATACATATATATATATACATATTATATGTATATATATATATATACACAATTCAATATTCCCACTATCCCATTGTTGGCTATATATCTCCCATATCAACTGTCCCCAAGTGTTTTCCCGCCTGGAGGGAGGCCACCAATCCAGACCTTCTGCGAGGGGTCTATGGCCTTGAGCTTCGCCATGTCCTCCTGGGGATTCATGGACTATTAATGGTCTGTTAATGGAATATATCAGCGAATGGAATCTGATTGGAATATTCATTCATGGAATATTAATATATTATTGATGGACTATGAATGGAATCTATTGATGGTATGTATATACATATTTGGAATGGGTTGATGGTTTTTCGTATTCGTTGATATCAACCATATTCATGGGTCAGATGAATAGAATATTTTTGTGATTTATGAGTGGAATACCAAGTGAATATTTTCATGTACCATCTGGTTATTTAACATAGCCATGGAAAATCACCATTTGTAATAGGTAAACCATCTATCAATGGGTCATTTTCCATGGCTATGTTAAATAACCAGAGGGTAGGAGATATATGATGCCTCAAATCCCCTCAGAACAGATGCTTTTTGGAGCATTGTAACAAAAATCTCAGTTCTAAGGGGATGTTAAATCATCATGGAAATATGCACTGACTATATATTATAGATATTTATATTATAGATATTTATATTATAGATATTTATATTATAGATATTTATAGATACACATGGCATCATATAACAAACCGAATTCGTTAACATGAAAAAATACATTGTAAATGATGTACATATGTATATGTATATACAATTATATACATACATAACCAACCAATTTCGTTACTTAAACAGAGAAGCACACACATTATAAGATGTGTATCTATGTATACATACATAGCCAACCAAATTCGTTACTTAACTTAACAGGAATAAATGACATTATAAGATGGATATCTACGTATACATATAACCAACATAAACCAACCGCATTGGTTATGTACTGAAACAGGAAACAAGGACATTTGAGGGATTTTATCGTCCCCCCAGCAGGTTGACGGTGAGAAGAAGCCAACTCGTGGTAGGGTCGCGCTAGTTGGGTGAAATAGACCTTTTTTGGGGTCCAAACAGGTACTCCATTCTTGATCCATAGCCATCTATTGAGAGGCAGGGGATTGTATTGGGATACAACAGGCTCAACAAATAATCTAACTGTTGAGAGAAACAGAAACAAACAAAAAACATACATGATCATCCATGTATAGAGGATCTATGATGATATCATCTTCCACCTTTCCACATTTCCACGCCTTCGCAGAGTCCATACCTTTCCAGCTTCCTTTGCCGCTCTTCCCTTTGCCTTTTGGCGTCCACGACATGGCAACACAGGCGACAGGGGCCAGAGGGGCCACACAGCGACACCGCGGTAATAGCACTGAGCCGAAAACGTGCACTTGAGATCGATGGCTTGACCAAAGAAAAATGTAAGTTTAAGAAAAACTCGGGAATCCTCCGTTCCAAAACCTCCTTGAAAATCAGAGAGTTGATTGTCAAGGACAAGACTTCAGCCTTCCTGACTTCAGTTGCGACTTCGACAGCACCTCCTCATAGAAAGCCACCTCTGAGTGCGCTTTAGCCAAGTCCTGCAGAGCTAGCGACTTTGCCATTTTTTTGGGGAGCTGTTTGTTGAACTTCTGATCCCAAAGAAAAACGGGAAAGGGATCTATATTTCCCTTATTCCCATTATATCCCTATGAGATCCCAACAAAAATCCGATGATGCCCGTCCTTGGCGATCCAGCGCTGAGTAGAGACACCCTTGGGCTGCGGATCCTTTAACTTCAGGGAATAGTGGGAGGTGCGGCCTGCACTGGCGAAGGATAGCAATATGCTTGTGTTGGGTTCTATGGGGCATATATGGTTATATATGGTTGGATATATGGTTAAGGAATGATGTTCATTGGGTTTAGAAACCGACTTATAACTCGGGCACCATCACCTAGATTTGATTGATGGAAGCACGGCTTCCACAGTTATATATATATATATGACCACTTTGTTTGGTTTCGACCATGTTTGTGTCCATCTGTTTGTTGGTTACTCGTCAGCGATTTCAACCGATCAAAAGATATGGTTTTCAAAATCCCGGGTTTGCAAATAAGAAGCCATGTATAATTCGAATTAGCTCTATTTTTTGGACCCCATCAATATATATATATATATACATATTATATATTTATACACACCAAAAATAGTATAAATGTCATGTCTTAAAGCATCAGCATCACTACCCCCATTAAACTGGCCAACCTGCGGGTATACTATTGGTATTTTGAAGGACACAGAGATGTCAGATTTGTGGTGAATTATGCATATCCCACTACTGGTTGGTGGTTGAACCAATCCCTCTGAAAAATATGAAAGTCAGTTGGGATGATTATTCCCAATATATGGGAAAATAAAACATGTTCCAAACCACCAACCAGCCAGACTAAATCATCCCTGGTTTTACCATTCAAAACTGGAATTGTCACCATGTTACAATGTTTGCGACCCCTTAAAACATTGGTGATAATTCCAAACATCATTGGTGCTATGATGAAAACCCTACCCAAAATTAGAGTACTACCTATAGCATAATTAGTTGTAATTGTATACATACCGCATTTTTACGTTGAATCCCCTATGAAATCCCAGAAAAAAAATCCCACTGCAAATCCCATTCAATATCATTAACTCCTAAGAAACAAATAAACAAATAAATAGATAACCCCTACTTAAACAAAGATATATATATATATATAAGCTATAAACATAAAATCTATAAATAAATATATATATATATACATATTTCAATCTATATGTATAAGCTATAAAATCCCAGTCTAATCATTACATGTGATGGAAAGATCGGTCCCTTGGGTCCAAAAAAATTCAACCCGCCTGGCACTTGGCTCACAGGTGTCTCGAAGCGCTTGGCGCTGACCCGAGTGAAGTCCTGGCGCTGAGCGTTGACGCAACAGGATGGTGAGAAACCAACAAATCACTCAGCGGTTGCGGTTCATGGTTTGACATCCTGAAACATGTGGATAAAAAAAAACGGGTTAAACATGGTTTAACTATGAAAAATGTGGATGATCTAGATTATTTAAGATTTTCATCATCAAACATAGTTATTTTGACTGGTGAATAATGGATTGAGGTGATTTCAACAACAAACAAAACGGGGTGCTTCACCATGAAAAAATGATGGTTTAAACAATTGGGAGATAATGGAGAAACCAACCATTCTTAGGAATATAATGGGATACATTACCATCAATGTGATATTTGGGTCTGCCTGAAAATCCAAAATTGATGGTCATCTTAATGGGGACCACGACTTTCTTCACAAGTGAATCAAAGGGATCACCCTATTTTCAGACAAACCCATTTGAAGCCCGCTTTGGCCCTGGAACGAAGAATCATGGGGGATTGACCCCTCATAATGCCTGAATTGAAGGTTGATCATTGAATTAATGGATATGAATGGCATGAAGGGTGGCACGGTGGGGTTGTAGGAATGACCAACATCATCAACCAACCACATGATAGTAGCTTCGTTGGAATCCAACCAGGCCACTTCTTAAGATCCAAAGTTCCAGAAGTTCAGGCACTTTGGAGGAGTTTCTGTGTTGTCATGTTTGAGAAAATGGTGAGTTCGGCATGTTTCGCACCCTTTTCGGCCAAGTCTGATCTTGTCATAGCTGATCACATCTTACGGTGAGCGAATCATTCAATATGGAAAGGACACTCATAGTTTAGTTCCACTGCACAGGACAATTAACGCGTTTCTGCTATTGATCATGTTTGGTGCAAGGACGAATTAACAACACCGAACAATAAAACAGAAACAACAACAGCAATACCAACAGAACTAACTAAACTGGTTAGTAATGATAAACCATTATAGTTATAATAACAAATATATACAAATAATGTAGTGAACCCAATACCATAACCCATCCCCAGTCATGGTAGGTACCCCCAACTGCCAGCATCACATGCCTGGGAGCTCTGGTCTTCAAGGCCCACCTACCAGCTGACACTAGCGGTCTGTGTGTGTGTGTTTTGTTTTTAAATATGCACTATACGTATCTGTTCCATCTGTACACTGCAATATACAATTATATATATATAGTGTGTATATGTATAATATGATAAATACTATATACATGGTGTAAATCCAATCTTGGAGTTCTGACCATCAAGTCTGTCCAGCCTGTACTACGAGGCAGCCTGTCTCCTGTGGGTTTCCCGGGATGAGAAATGTGGCAAACTAATCGGTACCATTGTGTTTTGAACCACTCCCTTGGCAAACATAGTTTTTTTTGGGGGGGGAGGTTATATAATTTATCTGTTGGTTGTTTAAGAGGGGCTATCCCTCTGTTGATCAATAGCCAGAGTATCACACTTCGGGACCAACAACGAGTGAAGACAGAACCGCCGTGAATTGGATGGTACGTCCTGTCAAGGTACATCATGTTCTTGTCGACGCTCAAATCTCAGACTTGGCAAACAATGAGAGAAAACACGACACAAATGAACAAACAAACACTATTTGGCTATTTGGCTGCTAAATCCATGCATAGAAACAATATCCATGGCTGCCTGAAAATAAACTTACGCGGTCTCAGGGATCACCATATGTTTGTCCAAAGATAGGCTGCCTATTCCCTTTTCTCCATAAATCAAGCAAATCAATAGCCCAGTATGACATACCCAGCTTCATCCTCAATTCGGAATAGCCATTGATTATTGGATGGGACATAACCCATAAAAAACCACAGTTCATACCACAGATATCGCAGATATATTTACCATTTCCATCCATTTCCAGGGACTTTTGAAAAAATCCGCGTCCTCCATCTCATTCTTTGTCAGCTTTAACTTCACCGGTTCCGTGTGCTCCGGTTTGGCTTCGGCCTTGGTCGGAGAGGGTAGCCGGGTAGGTTAGCCCGGGTAGCCCTGGTTTAAGATGCGCTTAAGAATCTTGCCATTTGGGGTATGGTTGAGGAGCATACCCCCCAAATATGGAGTTACTTAGCTGGGGTAAAACTATTCATATCAAGCCACTAATTAATCCATATTAAGTTGCTGTATATGACTGTATATATGTCTACTGTATATTGATCCTTGGGTTAATAGCAGTGGGGACAACTGGCAAATCCAAGTTTCCGCAGTTGAAAGTGGGGTGTTATTCTCGGAATCGAGGATTCCCCTTGCACGAAGCCTTCGCTATTCTGTTTCCCAGGATTTGGATGTAACGACCGAGGAAGTAGAGTTCCAACCGACTCAAAGGTAGTGAGTCATTTTGGCGCTCTGACATGACCATTTTTTTTGGGGGGAACATGTTGAACCACACCCAGTCGTGTACACAGACGAAGAAGGTACAAGCACCAACAATGCTGCTTACGTGAATACCAAATGATATCAGCATCCTGAGTTCTAGTCGCCTCCAATTTTGTGAACACGACAGACCTCAACATGATCTTCGGTTTTTCAACATGGTGGTTTTATGAGATTAGAATTGTTGGAATGGGGGGAACATCCCAGTTCCAAGCTTGCCCCACCATGGCACGGCTCATGCCCCACAGTTCAGGCTCCGCATCTTTTCACGCCCGGATGAGCTGGTGAATGGTGCCACTTCGGAAGGACTGGTGCAGTGCATCCATAGATTCCATAGAGATGCCAATATAGATAATGAATGATAATGATTTAACAGTGTCAAATACTGAATACAGTGATGTGCTAAATCAGTACAGATGGGTTTATGCACATACATGAATATCATGAATGTTTATGCACACTGAATAATGTCAGCGCATAAGCCCATCTTCATGGTAGACCTATATAGGTCCATCATGGTTCAACCACCTGAGCTCCATGATCGCGAGACGGCGACTCCACGCTCCATCCGCGGATGGAAGCGACCTTTGAGAAGAGCCAAAGAATGGAATGACCTGCTTGGCGTAGCTAAGCCTGGTTTGAGATTCTGAAAAGTGGCTTATCACGAATCACATGTTATCACATTTATAAATGGCTCATAACCCCAATTACTAAGCAGCTTTCCCTCATGGGGTGATCCTCCAAGCAAGCCGATGATGGCTATCAATGGACTGGTTTGAGGCAACATATACGGTCTTTATACCCCCATATATCATATGGGGAAAAACATGGTGTCCTGTAGATTTTCCCGTTTCACCAATCCATTGAGGCGAAAAACAGCAACCATGACTATGTCCCAGCAATACATCTTCCCCCGGATACTAGATACCTCGCCATATATGGCCCAGAATGGGTCCAATATTAAACCAAGGTTTTGAATGGTTTTGATATGTCTTGATTGTGGGTAATTTAATGTTGCGGGGAAGTGGTTCATCATCATGAAATAAGTTGGAGAATAAGCCACACTCATTGGTGTTGCACACATCACCCAAAACCAAGTTGGCCAAGAATGTGTGTGAACATGTAGAATTCATGATTGGGCACCCAAGTAGCATTCCTATACACTGCATCTTCACTTCGGCCCAAAAATCGGAATGTATATGAATGTATAGAAATCCATGACCAGTTTGCTCATGACTTTCAGACATGCCACCCCTTCTAACTTGGCTCCTGTTCCCCCGCACTTCACGTAACTTTTCACGTTGGGAAACCCATTCGACAATACCAACGGGGACACGGGACACCTGCTGCAACGCAGAAAGAATCCAGTTCTTGTGAGTCAAGAGCACTGCCTTGCAAGGATGCATCATGATACTGTGGGCCAGCGAAATACTGCACCAGTTTTCATAGGTGGTTTCTTCATCCCATTACAGGCTTTCAACCATTCCAGTTGGTGCAATATTCCACCTATCCACAGTATCGTCTGACATTGGGTGAATCACCTTAAACCAAGAATTCTTCATCTCTCCTTTGGCAACCTACGCCGTGGTAACGCGCTGGTCGTTGAATTAATGTGGCCGTTCGGCCATCGCCGGAATTCGCCATGGGCTTAAGTGGACCCCCGGTTCGTTGCGAGAAACAGCGTTCGACATCAGGATCATAGATTGAAACTGGGGTGTTAGCCTGGAACATCCGAGTTGCAAGGGGTTGTAAACACAGTTTCACATATGTTGCCAACAATTGCGAACTATCTTTTCCAACTAACACCAGCAAGGGAAAAACAGGCTGGGTCAAGTCCTGTTTTTTCCGCCAGTGCTCAGTGTGTTTTACAATTGTCTTATCTGGAAACAGTACCCGAGCTCGTGTGGCATGCTTTGTTAGAAGAGTGGTGCCGCGGTTTGTCTGTATCTCTGGTGGAGTATTCAAGGATCTTGAATTGAACATTGAAAAATATCGAAAGGACATGTTTCATGAAGGGCACTCGATAACATGGCAACACCAGCTGAAACATCACTTGATGACAGTAGCCATCACAGTGGCGAATTTGTGAATGGTCCAGGATAGCGTCTTCTTGTGGCAAAATCTGAGATCAGATGGCGACCGAAAAATGTTGAAAAAGATCACATGATTCAACACTGCGCACCTCCTTTACTGGAAACACTTATTACTGGCCATGGACCATCACCCTTGGTATAGGAGATGCACTGAAGCCACCAATGAAATGAAGCCGAAGATGGTAAACACCTCATGTCGACAGGACATGGTTTTGGGCATCCACTGGAAGTTTTGCAACAAGAATGTTCCATCGAAGCTCACTGTTGCTAGAAACAGTGCCACTTTCTTCGACAAATTCACAATAGCTGACCTATCGGTGACCTCTGGTCACACCTCCTGGCTTGAAAAAACTCGTGATCAACGCCTTGCCACCTCGAATGAACCAGTTCAGCGAATAGAAGTGTCCCTAAAAACAACATCTATACCATCATATACAGTAATCATATACTATGCATGATGCTATTTGCCGAGGTTGGATAAATGTGCTAATTATATAGAAAGGAACACCACCCAAACAGATATAGGAACACACGAAATACAACGGATTTTCCCATAGGATCTCTGGGGACTTGCCCTCGACAAGTGGCAGATGCTCGTATTCTCTTCCAGGAGCCACGGCTGAGAATTGCTTCCTGGGACGTAGCGAAATTTGCGGATAGCCCAATCATCCTTACCCTCTGGTTATGTCAAAATAGCTATTGAACATGGCCATTTATAGTGGATTTTCCCATGAAAAATGGTGATTTTCCATAGCTATGTTAAATTACCAGAGGGTAACTCATCCATTTGACTCGGGATTGATATCATCAATGATAAATTAACGATCCATTCAGCTGTCATCTTTGAATATCTTTCATTCAATCATCACTGCATCACATTTAATTTCGTTACTTTGATAGACCCCTGTGCGTTCAGAGCCTATCCAGGATAGGTCGAAATTGCGACAAACGACAGACCTAAACGTGAATCTCAATAAGACGTATATATTTTGGGAAGAGTGCTGCAGCTGGGGTTTTGGATGTACAAAATTCATTGGCCCATTGCGAGATGATTCTAATGATGCAATGAAGCTTCCCGTGGAAAAATCGATTGAAATTCTGGAAACACCTGTAGATGAAAACCGTGGGAAGCCCTGGCGTGGAAGGGCGCCCACAAAAACTTGAATATGGCCATGTCAAAGGAAAATGAAGTGCCTCAGAATGATCAAGGGTTTCGATCTGAATTGTCTTGATATGTCTTGATGACATACAAGAAGAAGAACCATGTATACATGTACATAATTGTATATATATATATATTATTATTATTTATTATTATTATTGTTATTATTATTATTATCATTATTATTATTACTATGATTATTATTATATTAATATCATTAATATTATTATTATTATTAATACCTGGATCCTCTTGATCGTGGAAATTTCCACACCAAAGCCAAAATCGATCAATTTTGCCAAATTCAAGAGAAAAAGAACTCCTGAACGGTTATTTCCACTCCAGAACGCTTTTTTTAACTCCAGAACACTTCCGAACGGTTTTGAACGCTTTTTTAACGCTTTTTGAACGCCTTTTGAAGTGTCAGGAACGGCAAAAATCACTCTGGTGTTCTTTTTTCCACACCAACCCCCAAAATCGATCTTTTTTGGGTTTGGAGTTAAAAAATCCAGTATTTGGAAGCTCCAGGTATATTATTAATATTAATATTATTATTATTATTGTTATTATATATATATAGATTAAAATCAAACACATGCAATGGTGTTGCCATGATATCCAAAGTCCTTAAATACGTCTTTAGTATTCTCTATAGTTTCCTAGGTCTTAAGGTAAAGTTTAAAGACATATCCTGAATAGGACTTTGGACTTGGCGGGCTGGGATACTTTATGATTAAAGTTTTGGGGTTCCCAAATTTCAGACCCAAATCAAAAAACATCAAACAACTGTCTGGTTCATTGACCAGCGGGATTCCAGAATTTGCTTCACCAGGCAAATCGTCAGGAACAAATCCTATAGTCCTGTAAAGTTCTACACAACCTGCATCGAAATCATAAACCTCCCCGTAAAATTCCATTAAACGTGCCCTTAAAATCTTATAAAATCCATGTTAAATCCCCTTCAAACAGCGCCAAATCGCCGCTGCCGCCGCCATGATCGAGCATAAGCCCAGCAGTGCAAGGCCATAGACGCGGAAGAGGCGTCGCGGTCGACCGAAGCAGCGCTCTGCTGCCGTTGGCGCCGGACGCCCCGGAGGGGGAAAGGCTGCGTCTCCCAACATCCCAGGTATCTTTGGTAAAAACGGCTAGAAGACGAAGGTGAAATAGTGGTTGTTTGGCCATTGCTGTGATTTACATAATATATATATATATATGTGTGTGACCATATGTATATATATATAATAGACTATATATATATAATGGATTGGACCAACCGTGATGGAGGAGGGAACTTTGAACTTTGAGTACCTTCAATTGGGAAAGAGAGAAAAATAACATAACATATTCAACGTTCGTGACCAGAATCCAATTGAACATTTGGAGAATATGTATGCCTATAATGTCAGTCGATCATTGACCTGTTCTTGCTGTTTCGGGTATGGTTTGGCAGGAAAGCCACTAGCTTTCCATCACTTCAGAGTCCTGCAGTAGCAAATTGCATGATATTTACACACCCTTTTTGATTAACCCTGGTGCTATAGCAAATGGTTTGGTTGGCAGCTTGGACACACCCAATACCTATAGGTTTTTTGATATTATAACTCAATTAGCAACCACTCAGTGGTTTGCACAGCCTCTTTCCAAAAATGATCAGGAACCGTCATCAAACTATATATTTCCCCTGGAACTTTGTATTCAGGGGGAATTGCTTTCACTTAACTGTACTTTAGTCTTAATGTAGAAACGGCAAAGAAAACTCTGAACTCTCAGTTAGAGCACGACTGAAACCTCCACCCCCGCACCTGTGACATTTGCACTGCAGGTGTCTGCACCTGTGCACGAGCAGTTTGAATCAAAGCCCATGGCGTAAAAACTCAACAAATCGGAATCCCACACAATCTCTAGATGCAGGATCTTACCAAACGTTTAATACACAATGGCCTGCAAATCCATTCGAAAATAGTGTCTAGAACGTGTCATCCAAATCCTCCCGTGGTTTAACGTGTCATGAAATGATCATATCTTGGGTTTTTTGTGAATCCACCCACTTGACAAAAGGAGAAACCCATATCATATTGTTGGTGAGAATACGAATATATATATATATATACATCCCATTCTATCCCCAAAAATATGTTGATTTTTAGCCACCTCAATTCTTGATGGCTAAAGTTAAATCTCCAATTCGACATGTACTGGCTATATCCCAAAGAAAACAACACATACAATATCTCCAATACATCCGCCTGATATATCCATCTTACACCTGATTTCCTGGTGATCAAATCCCCTACTTTTTTTCTAGCGTCAACCCCTCATCTCAACCCTGGCACCTTCTTCGCACAGCGCAGAGCTCACCGAGCTCACCATACGGGTGCATCCTGTAGTCATGGGCTCACCACAGTCAGGAGCAGTGGGAAATCTTAGATTTATGAACAATACACACACATATAATATATACAATTAATCATATACAGATATAATTATATATGTATATATATATATTGTTGCATTAGCTTAATAAAACAAACATATCCGGACATGTAATATAAGGTGTATACACAATCTAATAAACCATATTAATTTTGATGTTCAAGTGATATTCATTAAGACCTGATGATTTCTTCCAGGACATCTGCCTCGACGTCTACCAGTACTGGTAGAACCCCTTGAAAAAAACATAGGCACGGGTCAAAGCCATTTGAAAGTCCACATCTTGTCTGGTTTTCAGATCCAAAACGTGAGATTATTGTTATTACTGTTACTACTACTATTACTATGATTATTATCATAATTCTAATATGCAAACGCTAGTTTGGAATGTTCAGCCACGTTGTGGGTAGCCTTTTTTCCAACCCCACCCAATCCCACCTGGGGTAAACTGTCACACATTACTTCACCAACCCAAAAACGGCCAGAACTTGAACACAGTTATGTTATATCCATCCTTGCGTCGACCATAACTCATACAGCACTGCCTGGTAGCAAAATTCTGCCATTCTGAGAAATATATACATTGTACATAAACTATATACATACATAAAACTCATAGAACATTAAATATCTCCCTTCAAGCCAATGACCTCGTTTAACTTGATCATTTTGTGCGGAAGATTATGACCTCTATTTAAAATGTTTTTGATGACTCCAGGTGTAACGTTCCGTGATAACAGCGTGAACCTACCATCAGATGACCCCCCAAAAAAAACAAATGACCTCAAAAACCGTGAACGGAGCGTGATCGGAGCGTGAAGATTCAGAAGCTTATTCAGAAGCTGGAATTGAGAGGATCTATTTTAAATTCGCAGGAACCTGTAGGGTAGAGACTGCATGCAGTTGGTTTAGGAGTGATCATTCACGTCAGATGTTCAGCGTTCTTGTTTGAAAATATATTAACATGTTTGCAATGTTTTTTTAATGATGTTTTATGGGATTTTTCAGCAGGACATATGTCAGGTCAAAATCGCGACGATGCTGCTCAAGGGTAAAAAAAAGTTCCATGATTTTAACAGAACCAAGTTAAACTTGATCGTTTGCAAATGACCTCTTTAAACTGGTACTGCGGACTTACAGGGTATATGTATGTATATATATAATATAATGTATATGCGTATATGAATGTATAAACATATAGTATAATATGTATGATACATAATATAGTATAATAAAATATAATATAATATAATATAATATGTTAGGATATGATATAATATATTTTTTATATAATATATATATATAATATAATACAATATTATATATTATATTATAGATAATATAATATAATATAATTTAATATGATAAATAAAATATAATGTAATATATTATAATATGATATGATATGATATATGATATGTATATAATAACAATATTTATAGATATTATATATGATATGTATGTAATTAAATATGATTCTATATATATATATATATAATAGACACACCTAAGTAACCCAAAGCATCTAACCATCGTAGTCAGCATGGCCCAGACATTTGCCTCGTGTGAGGTGACTGGCCACCACAACGGGATCTGCATAGCTTCGCAAGATCACCGCGACGTGACTCGGCGTCTCGAGCTGCGACCTACAAAAACGTGGCAGGAAGAAAGGGGAAATCCTAGGAGTTACATCAGGTTACGATAGGGTTATCATTTAGTTTAAATTTAGTCATATAATATAAATATATTATGGGAGTATACTATAGAGTTCAAATACTGGTTGTTTACAAATAATGAATAACCACCTTTAGTTACATGGAGTTACTATATGTATGATACAGGATTGACGTAGTGGCTATATTGTATGATATAGTGAAACAGTATGATCTAGCTGATACTCTTTGGGGGGGCGCTATGCTATACAACTGATTCAACGTGATGAATGCAAGGCGGAAATCAGGATGATCTGTTGTGATACAATAAGCCTGAATGAAAACTTGGACATCTGTCTGCTCTGACGATGCTGTCCCCAACCACTCATGGATAAAAGTGGAACCCACATCATCCAATTCAAGTTGACATTGCTGGAAGCGTTGCCTAACATGAGATTCTCCAATCATGCCCTCTGATAACCTAACATAGCTATCGCAAAATGGATCCGTCTGTAGATTATGTACCTACAATGAACATGATGAAAATGCCGCTTTTCCATGGCAAACTGTTGGATTACCAGAAGGGCATAACCCAATTTGTCTTGCTTAAATTCCACAAATATCCCATTTTTCCATTCCACGAATATCCCATTGTTCAGGAAGGCCACCTGGAGGAATAAAGTGCTGCTGTCTGTTCGCATCCCAAGACCTGCCCAAGAATGGAATGCCCATGATGCCATCAGTGAGACCTTTTGTTCTAAACAAAATACACTTTTTGAGTTTCATCATCTTGGAATCTTGGACCATACCATGCTCTTTGTCGTTTTGAAAGCAAAAACTTTCAACTTCTGTTCGGTTTCGGAAAGAAGTGGAACTCCTGATATGTCACTGAACTGTCAGGTTGAAATTTGATAGATCCCGCTCAACTCCAGTTTCAAGACCTGAGGTGTATCCCGGTTTTGCTGGCTTTAATTCTATGATTCTCCTATTTTTAGTCTTATTGGTTTAACCCCACCATCTGAAAGTTGCTTCATCAAACTGACCTTTTCCCGAGGATATCCTGACCGGCGCGTTTGCCCATCCCAATTCCTGTATCAAAGTCTTCCATATTTCCAATGGACCATCCAATAGCTGGTGCCGTTGTGGAGCTTCCTCCCCTTTTAACAGCCACCTGCCATAGCTACGACCATCAACATTCTCAAATCCACATTACCCTACTATGGAACAGCCCGTTGTAGATCATTCCCTTAAGGGAAACCAGAAAAATCATGTCATATCAAGGACCCCATGGTGTTGAAAATCTCTGTGGGAAGATGAACTGCTGGGCAAACATGGGTAAACTGTCCCACAAATATGATCCAAACTCAGCCAATCTGGTCCCAAATCTACCAGATATACCGTAGATTACATGGGTTTGTCTGAAAAATGAGGTGAACACCCACCAATTCCAATGGATTCCGAAAATTCCGCCATGTGATGGGTATACCGTATACCGGTATACCCCATTTTCAGATACACTGGAATATTATATTGGTGGATATATATATATATATATATCCCATTCCATCCCATTACATTCCATCCCATTACATCTACCATATCCCATACACATACCATACATATACCATACACATACCATACATATACCATAGATATAGCATAGATATACCATAGATGATCATAGATGTACCATAGATATACCATGGATATCCATAGAGTACACAGACTTAACAACCTTAGGTTTCTCAAAAAAAAAATCAACCCATTGCTCGCCTCAGCCCCAAAGGGCCCGGGCCCTGGTGGTAGCACGTAGCAGAGCTGGGCAGTCGGCAGCTGCAGGGCACCTGCAACACAGTGAGCGTCTGACCGACCAAAAATGAAGATTATATATTGTATGTGATATAAGATTTGAATATAGTATATGTATATAATGTAATATGTTATTATAAAATATTATACATATATCATTACCCCTTATATTCTGCAATACCTAAATATTATATTTTATTATATTATATTGTATTATATTATATTATTTTATTATATTATAGTATAGTGTCTAGGAGTTGTTGGAATTTGTCTATCACTTGGGGATATCACCCCATGTCAGCATTATCCAATTCCAGCAGGAATGTGGATATCGCCCTGAAGAATCCTGCTGGAATTTTATGAACTAACAACTAAGGTGCAAAGTACTATGTCGTATGTCGCGTATCGTTTGCGGTAACAAATCAACCAAAATGGCTACTCAAACAACTTTGCTTCGTGCGAAAATTGTAGATACTCTAATTGAATTGCAATATTGCACAATGATAACAACCACTGCATTTTTTTTGGTAAATCCACTTGACTCAGACCGGAACAACGAAGTCAAACCTTTTGGTATGAAATGGGTATAAATATATGTTTAACCCCTGGTAAACCAACCGTTTGCTTTGTAAAATCACATTCTTTCGTTTATATAATAATTAGGTATAATATGGTAAAATAACTTATACATGGCTATACTATTTAATAGCTATGTCAAATTACCACAGGATATAGCAATGGTAAATCCCATTCAATCACTATTAAATCCCTTTAAATCACCATTGCATCTCCGAGTCCCAGTCTGCTGTGGCGGGTTGCCTTCCACTTTACGCAGCAGCTCAAAGCGATGGCGCAGCAGCAGCGTGCCATTGGGATGACTCACCTGCAGCGTTTTTTGAAAACCATTAAAGAGCTAGGTACTAGGGACCCCACCTCTTACTAGATGATACTATATGCATCAAAATGCATTGTAAATCATGGCTCAACAATGCTCAATACACGTACGTTCTTCAAGTTTTACAGCGTCACAACGCTGCATCTTGACCCGAGCGCACCTCAAGGGTCACTTGCGGCGCTTCCAAGTATAAGTCCTCCAGGGCCTTCAACGGGGTGATTCGAAGTGCCGGAGCCACGGTGGTAGACCATGTTGTGTCACCATGGTGTGGCTAAGCATCGACTTGTCATGGAAAAGTGTCCGGCGATGCTCGATGGTTGTAGCGAGCAAAGAGGAGATGTATGAGTCAAATTCCTGAATTCCTGATAAAACGACAATTTCAGTCTGTGCTACGCAACGGCAACGGCTGGCCTCTGTGCTGGGAAGCTTCAATGGCACCTCCGCCCGCAGGAAGCGACTCAGTCGTTTCTGCTCCGGCACGGTGTCCTGGAATTGGAACGCAACGACGGGGAAGCGAGAAAGTGGAGCAGGCTGACTTGCTATGGGATTTAATGGGATTTTTCATGGCATTCAATGATTTAGTCCCATTTATCTTTGAAAAGCTGAAAAACAACAAAAGTCGACCTGTGATAGGCCGCACATGCCGAAACTACAACAATGCATTTCGATGTTTTAGATCCTCAAAAGAAAGATCCATTTTCGACAGTCTGTACAGATTCCCTCTTGCCCATCGTGCTAAAGGAAAATCTATTCTGATCTCCACATAGCAATAGACTGACTCCATAAAAATCAAATTTGTAGCGTTTGACAATGTATCCCTTCCAATCGGGGAGAAAATCCTTCAAAAACAAAGAAACACTCAGACCATCTCAGACCCACTTCCGACACCCACTTCCGACACGTCTGGCTCCTGGGGTGGATCTAAATCCGCTTCTCCACCTGCGAACATCACAGCGAGAAGATCTGCTGCGAATTATCCTGGCTGAATCATTTGAATATCTATAGGGGGGTTACTCACCCAACCAGGTGATTTCATAAAGGCGAAAGTAATTTCTTGGTAAAATTGGTTGATGAGATGCTACTTAAACGAGTTCTGTGTCCCATGAAAAGACCAAGGGTTTCTTCAGGACATAAATACCTTCGGTTGACACCGTTCTGGTGAAGTTTGGAGCCATCTATACCAGGCGCTGCTGAAGCGCTCTGTGTTTTCGTGCTTCGGGATGTTCTGGAGTATACTCGGAGTATACACCCTACAGCTCCAAACACCCTCTGAGACTCTACTTGCTGCCTTTTTTCGTGGGTCCAAACTTTGCTTTTTAGAGGGTATATGGAGCGCCAACAGAGATAATGATGTGGTGCAATGAAATCTGTGCACTTCCAAGCTCTGGGTATCCCAAACTGAAAGGCAAACGCTGCACGTCTCCAGGATCGTGGAAGTCGCTTAGCATTGCAGGGCTGATAGGCACTTCTTGCAAAACGAAGCTGAAGTTCTCCTGTGCATGATGGGATGGAAAAACAATGTGAAATATATATATATATAATTATATATATATATACACCAAACTTTACATGTAACCATGTGCATGTATGCTAAACAAAATGTGAGCTTGGTGAGTCAGAAAGAAAGCTCCAAATGCTCCAGCTTATTCCAGCTTCTCTGTGAAGTTTTGGATGTGTGGCAATCTCTATGATCAATAGCCAACTTCCACAGATATCCAATCCTTGCAACAAGCAACATTGGCTACCAGAGATATCGGGCTGTGTCGCTGGTGTGTCTGCAAATGCGGTATACCAACCGCCCGAATGGCTCCAAAAGGAAACAACTCTAAATTTTCCCACAAATCCATATCACGAATCAACCTCCATGCTATAAAAACTTCATATCTGGTTGGTGGTTTCAGCCCTCTGAAAAATATTAGTCAATGGGAAGGATTATCCCATATATTCTGGAAAATAAAAAATATTTGAAACCACCAACCAGATATATAACTTCTCTTAGAATCTCTTGCTCCTCCACCTTGGCGTCTCTATCCCGTAGACTCCTCTGAATCCAGCAGATGCCAGCGACCACGCAACTCCGGCAGCTCTTCGAGTTTCGACTGTCTGAGATACCTGGACGGCCACTGAGCTGTCTCCGGCTGCGTTGATCCAAATCTGAGAAATCGAAGGAAATTTGATCCCAACATGGTGGGTTTCTATGTCCGCAAATCATCCAAAATCATCCAAATCATGGATGGTTTTAATATGTATTAATAGGAACACCTTTACCTTTTTTTACCGTTGATACTGCGCAGAAAATAGGAACATCATTGATTTTGGAGGGTTCTCCATTTCAGGAAACCAACGAAAAAAATGTCCCTTAAATTCCTGAGCAACTCGGCTGAATTCACACGAAACACCAGATCATCCATTGAGACCTGTACCCCTGTGATCAAACAGCAGTTTGAACCTGAGAAGAACATTTACCAAACTTCAAACAAACTCAAAAAGTGCCACACGTTTCAGATCTTTTATCGGATACATTGTAATACTGCATGATATATCACCAATTCTGACCGTTGATATCGCCAACTGAACTCCCAAAAACAACTTAAAAACAACCACTCCGAAGCAAACCTTCACCTTTTTGACATATCTCTCCCCCGATCCAAGGGTCTCCCGGTAGACGGCGATCTTCTCAGCTCTCTCGTGGCCACCAAAGAGCAAGAGGGCAAAGGCACTCAGAGCACTGAAGGCCAAGAGGACGCGCACCAGGACTTTGGGCCTGGCAGATGGGAGAAATCTGGACAAGGGGATAGCGATAATGATGGTATAGAGAAAGGAGTGAATCATTTGACTTGAGTATCAAAATAAGCATTATATAATCATTATGATATATTAATATATGTTATAATTGTGTTGAACACGATTTGCAATTAAGGACTAGAGTTTTGCTGAGAGCCCTTTGAAAAGCGCCGCCATGGGTCCTCCCACAAGGTCCACAAGTTGAAGCAAGGTAATAAGCGCTTAGTGACCATAGACAAATTGTGATTTACCAACAAAAATGATGCACTTAATTCAGATATATAGCTGACTTATGATAGCATATGATAGCTAAGTGATTAATAACCCAAAGTTGTAATCCGTTTAGTAAATGGGACCCACGAATCCGGGACTTACGAACCAGGGTCACTCACCAGATACTAAGTGGGATGATCCTCCAAGCATGGGATAGGTCTCTGTTTGTTTTCACAGGTCATCTCAAACCCAGATGTGTGTAAACCCTTTCTATCTCATCCCAATTTTAAGCACAAGCCGTCTTTTCGTTCCCAGCTGTGTATCCCCATTGCTGTTCATCCCCAACACACAGGAGTCTCCTGAAAAATGGCTACCCGGCTACCCACATGTTAAATGACCTTGATTCTGGTTGCGATCCCCATAAATCATCATAAATCCCCATGTTTGATGATGTTTGATGCTTAAATCCACCAGTGTTTTCAGAACAAACACCGCTCAAAAAAAAGGCCACGAGGAGCCTAGAGTAGCTCCTAGCGAGCACTGGACTACTGTGGGACGACCGTCGCCGCGGCCACTCCTTGGAGGGTGTTGGAAGCTGTTGGCTGCCAGGGTGGCCATCAAATGTGCACAGACCTGGGTTCCTGATATGTTGTGGGGTTGAGGGGTGGCGGAATCATCTTTGCTAAAATCACCCAAGAGTGGTCTAAGTAACTATGTGTTTCATGTATGTGTTTCATCGCGATAGAGGGTCTAAGGCCAAGGTTGTGAAGCAAACAAATTAGCAAAATACATGTTTTAAGGGTATGCTGGTATACCCCGAGTAAAGAGATGGTGCAAAATTATCCTTAAACGAATATTGACTGGGGGGGGTAATGGCATTGGGTTTACCACAATACCAATGGTCCCAATGGACCCAACGGCCAGCCATGGTTCGGACCTTAGACCATCGACCTTTTTTTTCGGGTAAAGATCATTTTGATCCGACCCAAACATGGGAACCGTACGGAATGGCTGATCATCGAAATGCTTAGTGGCAGCATTCCCTTGCTGAAACCATGCTATGGAGATGAAGCCATCGCGGAGTTCAGCCACAATCAGTGGGTCCTCTCATACCCCATCTGTGGCTGTTGGATGGCTTGGTACATTGGGGCCAGGCTTAATCCAGAAATGACTACAACAAAAATGCTGCACTTCGCTTAATAACTAATATTATCATATATTATCTACTATACCCCCACCCAGATTTCACAAACAAGTAAAGTAGTGAAGGTAGCCACCCAGTTGGCTGCCGTTCTTGATGGTTAGTTGCTGATACTTCATGTGTGAATATGTTTGAGGGTTAAATGCTCTATCCACCAAAAATTTCACAGATGTACACCTACAGCAATACTTTTGAATGCTGATTCCCCAAATCTGGTTGGTAAAACTCCAACTCTTTGTTGGTTTCCGCAGGTGTATGTTGGTCGGAGGAGGAAAACATTGCTGACGAGTTGGTTGTAGAACATGAAACCCACCAATTGTCCCAAAAAAAGTTCTACAACTGACTATTTGTGTTTTGAGAAGTCATAGGGGGTTACCCAAATCATCCAAATCATGCAAAATTAGACCATGACTTACTGGTTGGTGGTTGAGCCACCCCTCTGAAAAATGATGGAGTTCGTCACTTGGGGTTACTAAATTCCCAATTTTTCTGGAAAGTCATTTAAAATTCCATGGTTCCAGTCACCACCAACCAGATATTATAGAACAGATATACTGTACCATCCATTAACCATCCATTATCCATCCATTATCCATCCACCAACCAGCTGAGTATTGAAAGAACCGGTACGGTTTTTCAATGGGACCCCCCAAAAAATCCCCACCTCCGAATCGTCCCGGGGGAACTTCGGTTCGGCGCCCTCCGGCGGCAGATGCGCGGGACGCAAGAGCTTCTCCTGCAGCGCGGGGCGTGGCACGTGGGGTTGGCGACGGAATGGCCATGGGAAAAAACCTGCGATGACCCTCTGGTTATGTCAAAATAGCTATTGAAAATGGTGATTTATAGTGGATTTACCCATTGAAAATAGTGATTTTCCATAGTTATGTTAGTTTACCAGAGGGTATAATCCTATAAAACTGGAGCAATGGAGTTATAATCCTATGGTTATGGTTGTTATAGTTGTTATGGTTACTATGGTTATTAAACTATGGGATTACATGGGGATATTTGAAGTTTAATTGGGAGCAAAAAACTGTATACCCAACGCCAATCAAACATGGCACTTGAACAGAAAGAAAAGGAAGTGTATAGCTGGGAAAATCAACTATAAATCGGGGAATTTTCCATTGCCATGTTTGATTACTGGAGGGTACAATTCATATATAAGTGTCATGAGTCATAACATAGAACCTGTCAAATAATTGTGGCTTTGAAGATGTTGGAAGATCAGTTTCCACTAAAAACCAACTATATTCAGGATCTATGTTAATTTGCTGGAGGGATGCTTCATCTAAAGATGCTGGTGTGGATGTGGTCTGATCCAATGTTGTAATTTTCGGTAAACCATGCAATGCATGTTTTGGAGTCATGTGGGTAAACCCAATAAACCATCCCGAAAATCATCATCACTGGGTTTTCAAAAATCCATCCCCACATGGTAGGTTCAACTTTTGGGTTTACAGTCTTCTACATTAAACTCCCCATTTTGTTGGGCTTATTCCCTTTGTTTGATGATCCATCGGCATCCTTTTTCAGGGTGTTTCTCAGTTGACAACTGTACAGCATGGATAGTTCTGATATGTTCTGATCAACCCTCACTTTCTTTGGCTTTGTAATATGCATTTTGTTGGCGCATATACTGCATTCCTGCCTATTCTTAAAGACTATGAACCACGTGGCCCTCCCTTTTCCTCACCTCTGCAACAGGCGGCGGCTGTGGCGTAGTACTGCGCTTGCGGCTGACACTCGGGCGATCACATCGCTCATGGCCAGTTGGCAGTGTCATGGCCGGGATGGGCCACAAGTTGGGCGAGAAGTGGCCCTCGATTCTTATATTTGTTTGTTGATGTTTGTTCAATATCTGAGGTTGAAGTTGCCAAGTGCCAGGTAAAAGGTGGTGTTATAATATGATCCAACTTACAGTAAGGGAAGTGGGTTTATCGTGCTAGGTGAGTGGGGTTACCATGGTTTGGGGTCGATGGTGGGAGATCTTTCGAATCTCTTGTTGGTGTCTGCTGCCAACAGGGGATCTGCTTCCCCTTACAGTAAGCCCCTGGTTGAAGCGCGCAACGGCCCCCAAATCTGTAGGTTGAAGATCGACAAGAGTTGGAATGGAACCAATTGGTCTGCTTGCATTCCAAAGGTCTGCATAGAGTCTATTGCGGAAGTATGTCGGAGTCAGCATCTTTCAACATCCGATAGACATCCTCAATTTTCAGAAGTCGATTTACCCCCGGGATTTACAGTTTTCAGTCTGTTTTTGGTTAGTTTTCAAGTTTTGAAAGTCATAATTATCCTCACTTTCCAGTTGGACATACCCCTCCCAGCCTCCCAGCCCTCTTTTCCACAGGCGTTTCGAGTGCACCGGTGGATTCTCAGCCTAGACCTTGAAACCACGAGAACGACCTCAGCCGGGTCGTCTCATTTCTGAAGGTCCAAGCTCCAACATACCGAGAAAAAAATGGGAAAATTACTGCAATATATACATTATCTTACCGAAATTATTGGGATATGATTTATTACACCCACCTGGACACATGAATTTTTGATGTGCTGATGTTTTTTTTAATGAAGTGTCTCCAGGTATCCTGCAACATATCCAAGAAGACATGACCTATATTATAGCCCTGTCCTAGACATCATATCATATTGTATCCCACATTCCATAGCTTTGATCTTTGCCCCGCTGCAGCCACGTGACGGCGACCACGGGCCTTCTCGAACCTTGGTCTTGAGGGGGGATGAAGATAAACCTCTGGGTGGTCGATAATTGTGCCATATTTGAGCAGCAAATTGTCGTAGGGTATCACTATTTTGTGGGAAAACCGCCAAAATTTCATCAACCTGGGTAGATTTTTTTAATCCGGAGTCGACATGATGATGTTTGGTGAACATGTAAGCTTCAACCGCTTGAGCAGTGGCCAACAATGTGATATCCAGTGATACAGGATACACTTGCCTTGGAAGGACATATGCAAACCTGGCAGGAAATCAGGGGTCTTATGGGTTGTACGCTTGAATAAAAGGATATTCCTGCAAGTTTTTAACTTCATCGAAATCTGGTAAATGGGTGAGCACTGCTTGTCTTGCCTCCTTATCTGAAGTCATTCCCCATCATACAGTGTATATATATATATATGTACATATATACATATACATATATATATATATACATAATGTCAAACAAGTACCCTGTATCCTGGATCCTGTGCAATGGATTAGATGTTTGGTACGGCAAGTCAGGTTCTATTCATCAACAATGCCAAAACCGGAGCCCAAATAAACATCGTCTCAGTCACCTCAGTGCAATGTGCACTTTTGTGAGGCCTGATGTCTTTTCAAAGTCGCTGGAAAGCCTAATAGTTATGCCCCACATTCACCTGAAGAATATCATCCAATTCCAATTTTTAGGGTTTTTGTGAGCCCCAACCAAGCATCCCAAAAAAGACAACACCTCGGGTTCCCCCGCTTGCGACCCTTGGAGCGGACATATGGTGCGGTCTTGGAGTTAGGCACCCCAGGTGCCTGAGGCGTCGGTTTTTTGGGATGGAACGATTACTGCCAGTACTATAGTAATACATATTCATATATATGTATGTATATATGGGGGACACTAATATACTAGTGCATTAAAAAAAATAAGATCCAGTATCGTTTTTTTCTATCTGTCAAATCTAATCTACTCTTATCTTATCTATCTATTTATCTAACTCTCTAACTATATAATTTCTATATAATATGATAATATATATATATATAATATAATATATATATAATATAATATATAGAGTACAGTAACTATATATATACACATGCTATATATTATACTGGACATAGCTCAGTACCTAGGAAGATCTTCCGCGCCTTGCCGAAGTGGCGCTCAGCTTCACGGCCCTTCAAGGGACCGCGCAGCAGCACGGTGCCCTTGCCTAAGGGACTGCCTTGGCATCGCTGGGTCGAGTTACAGTGGATAGTCATGGGAGATTTAAGCAGAAATAATGGGATAAAGGATATCTATGTGTATATATTACATATATATATATACTTATATACATAACAGATTGTATAGTACACATATATTTTTTTTGTTTGTTACTAGTAGTGTTTATCATGGGAATGGGTATATAACCAACAATATGATAGTCACTTTTAGTCATCGAGTATGGTCATCCAGCAATGATGACCATTTCCCGAAACTTATCCATCAAATCGCCGTTGAAACATGGGTGAAATGATGAACGATGGGAACAAAGGAGGAGGCTTCAAACAAACTCAAATATCATATTGGTGGCCCCCCTTTTTTAATGACCATATTTTTTTTGGATTCTCAGACAGACCCACATATCATATGGGTGGTCATGTATCCCGCTATATTCCTATGAATGGTTGGTTTCTCCATGATCTCTCCGTTGTTTTGACCATATTTTTCGTGGTGAAGCACCCCTAAATCCATTGAAGATCACCTCCTTCGTTTGTGCCGAGACAGGCTGCAAGGTATGACCACTAGAGCGACCAAGTATCATCATGTTCACAAAAATGGAACATGATGACACACCAAACAACGGTTGGACAACATTCCAAACTTTGCTATGCCTCCCCTCAAATAGTACAAACCTCCACTGTTCATCATTTTCACTGATTCCAACCAGTTATAGAATGTTATGTAGTTAATTCCCCATGATATCCAAAAATAGAAGGATATCATGGTGATCAATTTGGAATAAAAAACAGATATACTATCCCAAAAAAATGTAGGATATAAGTAACTTATAAGTATATCACCTTATAACCCTACTATCAATTATCCAAAAATCACCAAACAACTTGGGATAGAATATCCTAGGATATATCTATAACTACATATATCTCCCAATCACCAAAAAATCACCTACTAAAAACAAAAACCAATTATCAATTATCAGTTATCTCCCTACTATCAATTATCCAAACAATCCCATAATAAATTTAACATAGCTATTGAATTTGGTGATTTATAGTGGATACCTACATATATATATATATCCCAATCATTAATATATCTATTCCTACTCAAAATCACCCAAAAAATCCAACACGGCGCCAGGCTGCGCATGGCCAGGCTGTCGAAGGTGATGCACTCGCCGCCAGCCTTTGCGATCCTCGCCGCCAAAAATCAGCGGGGCGGTGAGCTCTGGACGATGTTCATCATGAACATGTGGAAATGGTTATAGTTTAACTATGACAACCAAACTAATGGCTATAGTTAATATAACTATAATAACTATCTGGTTGGTGGTATACCTACCCCTCTGAAAAATATGAAAGTCAATGGGAAAAATTATCCCATATACGGAAAATATAACATGTTCCAAACCACCAACCAAATGATGATATAATGTTAAGCATAAATAATTTAGATAATAAATGTTAGATCATAAATGTTAATAATTTTCATATTAATAAGTTAGATCACAAAGGTGAACATAATGTTTGCATGACAACTTAGATCATAAATGGTGATAATTATCATGCATGCTATTGTTGAATATATAATTAGATCATAAATGTTAATGCTTTCACTTAGATATAAGATGGTGAAACATAGATAATATATGATGATATCACCATGAACATAATAATATGAATAACTATAGGCTATAGATTATAAATGTTCATGATATAAGTACACCAATATACCCCCTACCATCAAGAATCTTTTAGTAGTAATGATGTGTAATGATACCGTAGCAATGAATAGTCATGATAATGGTGATGCCAATATTCACAACCACCATCGGTGTCATCAGCCTGAGCCAATTCTTCCCACGGCAGCACTGTTTGAATTGGGCCATAGCCAAATGGATGCAGCACACATTTACGTGGACAAAGACATGTAACAAAAGTCAGCTTTTGTTGGCCAAATCATGCTGCCGATGTTGTGTGATTCATGCCGATTTGGGTGAATGTTTGTTTCCTCCAATTGAAGTACAGTAGTGCAACTCTGCTTGGTCAGTTCAAACCTTCTAGACTAGCTGAGTGCATTTGGACAATCTGGTCACAGAACATATCTTTGATCATGATTGAAAACCAAGGGACACATTCGTGGAACAACATCGAAAATGGAACACATGAGCAGTGGCAAAAAAAAACCCTGCAAAACTTCATTGGTTGGTGAGTGGAGTAAGAAGATTATCACAATCCATGGGAAATTCATATGAAAAATATTGAAACGTGCTGGAAAAACCGGCTGGCGCCTGGCACGAGCGGTTTCGGTGAAGCCCAACGCGCACACCTGTGGTTCAACACAATCCAAGTCGCTGAAACAATGCCTTGTGACTTTTTCTGATACCCCTTTTGATGCGGACCCCCAACGTCCCACGGTTTCTCATTGTTTTTGTCATCACCCTAATGACCATTGCCGCAGAATGACTTCTCCCCCATTGCCGTCATGGCCTTCAGCTCCGGCACATCGTAGACGCGCTTGTCGTCCGTCACCTTGCCTTACGTTGACATCTTCGAATGGTGGGATGGTACAGTAGTGGGACATCATTCACCAGCCATCTGCCAAAATCATCGAAAATCTAAATCCACTGGGCCCTCACTGGGCTTCATCATGCCTCATCATCCCAGTGATCCATGGATGCTGGGCACATCGCTCCCGTCGCTCCCATCGCTCCCATCCACGGCCGCCTACCACCACTGCGATCTTACCCTCCTTGTTCTCCATGTTCTTGATCAACTTGGAGAGGGACAGTGGCGGTCGATTCCTTGCCGCACACAACAAACATTTAACAAGCAATGCCAATAGCCTCAGCATCAGGATCAAAGCGGTCTGACGGTCTCCATCTGCCAATTTTATATTCTTATGCAATTTTCATTGGATGGGTTTGTTGGGGAAAATCAGCGGATTGAATCCGGAATCATGGACTTTTCCCATGAATTCTGGAGGGATTCCTGTAAAATTTCCCAATCCATGTTAGTTTTCTGCCATTTCTGTCCATATAAACACCGAAACCACCCGGCTGCCATTCCCACCCGGCTGCCTCGCGGACATGTTGAGACGCTTTGAGATCACCTGGCGAGTCCGGCAGTCACAAAGGATGGGCCTCCTGAAATATGCTACGCGTATTACGAGTCTTGTGGTAAACCCACAATGATATTGTTGAAATTAAAAGTTCTGATGATAATGATGATATTGTTGATATTAAAAGTTTTGATGATGTTGATGATATTGATGATATTGATGATGTTGATGATGTTGATGTTGATGATGTTGATGATGTTGACGATATAGATGATATTGATGATATTGGTGATATTGATGATATTGATGATGTTTGTGATATCGGTGATATTGATGATATTGATAATATTGAAAGTTTTGATGATGTTGACGATGTTGATGATATTGATGATGTTGATGATGTTGACAATATAGATGATATTGATGATTTTGTTGATATTGAAAGTTTTGATGATGTTGATGATATTGATGATATTGATGATGTTGATAATGTTGACGATAGAGATGATATGGATGATATCGATGATATTGTTGATATTGAAAGTTTTGATGATGTTGATTATATTGATGATATTGATGTTATTGACGATATTGATGATGTTGATGATGTTGACGATATAGATGATATTGATGATATTGATGATATTGATGATGTTTGTGATATTGAGGATGTTGGTAATATCGGTGATATTGATGATATTGTTGATATCGGTGATATTGAAAATATTGGTGATATTGGTAATATTGGTGATATTGGGGATATTGGTGATATTGATGATATTGATGATAATGATGATATTGATGATATTGATGATTTTGATGATATTGATAATATTGATGTTATTGACAATATTGATGATATTGAGGATATTGACGATATTGATGATATGATATTGATGATGTTGATGATATTGGTGATGTTGATGAAATTGATGATATTGGTGATATTGATGATATGGATGATTTTGATTATATTGGTGATAGTGATGATATTGATGATGTTGTTGTTGAAATTAATGATATTGATGATATTGGTGATATTGGTAATATTGATAATATTGGTGATATTGTTGATATTGATGATTTTGATGATATTGATGATATCCATTATATTGAAGATATTGACGATATTGATGATAATGATGATATTGATGATATTGATGATGTTGACGATGTTGATGATATTGATGATGCTGATGATGTTGATGATATTGATGATATTGATGATATTGACAATATTGGTGATATCGATGATATTGATGATGTTGTTGTTGATATTGTTGATATTGGTAAAAATGGTGATATTGATGATATTTGTGATATTGATATTGGTGATATTGATGATATTGATGATGTTGATGATATTGATGATATTGATGTTATTGATGATATTGACGATATTGATGATATTGATGATATTGATGATGTTGATGATATTGATGATGTTGATGATGTTGATGAAATTGATGATATTGATGATATTGATGAAAGTGATGATGTTGATGATGTTGGTGATATTTGTGATATTGATGATATTGATGATATTGAAAGTATTGGTGATATTGGTAATATTGGTGATATTGGGGATATTGGTGATATTGATGATATTGATGATAATAATGATATTGATGATATTGATGATTTTGATGAAATTGATAATATTGATGTTATTGACAATATTGATGATATTGATGATATTGACGATATTGATGATATGATATTGATGATGTTGATGATATTGGTGATGTTGATGAAATTGACGATATTGGTGATATTGATGATATGGATGATTTTGGTTATATTGGTGATAGTGATGATATTGATGATGTTGTTGTTGAAATTAATGATATTGATGATATTGGTGATATTGGTAATATTGATAATATTGGTGATATTGTTGATATTGATGATTTTGATGATATTGATGATATCCATTATATTGAAGATATTGACGATATTGATGATAATGATGATATTGATGATATTGATGATGTTGACGATGTTGATGATATTGATGATGTTGATGATGTTGATGATATTGACGATGTTGATGATATTGATGATGTTGATGATGTTGATGATATTGATGATATTGATGATACTGATGATATTGATAATATTGGTGATATCGATGATATTGATGATGTTGTTGTTGATATTGGTGATATTGGTGATATTGGTGATATTGGTAAAAATGGTGATATTGATGATATTTGTGATATTGATATTGGTGATATTGATGATATTGATGATGTTGATGATATTGATGATATTGATGTTATTGATGATATTGACGATATTGATGATATTGATGATATTGATGATGTTGATGATATTGATGATGTTGATGATGTTGATGAAATTGATGATATTGATGATATTGATGGAAGTGATGATGTTGATGATGTTGGTGATATTTGTGATATTGATGATATTGGTGATGTTGGTGATATTGATGATATCGCTGACATTGATGATATTGATGTTGGTAATATTGATCATATTGGTGATATTGGTAATGGTCATATTGGTGATATTGATGATATTGATGGTGTTGATGATGTTGATGGTATTGATGCTATTGGTGATGATGCTGATATTGATGATATTGATGATATTGATGATGTTATTGACGATATTGATGATATTGGTGATGTTGGTGATATTGGTAAAAATGGTGATATTGATGATATTTGTGATATTGATATTGATGATATTGATGGTATTGACGACATTGATGATATGATATTGATGATGTTGATGATATTGGTGATGTTGATGAAATTGATGATATTGGTGATCTTGATGATGTTGATGATGTTGATGATGTTGATGATACTGGTGATATTGGTGATATTGGTGATTTTGATGCTATTGATGATGTTGATGATGTTGATGATGTTGATGATATTGGTGAAATTGTTGATATTGATGATATTGTTGATATTGAAAGTTTTGATGATGTTGACGATGTTGATGATATTGATGAGATTGGTGATTTTGATGATATTGATGATGTTGATGGTTAATGTTGCTTGATATTAATGATTGATGATTGATGATATTGATGATATTATTGTTGCTCTTTCAATGATGAGATCATAGACATCCCAAATCCATGTAATCCGTTGATTAATGTGGTAAACCCAAGAATAAACGTTTAACATCAACCAGCCCCAAAGTCATCAGCATTTTGACGGGTCTTCAACCATCCCGAGTCATGGGAGTCGTTTATGGCATTGGGTGGCCAACATTATAACAGGTATAATATTTGTGTAGGGATAACTAGTAGGTAATCAAGTATCAATTCATGTATAGGTAATAATTTTCAGGTATGAACATGATATAAAATGATACAAATACAGTGATCATCATCAGGTTTGAAGTAATATAAAATCGCTTAATATGATACGTATAGTAATATGGCTAGAAAATCAGCATCAACCGACCAGAATGTATCAAAAAACCTGGAGCTTGAGATTGACTAAACGACAAGACAAATGCAGCAGGAATATCATGAACAACAATCGGGGATGGGCCTCAACTATATCTACCAAACAGAAATTGCTGGGATTCGCGATATAAATATAATATCTACCATAGATGTTCCATAATATTCATCATATGGGGATGGGTCAAAACCTTATACCCCTTCTGTTCACATTAAAATAGCTATTTTTGTTAGCTGACGTTCATCCCCCAAATATATATATATATATATATTGTACATATATTATATATATATTATAGAATATAACAAATATATATATATGTATATATAATATATCTATAGATATTGATCCATGGCCAGATCTAAACTCTCTATCCGGGATTCAAGTGGTGCTCCGCTACGACTCGCCTTGTTGAACTTGGACTCGCTACGACGCGCCAGGAATTTGTAGAGCTGGCACAAGAGGCGCAGGTAGGGATTCCTGGCGGCCGCACGGCCGCACGGCCGCACATCGCAGGAATTCCATAATTACTAGAGTATCTATAATCTAGAGTATCTATAATCTCTAATTACATCTAATTAAGTCTAGTTAATGATATTATATTACAGGATATTATAAGTTTTTTCCTATCTACATATTGACACCATCTGCAAACATGAGGTTTTGCCAGCAACTGTAATATCAATGGTGGCAGACAAGGCTCTTCGACTTCACCTCTCCTTGGCGCGATGATCCAGGATGATCCAGGATAGCTGGAGCAAAGTGCTGCATTGAAAAACTGTTGAGATCCAGAAAACCAAACCTCTGGCACTTCAGTGATCTTGATGATTTCCAGAAATGCCAGAAGTATGCCAGAAGTATCTGGAAAAATGACATGAACATGATCAAGATCACTTATCACCAAGAAGTAAGCTTCCACAGCCCTCATCCCACAGCACAAGTGCCGCCATCCATCCCTGAGCCAAGAAACTCTTCTTCACTTTCTTGCGACCTCCGGCTTCGATGTCCTAGGTAAATCAGATCTGTTTCACTGTCCGAGCGTCCTTGCATCAGAACATTAGACACCTATGGTAGCCTATGTCCTGTAGCGTTGCAACATCACATGTCTACTGATAACGGTGCCTTTGTCATTATCAGACTTATCCCGGGCATAAAAGCAGTCTTGTTAAACAGCTTTTAACTCATCCGTTTCCCCGACCCAAATTCACCAAGCTTCGATTCCCATGGCGCCAAATCGTCCCACACACCGGCTACAGAATTTTCAGCCTGTCTTTCCCTTGATCAAAATTTCAGCAGCGACACAGGCTGGCAGGAGGTCAAAGATTGCAGCCTTACTGAAGTAAGACTCAGGATGTACAGTAATTAAACATATAAGTACTCAAAAAGCAATGTCTTGCATTGATTTGGGATGCCTATGGTCTCATCATTGTAACATCACAATCATGGGGTATCACACGGTACAACATGTAAATCTACATTATAACCGCCAAAACATGCCAAGGGAAATTGAACTCAAGGCGAAGTTTGGGGGGAAAAAGACTGTGTCCATCTAAACTGTAAAGAATGATCATCTGGGTAAATCAGAATATTTCACTAATCTGAAATAAGGTTGTAGTCATATTAGTGAGGAATAGTTCCATGGTTGTTACCCTTGGTTGTTACCCTAAATCAGAATATAATCCATCTATTCTAATGTTGTTACCCTTCCTAACCATCATTCCAGTGAGGTCGCAGTGAGGTTATAATCTCCCAGAAGATCATGCCTGGTCCCACAGCTGCGGACTCAAACCCTACTGCAATCAGTGCCCCGAAATTCAGCGTGACACCTCATTGATGGCCGTGTTAAGACGCTTATTCCATGCATCATTAGCACTAGGATGGACACAAATAATTGGGATCTCAAGTTTCAAAACATTCAAAAAGGGAGAATTATGACTGGTTGGTGGTTTCAACCCCTCTGAAAAATATGAGTCAGTTGGGATGATTATTCCCAATATATGGAAAACATGTTCCAAACCACCAACCAGATGATAAATTACAACCCATTGGAGTGAAAGTAGGGTACCCCAAGATCCGCTGGTAAAATGGCCATGTAGGGAGCAAGACGGTCTGGCAGACTATCCCAGCACTGGTTCTCAGACGTTGCTTCGAAGCAAGATCTGTACCGTGGTAGAGGCTTCCCCACCTGGCAACGTTGAAACTCAAGGTGCGACCTATTGAAGGCTACCCAGTTTGGTGATGGATCCAGGATGGGAAATTGTACAAAGATGACCTTCAAGCTGAGTTCCCCCGCAGAAGATGGGCGTTCCGAAATCACCAAAGCTTTTTTCCAGCACGCGAAAGCGAATGACCTGAGCTGCCACGTGTTGAGAACATGGCGATGCTGCCACGATGCAGCCCTAGCCGCAGATCAGCTTTGTTTGCTCTAAAGTTGTAAGGAAATAATGTCTGGCTATGTCGGGGATGCCTATGTAGGTGGGTATGGACCAAGTATTGATCAAAAATCCAGGACCATTCATGTACTATTTGGTTTGATCTCTCGGATAGAAACATGTGAACAAACATAAGCATACAAAAGCGGCATCTTGTCTAGTTCCCAATGTCACCCCTTCACCGCTGGGGTGGCCACCCCTTTGTTACAACGCAGGACAATCAACCAATGACCAGCGAGCTCAATCAGAAGAAACATACAGGTTGTATTATCCATCTAAACGGCTGGCCCTTCATTTCTAAACTACACATATATATATAATACAACATATGTTATATATTATTGATTGTAGAATAAATTGATTTATATAATGTGATATGCTTAAAAAATGCACTTTTGTTGCAATATTTGTACATATATACATATATATATATATGTATGCACATCAAATAGTATGTATGTCGTTTCGTTGTTTCGTTGGATCAGTGGCATCGCAAGACAGATTTCCACCGCCAAGAGACATCATCGCTATCTACCTGCAGAGTGGCGCTCTGCAAAAACGGGCATCTCTTGGCGCTATGAAAATAGACATCAAAATCCATTGGAATGTGACGAATCAATTGAAAAAACAAACTTGGGACATGGATGATGATTACGAACGTGTCATGGGTAAATCATGGAAAATGGATCATGATCATGAAAAGGATGATAATATTTGATAATCACGATGATGATGGTGATGGTGTAGTGACATAAACCCATGTGCCATTGACAAGGTGCGCTTGCACGACTGATGCTCGTAGATCTCGTAGCAAAAAGAAGAAACGATGTTGTGACAATTGGGAAATTAGCCTTCGCAATGAATCTACCAAACAAAAGCTCTAAAACCACCAGAACATGATGATCTCTGCATGAAGAACACGGACCGCCACAAATCCCATGTCCGCAGAACATGGTGCAATGCACCTCGATACTGCGACAGAGGTGATTGAAGTTGGGCTTCATGTGGCCACCCCAATCTGTCCTGCCGCATATGTGAGACTCCAAAAAAGTGCTGGATGTTGAGGGATTCGGCTGAAGAATAACATCTGGTCCAACCTGAAATAAGGTGATTTTAGGATGTTTGACGTTCCTCACTATATGCTGGGTTTTGCTAATATTGCTGAGGCAAATCACTGAATGGTTGGATGGGTGCTCAATTGAGAAAATCTATGGTCTCACATGCATAGATGTATTATTATATAAATAATTGCGGTACCAAGAATCTATTTGGCAAATGGACAACATCGAATATGTATATATATCTTATGTAATACACATCGATCAGTAGATAACATCTATATATATATAAATATAGATAATCTAGATGTATGATATAAATATATGATAGTATATTGCCGGACAGTTGCTTAGAACCTGTGGAAATTTTCCAAAACGCTCGGGTATGAAAATTTCTTCACACTTAGCACCTCTCAGGTTCTAACCAACTGTCCGGCGGTTCTAAGTGTGAGTCTGGTTTTATTTTCCGGAGGTGCTAAGTGCGAAGTCCCCCAACCATTTGCCTCATTCCCTATCATTCCTATAAACAGGGTAAACATATATAACATTATATAATATTATATAACATTATATAACATAATATGTTCAACATATATAATTATGATCAGAAAACACACTACAATGTGGAACGAATCGCATTCTTTTCTGCTAGGCGGAGCAGCTGTCAGTATTTAAAAACCCCTTGGTCGTCTTAGCCACCTAGACCTAGCCATCCCACTCAGATGCGGAAGATGCAGAATCCATCGTTAGTCGGGTGGTGCATGTAGAACATAAAGCCACTGCCACAAAATCCCTTAGCATAATTGATCTTGATAGTATTTAAAATCATCATGTTTTTCAGAGGTTCTAAGTGCGAATCTCCCCAACTATTTACATGGTTATAAACATATGTAGATGTTAACTCATATCATAAAAGATACTCATGATTGTGAGAGGTTCTAAGTGCGAGTCTCCCCAACCATCTACGTGGTTATAAACATATGTAGATGTTAGTTGATAACATGGAAAATCATCATGTCATAGGTAGAGGTTCTAAGTGCAATGTTTTTTGGGTTCTAAGTGCGGTTTGCTCGTGTACCGATTTTTTTTGGAAATTTTCCAAAATTGGTTCTAACCATATGTCCGGCACTATATATCTATAGTAGATAGATAGATAACATCGTGTTTTTGTTTTTTTTCGAAAGGCATCGCGGTTGGCACTGCAAGGCTCCTGGTCCGCGCAAACTCCCAGACGTGGCCGTCGCCTGGCCCGACGAAAAAAAAGGGCTGCGTTGGGTGTCAATCTTATGTGATACACTATGTATATGTCATATTTGCGTATATAATATATATATATACTTATGCATAGTGTATTAAATTATATTATTACATATACATATACTTATATTATAATACACTACATTATATACTTATATAATCTTATATATATATAATATATCATTTATGTGTATATAAATATAGACACATATAAGATCATTATATACACATACTTATATGCATAGATGTATTGTACAGTTGAAGGTGTGTATGTATAGAGCTTTAGGGCTCACAGTACTGACCCAAAATCAAACACTCAAAGGATTGCCCAGTAAGGTGCGGGCTTTTTACACGCTCCACCACCACGAAGGGGTCCATCTTTCCGAAAGACCCAAAGTTCCTCAGCGGTGAAAATCCACAGCGGAGCGGAGATGCTGGATAATTCGTAATAGGTTTAGGATGATTTGGGGAAATCTCAACCACTTTCAAAGTTTCATAATTCGAGAATTTGCAAAGTCGGGCTCCTAAACTAATGAAAACTAAGGGAACAAAAAACACGTAGAATAAACACGGCGATACTTTTGTCCCAAGAGTTGTGCTCAAACCAAACTGGGCCCTTGGCTTGAGAAGCTCCGCACGTAGCACCCAGACTTGGAGCCGCCTGTGCTTCAACGCACCATCTAAGGCCTGGCAGCTTCTGAGCTTCTGATCCACGGGCTCCAAAACCCGATCTCCAGATGCTGCGCCTTCTTGTCTTTCTCTGTGGTTAGCTTCTCCTCGCGGCTGGGAGAGATCTTCTGTTTCAGAATCAAATTCCAATATGCTTAATGTGTATGAGTGATTCTCTGATTCTTCAGGGATTCACATTTTGATATGTGGATATGGTTCAAAAAAGCCAAAGACAAACATTAACCCAGAAAATCAAAAAGTTGATTTTTAGCAGTAAACCCCTCATACATTGCGGTTAGATCATCTTGAGCGACACGCCCAAATCATGTGATGGGTCAAAATGTGTGCGTCTAAAATATCAAATTATGATATGAATTTAGAACAAACATATTTTGGGAATTTGTATATATATATATAATTTTATGTATATATATATATCATCAATATATGCATATTTTAATGATTAAGCACCCGTTAGAGTATACAAGTTGTTTACAATACCCATGAACATTGACCATATAAGCCATGGTTATTGATGTCTTTAAGCCATCATTTTACAAAGGTGGTGCCCCACAGTAAAAAGTTGGTAAACATAACCCTCATTAAGTATAGATATATCTAACATATTCTACCACAAATCCTAGTTATTAGAGTTACAAGCCTAAGCCAACTTGTATAACTAAGGGGCAACAAATTGTAGATGTAATTTGCAAATTTACTGTGGATCAACTGGAGTGACGACTGGGGATCCCCTGGCCTGACTGGATGACGTCAGCAGCGTCCGTGCCGGTCCCACCGCATCAGGCGCCTGGCTCTGCGTTCGGAACAACCATCAATATATACCCTCCATCCATGAATATACCCTAGCAAATGGCCGTTGGAACAAGCATCAAGAGAGACCCACCTCTGGCAGTTGACTGCTTGCGCAGCCCATGACGCTGAGTCGGCTGACGCTGAGTTCTTGAAACCTGGAAAGCCTGGAACTCCCAGAATGATTGCGGAATGTGTGTTGGATGACGTATGATGCAAGAAGCATAGTTTTCGTGTAAGCCACAAGATGAGTCAAAGTGATGAGTGGTTACTTAATGTCAGGGTTCTTTCAGGCTGCGCAACTGCCCTCTTGATGTCAAAGGTGGACAGCAGGAACATGGATACATGTTGATGTCACAAAATTGACGCAACTGCCAAGCAGGAAATGGCAGAACCTCTACAGGCTAGAGTTGGGCCAGGAATATTTCAAGCCTGATTCCATAAGTAGTCAGACTTAACATGCACCCAAACCTCCCGAATGCAGTCGCTGCTCTCTCCTCTTTCGAGACTGCAACGTCATCCGGCCGCCGGGTTTACAGTTTGACTGTCTGACCCTGAGAAGCGTTTCAGAAAGCGCCAGTCGATTGCCATCAACTTGCTGAATCCAGCGACGAGCATGGCATGTTGGAAAACAATGACTGCATTGCAGGTTGAATGAGGACTTGAACTTGCCATGTGGCTATTAAAGTCATAAGCCTTCGAGATTCAATGATGGGATGTCCACAAGTGCGCCAACTTTGGGCTCGTGGTTGCCGTAACGTGGCATGGGAAAATTGTGGTCGTTGCGCCACCGCTGAAAAAAATATGAAAAGATCTGAGCCGTTGCCGAGGGGCCCCTGGATATTGCATCCCTCGCCGGTCACACTATGAAATAGAAACAAGAAAAGAAATAATGTGGGAAACGGGGAAACCGGGAAACCCAATAAGAAACCATCCCCAAGATCATCATTATAATGGGTTGTATAAACCATCCCCAGTCATGGTAGGTGTATGGCAGTGCTTCCCTCAGGCGCCATACTAAGCTGCACAGGTACTGTTTGGGTATATCAACATGTGGCATATGGTGTTGCACTAACATGCACCTTTTTTTCGTGCACATGACAAGTGAATACAAGTGATCTGTGATATGTATATGATTCTGGAAAAACTAGTCCCAACCTTGGTAAGATCATTCTCTTTACACCCGGCTGGACAAAACTCACAGTTCCTGACGACCACTCTTGTTGCAGGTTCTGCTGGGAGGTGTAAAAGCAACTGCTGAGAGGGAATGGAACCGGGTGACAAGACTTCTGATAGGACTTTCTCAACATCCCTTGAAAGAGTCAAAATGATGCCTAGCAAACTTTCTACGCAAGTCCAGAATGTAACCTAGCTAAAAATAAATTCATAGTATATTCCATGTATATATATAAATGTATATATATATATATATAAATGTATATATATATATATATTGAATATGGTGTGAATATGATATCATATATATATACATTATTATGTATCGTGAAATTAAATAGATTAATTATATATATGTAGATACATTGATACATGTCAGAAACTACTGTGGAAACCTCGGCATCGATCTCGTCTAGTTTATTTTATCTCGCCGCCTCTCAGGTGGATGTCTTCACAGGACCCATTCCGCAGACGTGGCAAACGGCCACAAAGTCAGGATAGTCCTTGACTCGCTGGGAGATGGGATGGGATGGAGCTTGTTTTTTTTGACGTTGGATGATACATGATGATGTGCTTGGCCCAGACCCGGACCTGCTTCCGGGAAAAGGTTTGTAAAAAAAACATCTAAGCATAGGGGTTTGTCTCATTTTTTCTACCTGGGTCTCATTTCATTCAAGTCAGCCTAGCTCAACTGTGGCCCTATCCAAGCAATCTTGGCTTCAGAAACCACGCCCTGAATCGACTTGGAATCGGATTTCCTTACATCAATCCCTCCCTTTTCTTCTATATTCTGATCAGATCTGAATAAAAATGAAACCTTCCAAGCAGCGGTCTCCTTTTTCTCCTACAAATGGCTAAAGTCCACTAGTGTTCAGAAAGGGAATGCGCATCTCTTCATTTTGTAAATGGCTCGCTACATGGCCATGGGTCAATTCACTCTGGAAGAATCAGATCTGTTGACCCATCCACTCTTCCCATTTTCTTTTGCAGTAGGACATCAAACCGTGAGGCACATCATCCACACATATCGCAAGCCGGATTAGAAAGTACATCATCCAAAGCCTATCAAAACCTCAATTAGAAACCACTAACACGTCCTAACACTTCATTTCAATGAAATCCCATTAAACTTTGAAAAAAACTTCAAACAATCCAGAGAAAACCAGCAACCCCCCAAGAAATGCTGCGTCTCCGAGACACCACGAATCCTCTTTGCTGCAGATCCGCCTCCGTGATCATGGCCTGGCTGGTTCTATGAATCTATTGATATAATGGGATAATCAGTTAATTGATCTAGTCATAGAACAATATATCTATCATGGGACATTATCTATTAATCTATTAATCTATTAATCTATTAATAGAAACATACAATAAAATTGGGATAATCACTATTCACTTTCTAATCTATCAATTCAATGTACTAGCCGTACTAGCCCCTATTATTTTCTTACTATACGGTGGTACGGTGAAAATATTTATTAGTGAATTAACATAATGGTGCATGTAATGCTTTATCTTAGTGCTGCTCTATTATAGTAAGCCCGTAAACCCCAACATGATGGACACATTCTATAGGATGAGGGGTGATAGAACTGGACGTAGCCATTGTATATCCATCATCATGGATGTCTATGCCACTTTATCGAGATATAAACTAACTTAACTTTGGCATGTTAAATTGGGTTTTATGAGTGGTATGGGCCCATGGGGCATACAACCAACCATTCTAATTGTGCTTCATATCATGGGGTATGGTAGCATATATATATATATACACTTGTATACGCACCATGCAATGACAGAAATGGCGGATTAGGCCAAACATAAAAGTCATAGGGGTTAACCAGAAGAGTTTAACCTGCTGAGAACAGTGTTTTTCTATAACCTGCTGGATGACCAGCAAAAATGAGGATCACTGGACTTTGATCAAACAAAATTCATCCAATTCTGATGAGAATGAACCTATTGGGATGTTGAACCGGTACATGACTCCTGGTCAAAGATTGAAGTGTGGATCAACATCCAGGATGGCTTTGGACATGTAGGAAACACACACATCCAGCGCATGTATAATAGATTATAAGTATAATAATAATGGGATGAAAAATGCGATTATAACTCTATTAAAATTGCGTAATATTATGGGAAAAACACACATCAATCCATTGCATGGTGAATTCTCATTATTTTGCCGTCTTCCCAGCTCTTTCATGTGCAAAAATTTGGTCGCCCCTAGAGTCAGAGCTACTGATTGGGGTCCAAAAGCCAACATCTGTACTCTTTAGCCTCTGGTAGTCTAACCTGGCAATCGAAACTACTCCAGTTGTAGATGATTCATAGCACCCCCAAACAAGTTAGAAACACATATATACTATACTGTTTCCGCGGGGATTCAATCCGATCCGTCCAAGATTCAAGACCCGGTACCACATATCTCCGGGGGTTTCTCAACATGGGGATCCCCAGGTCACCGACCCATGACGACTGGATGATGCAAGGGGCTAGCCCCATAACTTTGGAAACCTCCGAATGACCGTTAGCATCCCATGATCATCGAATTGTTAGTTAATGATGTTTATCCCATGATTATCCCATTAAATAATCATTACCATCCCATTAGTCCTATATCCATCATTATCCCATCCCAGTAACATCCCAGTACTATGAAATAAGCAGTACACTCTGGTAAACTAAGATAGCTATTGAAAATGGCAATAGAAATAGTTGATTTACCCAGCTATAAAATTGTGATTTCCATACTTATGTAAACGTTGACCAGAGGGTACCATTTGATAGGTCCGATAGGTGGTGTCTTTAATGGGGCGGTTGTTTCTTCCATCCAGGCCTCCAGCTGGTCATCTGACAGTTGAAGGCCGAGACTTTCCACCAGTGCCTCGAGACATCAACCCGCTGCAGCCCATGATAACTTCACGAGATGATGTTGATGTACTTCTCATGAACATATATATATATATAAATACAAGTATTATATATATATATATATATATGTATTTGCCTTAATCCCATCAAACTAACACCCATCCCCCAACTGTTTTCATCACACTTTCTTCCTGCAGATCCTTTCAAATCACATCAATCTGGGCAAATTACACCCTAATTCCCTACCAACGCCAAAAAACCATATACACTAAGGTGGGCTGGGTTTGTCTGTTTCCATAGGGTGTTCCATTCCATCCACGAGTGCATCATCATGTTAACTACAGAATCAAGAGCCATATCAATTTAGTGGGTATATAAACACTTTCTCTCTATATATATTTTATGTTTTATTATATGATATTGTATTATTTTATATTATATTATATTATAATAAATTAAATAAATATAATTATATATTTTACATTTATATATATAATATATATTTATATATTATACAAATTAAATATTTATACATATATCAAACATCTCCAATACACAACATGCCGCTTTTGGGACTCACGCCAGCACTCTCCCAAGATCTGCCCGCCTTCATCTCGTCGGGGTACAAGCGCAGCTTCCCGCGGCTGTCGAACTTCTTCATGGTGGCCTTCACAGCCTGCCGGATGGTCCAGGTCCCTGAGGACATCCTATGTTGGGTAGTAGGTTTCATTCGCAATATATATATATATATATCTCATCAAAAAATATGGCAATCTTAGAATTATATGAGAACATTAAACAATATTGTATGAGAAACATATTATATGGTATGATTGTTTGGGGCAGTATTCTTATTCTTTAACAAAAGTGTGGCATTGTAATTGTTAAACAATGGTATGAAACACTTGTATTGTGAAACAAAGGTGTGATAATTCCTAAACAATGGTACCAAAAATGGGAAATCTATGCCATTAACCAACCATAGTGGCAACGTGGAAACCATTCGGATGGGAATATAATTGTCGCAAGTAGATCTTAATTGAATTAGAACAGGACTACTCTAGGAATTTCTAGGGCATATACCTCCGATTTATGGGAAATCAGCTAAGTTATGGAATCACAACTGCGATGCAACGGCCATAGTCGGCATATGATATATACATATATAATATATATATATAAAATACGTTCGTCTTTGCGGGGTAAACCCTAGAATGCTCGGAAATTACACCAATCTATTGTACTGCACTCGGACCAGGATGGTAAATCAATTGTCCCTATTGACTTGTTTTTAAGTGGCAGTTTCACCATCAGAAAATAGCAGAATCTAACAATCATTAACGGACAAGTGGGACATTTCACCAACAGAAACCACAGCCATGTCCTTTTTTTTTGCCTCCTCAAAGGTGATCGATGAATTTTCCATGTTTTTAACAATGGCTTTCTTCACCTCAGCCGCGGCCATCGGAGAAAAAAACCAGCGACAAAAAGTTTTCGATCACCGGGAATGGGACGATGTCATGAGGATATGTTTGGCTTCCTTTTTGAGGATGGGCTGTCATTTTTGTGGGAAACATGGGATAAGAATTGATATTATACATACATTTCAATGCTCCATCCTTTTTCCCAAGATTGGTGCAATTATAAAAACCTGAAGGAAGCACACAAGAACAAGAACACAAGTTTTGTAATCATAATTCAACCCTCATAATGTCCTGTATTTATGAAGGACCAAGGATTTAAACCCAATGATGGACCCTGATCCACCTGATCCCAAATATGTTTGCGGCTTTGCCCGTCAGAGTCGATCCTCATAGCACCCCAAATGTTCAATCCTTGTCCCTAGATTTGCCAACTATATCATTTGCTGGTCCACCAAGCTAATTGAAGCTCTTATGGGAAGTAATATAAAGATGATGTATCAACATGTCATATCAGATGTTCCCAACTACTGTATATCAATTTTAGGCTACGGTTAAAGCGGATTTGAACTCATATCGGTGTCTCCGAAAATTTGGGGACATAAACATAAATGTGCTTAAACAACATCTTCCCTCCTGAAATAACCATACATTGGGGGTAAGGCAAGTCCACCCATTTTCAGGCTTTTTCCCACATATCAAAGCTGATTAGTCATATCATATCTCACTATATCCCCAATTAAATTCCTTAGATCCCCATCAAATCCACATGAAAAATCCACATGTTGAAACCCCACCAAGACATCGCGTAGTTCTCCTTGAAGCCGTGTGACCCTCGCCCAGGACGCCGCCGCGCTGATGTCTTTGACACCCGCCATCCGGAGCTTCGCTTCGGCCGCGGCCGCATTGTACAGCACGTGGTAGGTAACCTGCAGGGTGGTCCAGTGATGTAAACCGAGAAGTAAACCATAGTAGCTAACAGGGAATTCGATATGATAAGTATATATATATATATGTGCTTAGCCAGCCAAACTCCAGGCATCTAAAAGTTTAAACTTTTTACCCAAAATAGCTGTGCAAGTCTCACCTCGCACGTGCCGCATCTTTTGACAGTGGAGGATTAAGGGCTAAGGGCTAAAGGTATCACATTTTCGCCCCTTGAAAATCAAAACAATGGCGTGAGGTTTGTAATGGGGCTTATGGCCGGAGTTCTTGCAGTATGAAAATGCGATGTTTTCACCTTTGTTTGAAACTGTGTCTAAACTTGTCGTGGTTTGAGTTTGGCGCAGCAGCAGCAGCAGCTGAAGAGCTGAAGCTTACCAGAATATGGAATAGGTGATATGATTTATTGAATTATTTAACAGCACTATGTCATCATGGGGGGGGCTACTAGCAAAAAACTAAAGTACTAAAGTAGGGACCTAAGATTGGCAATTGAGTACTCAAGGTAGCCCACCCGAGCGGACGCAACTGGTTGTGTTGGCTCGAAACAGCTTTCAAACCAAACACCAGTTCAAGCATACGTCGCTTCAAAAAGACCAGCTATGTGCAGGCATTTTAAACAAAACTTGGACGCGCTCCAAACTCCAAAAAGTTTTCCTCAACGCTGGCCGCGAAGATATGCCTGAGTGCAGGAGCGCCACTACTTTCTGCCACTCGCAGCACGCTAACGCTTTATTTTCTAAAGAATTGGGTACATTAATCAATTCTAGTTTTTACTCTCTCCTCACCCTTGGAGATTTTGCTATCTCCTCGCCCCAGCAAAAGCTTGACATCGCTGGCGGTTGCACGGCAACTTCACCATACATAACATCAAAGAAACTATGATCAAAAGGCAGGCTACATAAAAAAGTTTAAAAGTTAGGTCTTGGACTGCTAAGTGTGTGTAGTAATTAACTACTATACTAATACTGATACTGTATAGTCTATATCCGCATGCCCATAGTAACGGGTTCGTTGCGGCATTGCAGGGAGTGAATTCGGACGTTTAGTCCAGACCAATAAATTTGCCAAAATCGTTATCACGCATTTTTGTACAGAGATTGTAGAACGAAATTGGCAATTTTGGTCGTGCGCTGTAATCCATACAAGCGCTTGCTGTACAGAACTCTGTACCAAAACTTTGGGCAATGGCAATGGCTTTACATAGACCAGGGGGGTATTCCTTTAATGGCGCAGTATTGAAATGCCCCTTGCTGTCTTTGCCAGTCGTTTCACCATACATCAACTTGGAACAAAGCATGCCCTTGTGGAGATTCGATTCCAAAGTCTGCAGGCGGAGAACCAAGAGTGTGGTGGGTTTTGGACTGGGTGCGCCAAATAGCCCTTGGGATAGGTGAACTAAGCACATGCCTGGAAACTGGAGTAGCATCCTGAGCGCAGGTAGGCGCCAAATGCTGACAACAGTCTCATCATCAATGTCTTTTGGATGTTCAAGAATTCCAGATTCGCTATACATCGCAAGTGCCAACAATCAAGGGCGAAGGATGGTCACTTGATGCAGCTCACCTTCGCGTAACTCATTGATTCCCCAGGGTGCATCTGGCGTTCTGATGACACGAGGTCCATGTTGATCAGCTATTTGCACAGCACGGACTCTACTCCAAGTATTACAAGGTGGTCCAGCCAGGAAGCCAGCTACGTGACCCATGCGGATATAATGAACCCACATGGCACGCGTGTCCTCTCGGGCAATGTCCCCGTGAATTGGGTCAATGACAATGTCGATCGAAACCGTCATAACAACGCAACCTTCAGTTTGTGTGGAAATCATGTCAAGATACCATTCTACGTCTCCGCATCGTCTGCGACCTGCAAATGCGTGAAGTAAAACTTTTTGACGCGTCAATGACTGTGGAAGGGGCTGCACATGCATCCATGACTCTGGAGGCGAAGTGGCGAGGTCTGCGCACCAATTTTCCCAGTCACATAAATTGGCCGGTGAGTGGGTGACCACAGCAGCTTGAGCATCCCTGAGAAAATCCCAATTGCAAACTCGTGTCATCTGTTTGATGCAATGCAAAACCTCGTCATGCGACCAAACCAAAACGTCTGCATCAGTGATGGTAAATTGATCACAAAAGGTCTCGAATGTCAGGTGGCATTGTGTCCAGCTGATGGGATAGTTGCTTATGAACTCGCGCACATAGTCCAACAGCGCAACTTCTTGGGAGCCATCAACCAAGTGCATATAGAGGGCCTCAAAGAACTGGATGTCGTAGGGCTCCCACCCATTCTGAACAGGTTGCGGCAGCTGCGGACCCTGTGCCTGCAGCAGAGGTAGTGCGCCATCCTGAACTTCGATCAGTTCCCGGTCTCGCTGAGAGCCAATACCCGGGGTTGGTTGGTAATGCAACCTTCTAGCACGCAAAAATGTTTCTGCAACGCTCAGTGTTCCTGAGATGAGCCAAAACCTTGGAGTGCGTGCGATATTCACGCAGGCAGTTTGGACATTGTGTCCCATCGAAAAGAAAGCGTTCTTTGGCAATCACCCCATGGGCGCGGCACATGTGAACACATTCACCGGCGAAGGAGGCAAAGTTTAGCCTACACTGCATGCAACCAAAACTTCGATCAGTCTCCATGGCATGTGCTCTGATGTCCTGTGAGGGGATCTGGTCAACCCACTTCTCCTGATGCAGGAGATGCCCGATCCGCATATGCAATTCAAGGGCGTGGAACTCCTTCTTCCTTTGGAGGCATGCATGCTGGATGCCCCTTCTAATGAGCTTCTTCCAGAAGACATTGTGGTGCACAATGATGTCTTACCACTGTAAGAAATGAATCGTCGGATCAGCAAGACGGGCAGAAGTGCCAATCTGCTGCCACAACCAGTGCAAGTCATCACGAAGCAATTCCATCCATGCCATGTCCTCCTGCAGCAAGCCCCAATGGGCATGAAAGCGGCAGTTATGAAGAGTTCCAAAGTAGCGTAAACGTGCACGCCTCAGTAACTCAGTGGGTTCTGGCATGTTGGTCTGCACCAAAATCTCCAAGTCAGTCGAATGTGCATCATGTGGGGCGCCAAGCAATCGCCCAAACAAACGCATGACACCATTATCAATTTGCAGGCGACACTGGTTCGTGGGAAATATAGCCTATACATATATATATATATATTAGTTGATATATAAACCATAGTAACTAATATAGAGATACATCTACCCAATCAACCCAAAAATGAATTTGGAGTTTGCCAAACCCAGCAACATAGCTAACGAACTGCGCCTGTGCAAGTTGGGATGGAAATCGCTAGCCTGAAATAAGGATAAGCTGATAATAGTTATCCCAGCTAAGTGGTTATTATATGGTTTATATATGGTTATTATAATTTATTATATGGTTATTATATGGTTAATATATGGTTAATATATGGTTATTATATGGTTAATGATGGTTAATAATGACCTGGTTGGTGATGACTTAACCATCTTGAAAAATATGAAAGTCAATGGGAAGGATGACATTCCATATATGAAATGGAAAAAAAACATGTTTGAAACCACCAACCAGTAATATTCCAGTTGTCCATTAGTAAGTTTAGGTATACCTATAACCTATTCCATCATGGTAAGTATGTAGTATAGTACAGCTATAGGCTATAGGTTAGATGTACTGTAAATAGATTAAAATTTACTATTGGAAGTAAATGCAAGTTAGTTGTGGGTAGTACTATTTCCGTCATGGAAAACAAACATTATATTCCATTATATAATAAGTCTTGTACCCAAGCATAATAGAAATATAATGATTACAATGGATTTCACATAAGCCATGCAATCGGACATATTTGGTGCCCTAGTTATGTCATGTAGCTAAGTTGGCTAAAAGCTTAAAAAAACTAGATGAACTCTTGCGTTTATGGTGGATACATCTAGAGATGGGTGAACACAAACAAATTTGTAACTGAATCAGTGGCTCTGTTCAACAGAAACATGTCCGTTAACAGAAAGTGTTCACAGGTACTCGATTCAGTGAATGAAGGAACTGGTTTGGGGTGTATACTTCAAGGTAAATGCCAGTGCTAAAGGTGCTAAAGTAAGAGGAAATGGTTGGGATAACTATCACGACTACAAGGAACTGGTTTGAAGTATAACTGCTGACTTGGTTTCAGTAATTGTTGCAGGGAGGCTCTGGTAACTGGGGTATAATTATATATAATTCAAGAACAAATCCAGTCATAAATGGGGAAGCCATTCACAGACCACCTATAGCCAAGTCGATGGAATCACCAAACATGTCCATTGATTGACGATTTGGCGCAAAACAAAACAAACATAAATACCGTAGAATAAGAATGTTTAATTTCCTCCCATCTTCATTGGGAAACCAAAGAGTTCTATGTCATATGTGCGGTCATTTGACATTGTACTACTGTGGTATCGTCATCCCATACTTAGAATCCTCATCATAACTTCTGATTGGTATGTAAATGCTTATGGATTGGTGACCATCCCCATAATATGAGCAATTTACCCCAAGTTCTGACCATGGATTCCTTAAAGCGGACATCCGGACAGGCTGAGAAACTGCTGGAAACACGAACTGCAGCATGTCCAAAATCGTGGTGCTGTTGTTGATGGCGTCCGCGCCAAAATTAATCAGCTCGCCCGCCTGGTCTCAGCAACTTGGAGGATCATCTCACGAATGGTGGTGAATTTCACCACGAATTTATAATCCAGCTAGATCAATGGGAGAACTCCCCTTAGAGGATTTAGACCCTTCCATCTTTGACAAACACCTATCATATATCATATATATATATGTATATATATATATGTATATATATGTATATATATATATATGTATATATATGTATATGTATATATATATATGTATATATACTGTATATATATATATATGTATGTCAATTCACTTTGGACGTGTCGCAAGCCGGACCTCCGAACCAACTCATGTGATCTATTTTACATGTGCACATGGGCATGATTCATATCGCAAAATGGGAGGTGTCCTAAAATGGGGGTACCCCCAAATCATCAAAAAAATGACCATGTTAGTGTTGAAACCAATGGTGACTTGGGGATCCTCCATTTTAAGATACCCCCAAATCACCGTTTCAATGGGAAAAATGAGGAGCAACTCATTGTGGGCAGCTATAACAGCTGTCGGCCCCTTTTCGCTGCGCACCTGCACACCACAAATGTGAACACCAAGGACCCTGCCGTGCGGCCGGTCCTTAGAGCCACTGATCCGGCTGGGTTATCGATCCGTTCGACTTGGATGTGCATCCGAATGGATGTTGCTACCCTCTGGTAAACATACAAAAGACTATGGAAAGATCCACCATTTTTAATGGGAAAACTCACTATAAATGGCCATTTTCAATAGCTATGTAATTAAACGTTTACCAGAGGGTACTGCAGGCCTGTTTTCCTTCTGCTACATATTTTTCTGACAAATCACGACTCGTTTTTGCCAAGACTCGTAGATCATCTTCAGAAAACCCTCTTCTCCGCTCACAATGCCCCGAACAGCTCGGTGATAATCCATGCGAACAACTCCAAAGTCGAGCTCCTTCTGCTGTGCTTCTTGTTCATTCAGACCCACCCAAGCCACCTAGCGCTGAACGTGGGGCAGGAGAAACCAGAATTCGTATCAAAAAATGCTGCAGTAATCAGGGAAATCTCAGGGAAACCCCCAAAAAATCATCCACCATTGAGACCCACCATTGATCCACATTGATCTACAAAAAACCATCCACCAGGGGATCTAGTCAAATCATCCATCCACCATTGATCCAACCCAAAAAAACTGCAGTTCTTTCAACCCCGTTCATGTCGGCCCAACTCAGACTGCCTCTGGGATGGTCCACACAATGTAAGGCTTCGCCTGCGGCAGCTGATATGCATTGATTGGGATGAGACCAGCTTCAAGACGCTGCCCCGCAAAAACATGTCTAGTCATGTCCTACAAACAGCCCCAAGGTCACGGTCGGTGTCTCCCAGGCCTCCTTGTCCTTCAGGGTGTACATCCCGCTGCCAAACATCTTCCTTAGTTTCACACATGTGCTTCTCAGATCTTCTTCGAATCAATAGAGGCGGACCTTCCAGGAAGCAACGAACAGTGATACCAACTGACACCAACAAATCCCTAGCCCAACCGCAGTTGAACGTAGTTACCATCCCATGAAAAATGCATCTCGTAGTGAAAGCGTGAAAAACACACTCTTATCATTAAGTATACGACTATAAGAGAACTCACTTATTTTTTAACAGGAAACCTTGGTTTTAAAAAACGACATGTAGGGGTTTCATGTCTATGTTCCCTTCAACCAGGGCTGCCAAGGTTCCGCACTGCACGCACGGCTTGTGCTTGTCCCAGGGTGGCCAGGTTGCCACCAGCGCAGTCGCCCACGGCAAAGATCTGCCCCACGCCGGTGAATTGATTCCTCAAAGGGCACCAAAAACCATGATGGCGTACTTGGTGGCTCATCCCACTTAGTAAGTAGGTTATAACCCCAGTTATAAGTGGATTAACCCTACTTATCCCATTTATAACTGGGTTTATAACCTACTTACTAAGTGGGATGAGCCACCAAGTATGGAGGCGTACCCCATGGATGGTTTATATATTCTTTATTTATAATGGATGATTTGGAGCTAGCCCCTATTTTTGGAAACCTCCATATCTTCAACTGAAAATTCTTATCACGGCTGTGGCGAATCCCACCAAGCAACTCGTCGACTCGAATCATCTTTCCACGGCCCAATTTCACTCCAACGGCCTGCAAACGCGCGCGAAAGAGGAAAGATCTGTACAATTTCACTTGTATAGATACTTTATATATATATACATAATTAAATATATGTATCAGATTTATATAAGTATGTTTAATACATTTATATAATCTATAATTAAACTATAACTATAGACCATATGCCATTGCATGGTCTTTTTTCAGGGATTGGACAGCGGCACCTCCAGGTTCAGGCCATCCACCGCGCCACTGCGACCAGTGGCGGAGAGGAAACAATCGCATTGCAGTTTCTGCCCTTCCAGCTCAACCTCGTGCGGGTGCTCCAGTGCTCCCATGCTGAGCGTTGTTGTTTTTTGGGTTCGACCAGTTCGACCCAACGAAAAGGTGACACTAAGAAGTATTTCCGAATCTCCGTCAACAAGATGTAAGTTGCATGGTTTATAACAGTTGGCTAAGTTGATTTATAATTAATGGTTCAGCAGGGGTTGAGGTAGATATACGTATTGACATAGTTCATGGGGTGATCAACCAACTTAGCTGGCTAGGACAACCCTGGTGCCATCAGTTCTGATGGCATAACTGTTGGGGTAAAATGATGGTCATTGGAGAAACAGATCCTATTTAAGTGGGTTCAATTTTGTTTGGGCATGATGATGATGAAGATGATGATGATGATTATGATGATGACGATGACGATGATGATGATGATGACGATGACAATAACAGGAGAAACAACCATACTATTTAATATATTATATATATCCATATCTATTTATTGGGTTCACTTTTTTCGTTTAATACCCTGGTATCGCCGGTTGCTGGACTCAGATCTTGCTCCAAGCAGCGACCAGCACCGGATGACCACGTGTGCCTTGGGTTGCCGAGAAATGATCAGCTTATTTGGTTCATATAGATACTGGTTGGTGGTTTTAACCATCTTGAAAAATATTAAAGTCAATGGGAAGGATGACATCCCATATATGAAATGGAAAAAAATGATCCAAACCACCAACCAGGATATATAGTGATATCTCTGGTCATATGACATATATCATCATTAATTTCATTACTGGTTCATCAATAATGGTTGGAGTTTTGCAGCTTGGAGCCAAGATGTCCTCAGTGCCCCAAACAGAACACCAAGACACCGCCTTTACCTCGAACGATGCGCTTAATTGCTGTCTTCAATAACAATTCCACCTGGGACGATATGGCAAGCACCAAAGCCAAAGTGTCGCGGTAAATCCCATTTTTTTAAAAAGCTGGTTTGTCTCCATCCAACTACACTATCCACCAAATAAACCTCAGTTACTACAAGCATCTATAAGGTCAGCTATACTGAGACTGTATAACTTAGCAAACAGGACGAACCGATCGAAAAAAAAGAAAGTCGCCTGGTTGGCCGCGAGCTCCGCCAAGAGGGCAGCTTGCAAATCACAATCCAGCATCTGCAGCACTTTGTCCATAAACTCCACCACAATCACCTGTTATATGGATTTATATTTGTATGGTGTTAATCATACATGTATATATACATTGAATGGGGAAAGACTATTAACATTTATCATGTATATTAATTAACATTTTTATATCTATTAAAACTTATATTAACATTTGTAGTAACATTTATGTACATGCTACATACTATTTGTTGATGGGGAAAGAATGGGATGCGACCGAAAGTATGAAATCTGTGACCTGGTGAATACAGTATTTGAACAAAAAACAAGCATCATGGAGATACGTTTGAGGATCTTCATGAGGATCTAAAAATAGGTGTGACCAACAGGATGAAATGGGTCGTTTCTATGGGTCGAAGTCCCAAGTCATAGTAGGTGCATAGCCTTCGTGCCCATCTTGGCAAAGATGTTGGCATACTCCAGGCCTGCGAACGACTTTGCTATGGCTTCGATGATCGAAGGCCCCCGTTATTTTAGGATATGGAACATGGAACATGGTTCAATTGCTGATTTTCTAAAAAATGACACATGTGTTTATATACTGTAGATGTTTCTTCATGGGTTCATATTGGGTCCATATTGGTGCCTGCTTCTTGAGCCCCATGTCTCATCAACCAGGTCCATCAGCCAGGCCGACGGTCCCGCAACGGTCGTGCAGTGCCTATGATTCCACCACCCTGGACCACCATCTTCTTCGGGATGTAGTCGATCTCCGCCAGGGTATCCGAGTCATACACACCTGTGCCCAGGCCATGACTCGCCATTAAAATTCACTGACACGACAACGCATGGACACGGGAAACAAAAACAATCGGACAATGACACAGGATCGCAAATGAGCTTGAATCAAAACTCTTTCTGGGTTCAATTCTCACATCAAGGATTGGATGTGCAAAGATTTTCAACCAACATGCTGCTTGGTGCACATTCTGGTTTCAGCATGTCTAACAAATAGGAGCCTAGGTCAACAAGTTTGGTATCATTTCAACGCTCCATTTTTGTTGCATCCCATCTGTTTGATTTGTTTGACCCTAATCCTCTATGGCTGAAGATTAAAACCCTTGTACCCTGGTTTTCAGCCCCAACTACCTGGCGTTTGTGCCCTGATGCAGCTGGGAAATCCCCAAGTGGCACAACTCATCCACGTACCCCGTTTGTGTAGGGTATTTCAACCCCTTCATATCATCCCCCGCTGGTAATCAAACATTGCAGTGGAACATATTTTTCTCTTTGCTGCCTATTAAAAAAAACAATTTATCAACATTTTCAGAAGTTTTCCCATTAATTACCAGAGGCTACATCATGTCAACCATCCACCATGTTCCATTTCGCTTTACCCCGGGCCCAACCACACCTGGCAGGTCAAAGGGCACCATCGGCAGGCGGTTGGCCCGCGACCCGGTGGCCACGATTGACCCCGAGGTCTTCAGCACTTGGGTGCCACCGAAGTCATCGGTGAAGCGAATGGTGGAAGGATCCTTTCCGGCCACCGCGGTGGAAAAAAAGGGTGGCCACGGTGGGAACAAGCGACCGGGCTGTTGGTGAGGTTTAATAACGGTTAATGTCGGACAAAAAAGAGGTGAGTCACTTCACCGTACTTCATCCGGAAATGGGACCTTAGGGTGAAACATACTGGAATTATGAATCCATGTATTATTCACCACTAGCTGAACAGTGATGAGATACACATTTGCATGAAGATGCAGGGATGGTCAAAAAATTATGGGAGAACATGTTTTGGCTGGACACCAACTTCACAAAAACTCACAAGTAAGTTAGTAAGGCAAAACAAAACAAAACAACGGAACAAACATGTCTAGTAAATGTTGCAATTTCTGATATCTGCTGCCATTCTTATTTCTGGAACATCATGAGACCCCCATGCTCATGCTCTCTTCCCATCAGTGCGCCCAGTGAGGGTCAACCTTGAAACGATGGTAAATCTTTGATCTCTTTCAACCTGTCAAAAAGCCGCTAAAAATGCAGTGCATGTCACCCCATCTCTCCATATCCATCCCATCCGCGGAGGTTCTTAAAACGGAAATCCCCAAGTCACCATAGGTGTCAATACTAAGTCATGGTCATCCATGACTTGGATGACTTGGGGGTACCCCCATACCTCCATATATCCCGTAGTCACAACCCCGGCATGGCCCCCCTATCGCCAGCCAATCTACGAGGAAACTGCCGGAGCCCCGCAGGATCGTCACGTGGAAGGTGCGCAAGAGCCGCGCAGCATTGGCCTCAGCATCGGAGACCACGCGTTCGATGAGGGTGCGAATCTCCGGCCACGTGACCTGGGGCAGGGACTCGCTCAAGACTCCATCATATCCATTTGGACACCTGCCCTGCATTGAACCCTCATCATATGGGCCCAAAATGGATGGTTTATAAATGGAAAATCCTACCAGTAGTACCGCACAAGGCGGTGGCGGAAGTTTCAAGAATAGGAATCGAGGAATCCTATAGGAGAGATTGGTTGTTGTGAATCACGGATGGCTGAAAGATGGTTGGAGCTGTGTTTTTTGGAGTGGTTGCAATGGTTGCTGTGGTCACCTGGTCGGTCACCTCACCCACAACTGCTGGATGTAGTGTGGTGTAGCGCAGCTGTAGTTGTAGTTAGCTGTAGTGTAGTGGAGTTGTAGTTGTGGTGTGGTGTAATTAGTGTAGTGTAGTTGCAGTTGCATTTGTGGTGGTATAAAGGGTGTAGTGTAATGTAATGTAATGTAGGGTAGTGTAGTGTAGTGTATCTAATTGAGTGTAGTGTAGTGTAGTGTGGTGTGGTGTAGCGTGGCGTGGTGTAGTGTGGCGTAGTGTAGTGTAGAGTAGTGCAGTGCAGTGCAGTGTAGTGCAGTGCAGTGCAATGTAGTAGTGTAGTGTAGTGTAGGGCAGTGCAGTGCAGTGTAGTGTAGTGTAGTGTAGTGTAATGCAATTAGTGTAGTGTAATTGTAGTTGTACGTAGTTGTAGCGTAGTGTAGCGTTATGTAACGTATTGTAATTGTAGTTGTAGTCGTAGTTGTAGTTGGTGTAGTGTAGTGTCGCGTGGTGTGGTGTAGCGTAGTGTAATGTAATTAGTGTAGTGTAATGTAATGTAGTTGCAGTTGTAGTTGTAGTTGTAGTTGTAGGTGTAGTGTAGTGTCATTCAGTGTAGTGTAGTCTAGTGGAGTGGAGTGTAGTGTAATTAGTGTAGTGTAGTGTAGCATAGTGTCATGTAGCATTGTTGTGGTTGTAGTTGTAGTTGTAGTTGTAGTTGCAGTTGTAGTTAGTGTTGTGTTGTTTAGTGTAGTGCAGTGTAGTGTAGTGAAGTGGAGTGTAGTGTAATGTAGTGTAATTGAGCGTAGTGTAGCGGAGTGTAGTGGAGCGTAGTGTAGTGTAATGTATGTAGCGTAGTGTAGTGGAATGTACTGTAGTGTAGTTGTAGTGTAGTGTAGTGGAGTGTAGTGCAATGTAGTGTAGTGGAATGTGGTGTAGTGTAGTGTAATGTAATTGAGTGTAGTGTGGTGGAGTGTAGTGGAGTGTAGTGTAATGTAGTGTAGTGGACTGTAGTGTAGGTGGAGTTGTACTAGTCTTGTAGTGTCGTGTAGTGTAGTGTAGTGGCGGTTGTAGTTTAGAATGTACAAAACCCTCAAGTTTTGCTCTCTTTTGAGAAGGTGCACAATCCCTTGCGCCTGCCACGCAAAACGACATCTGAACGTCCAAAAGTGCTCCGTGCCCCTCAGTTTTTTACACTTTTGACTTGGAAATGTGCTTCGCGCCACAACGGCGTACACTTTTTCGACATCTCAACTTCCAAGAGTGGTCCGAACATGAGGCGTTTTATACTTTTTGACTTCGAAATGTGCTTCGCGCCACAATGGCGTGCACTTTTTCGACATCGCAACTTCTAAACGTGCTCCGAACGTGAGGTGCTTTTAGCTTTTTCACTTGCAAATGTGCTTCGCGCCACAACGGCGTGCAACTTTTCATCTCTCATCTGACCACATAGCTCGCTTTAGCGAGCCTACTTTTCGACCCTCCGGAGCCAAAAATCATTGGAAAAAAAAGGAAAAACACAGTGTCTCGTGACTTTCCTACCTTTTTGCGCACCTGGACCTTCTTTCTTCTGAGACTTTCTCTTCTTTGATCTTCTTTCTTCTTCTCTTCTCTTCTCTGACTCTTCCCATCTCTGCTTTTCATCTGTCCATATCGTCGGAAGTTTGACTTCTAAACTTCCTTCGATTAAAGTGGATGATTTGGGGGTACCCCTATTTTAGGAAACCCCTATATCTAAACCAGATAATCATAATCCACATTGAAACCCCAGACCCATATCAAACCTATTAACACCCCCGTGTAGCCGCCTTATTCTCCATCACCGCTTCGCGCATGCACTTGGAATGTGCTCCAGTGGGTGCTGCCGTTAGATGCTCCTGGCGTGAGGATTTGCTGTAGGATGGACATGCTGAGATTCATGGGATATCATGGGATATAGTTAGCACTTCTTTCTGCTCATGGCAGTTTTTGCTTGGATTTCTGCTCTTTCTGACCTTTTATACAGATTTAGAAAACGCGCATTTATGTCTACCTGGGCCATTACCTTCCAAAACAAGTTTTAAAACGCGCGTTTGTGTCTTGACGGACGGGTATTTACGCTTTTTTGTCCCAGGCATTTACACTTATTTCCTAGGAAAATACGCTCATAATTGTGGCTTGAAAATGCACAAACTGCTAAAATGCCAAAAGTGGTGCAACTACGCTCATTTGGAAAAAAAACCGCTCAAAAAGCAGAAATCTCTCAAATGAAGAACATGTTTTTGATGCATGTATTCACTATCAACAATCAATAATTTAATAGAATATGAACACATTTAGGGATATTGATGGGATATAAATGGGATGTTAATGGGATACTGACCATCAATAGCTGAAAATATATCCATGGTGCTGCTTACTAAGCGCCGGTGCGGGATGATAACTAGGGTCGGTTTATGGGGGATCGAACGAACTCAAATCACAGATATCTTGGTGGTTTCTGACCAAAGAAGAAACCAACAAGCAGCAAAAAGTTGGTTTATTATCATATTATCAAAACTTTTTCTCCATATTATGTTTCTTATTCTCCCCAGATAATATGGTGTTCACATCATTCTCTCATATTATCTGGGGAGAATAAGAAACACACGAAAAAACGTGCATGAAATAATGACACTCATCCAGTGCTTTTTAGAGCCGCCTGGATGCCACCTGGCCATGAGTCAAAACCCTGGGATCCTTTGTACACTAGAATAGCTGGTTAACACTGGTTAATGGATGTTTGTTGGGCCAAATCTACGCTAATAGTAGGTTTTGACCCATCCCCACCTTGGGTTCAATGAGCACAACGCGAAGTCCACGTCCAGCCCCCTCCAGAGCTGCTTTCAACCCTGCAGGTCCACAACCTGTGGGATCTTCAGGCACTAGAAACACTTTTAGTACCGATTCACCGATAGTCGAAGAATATCATCTTCAGGCTTTGACTAGAGTTTATCACAAATCCTTTGAAATGGTATTTGGCAACCCCAAAGATCCACAGATTTTATGGTGTCATTGCGTCTTATTCCCGCAGCATCAAAATGCTGATGAGGTCATTGCGCCTATGATGGGACCTCAGTGAACACCAAACTGGATACCAATTCTTGATAGTTCATGCCCTTAAACATGGTATTCTAGGTAATGACTCATCCCCAAGAGTCAGTAATTATTCAACTCTTGGATCGTTCAAAAAGAAACTCCCAAACCACTGTGGCTTGGGGAAAGTGGGTGTTTTGGATCCAGTCTCCACCATGGTACCACAAGCCTGCTGAAACAATCAGAATAACTAACAAACAAGAATCAACAAAACAAGAATCAGTCTGGTATTTCCCAATGACTGGACCCGCCTAGGACCACCAAATCGTAGACCTGTTTCGCCTTGCTGGGCATGCGCAGATTCAGCGTTTGGGCCGTTTGGGTCTGACCCCGCTGCAGCTTCCCTGTGTCCGCGCCGGTGTGCACTTTGCCTCACACGGTGACTTTTCGCGACATCTTTGATGGAGATAGGGATATCATGGGGATATAGAGATTATAGCAATGGGGATATCATGGGACAGCGGAAACTCACTTCAACAAGAGTGTTCTGCTGAACATCAAGACTCAACCACCCTGACGCACTCTCCCAGTCGTTTGCACAGGCTTTTGCTTTATGCCCTACCAGGGTGATGGAAAGTGGGACGAGTTCTGAGCAGGCAACAGGATCGTGAGGTGTCTAGCAAGGAGAATCCTGGACCCCATCCCAAGCCAAGGCACACGCAGCCAGAAACTCGCTGTAATCCACAACGCCATCAGCACTTTCATCTGCCTGGCTTCACAGCGTCAGATGGAGCCCAATCGCAGGCATGGTTTCATGGCGTGAACTATCCCATGTCCCAGGGCTTTGCCACAACCCTTCTAAGAATGGATGGAAAGTAAAAAGTATGTGAAACAGCAGCCAGATCTTTCCCCAGATTCAATTGATTCTCCGATTCTCCTGTCTTGATTCTAGAATCAGGGCTTTAGAACTTTAGGCATTGTTCCTTCAAAATGCCCTAGACTTGGTTTCAGGGGAACAAATGTAGGAACGCCCAGCAGAGGTTTTTTGGTGAATGCCGTGGTTTTCTGCACTTTTTGTTCATCAAATAAATCCGGGTTGGTGTTTTCCAATATGTTATTTTACCTGCAGGATGATGATCCGCAATTGAGTAGTATTTGTCACGTCACTGGATTGGCTTCAGTGAAACGATTGGATTGAACCCCCATATGTGTATATATATATATTATGTATATATTATATATATATTATGTATATTATATGTATATATATATACACGTATATATACATATACATATATATTTGATGGAAACAAAACAAATGGTGTCCTTCTTCGATTTTGCAAGACCAATCCAGTGATCAATACTTAACCAAAAACCACACCAGTGATGCGCCAGTGAAGTTCCCCTCATACGCCCCAAAAAATGTTAATCATCAAATGGTGATATTTAACCATTGCTAATCATACCTAATCACCGTCAACACTTACTAACATTGTGATATATTGTGATGGCAATGTTTGTTTTCACTGGCAAACATAATTCACCATGTTTTTGTTGGTAAACATTTATGGGATATAACATGATATAAAACTATCATGGCTCACTGCCAGGGATTGTAACTATCTAAACTAACAGTTCCCAATAGAAACCATGGTCCATTTATAGCTCGAAAATGGCCCATAAAAATAGTTATAGAAGCCATGGTTTATTTCTAGATAGAACATTTTCATTTAAAAAAATAAGCAATGGCTTCTATAAGTGGCCATGTTTTTCTATAGTTGATTGATAAAAATAGCTATAGAAGCCATGGTTTTCTATTGTATCACCCATATTTCTATAGTTTTTCTGCCCATGGGTGATGTTCCAACCAAGGCGCCTCGTTCATCATCTCCTGGATGGCATCGTCGTCCATGTCCACTCCCAGGCTTCGCATGGCATCCTGGCACGGGGATGATGCAATTATCTAGGTAGTGTATATATATATACATATATGTCAGCTAGAATAATATATCTAATCCTATGTACATGTATATATATATATATATTCTGATGTATCTATATCAAATATGTAAAACACTGTCAACAATATAGACTAAGCCCATATTAGCTCTGTACAGCCCTTAGATCCATCAGGCAATGGATCAAATTCATCCACCCATGAAAACTCCTGAAGCAGAACCGTCATTCAGAACCACTATCCCACGATCCAAAACTCCAATAATAGGAGTGCACAAGTTGACCTCCTGTAAACTAACAGAAGAAATGTGGACATTTTAACATTTTCCATTTTTTTGGGGGGGATACCAGGGTAATCATCTATAAATGCACCATGTTTCATCCATTTTCCACATCGATGTCGACCTTTTTCCCCCTACATTCTCACCTTCAGCTGCTGGTTGTCCAGGAATCCACTGCTGTCGGTGTCAAAGGCCAGGAATGCTTGACAAACTGCTTCCTGCAGGCTTCCCCATCAGCTAAACATCTTCAACAACCATTAGTCAAAAAAATATCCTATTAATGAATTATGGGATATAACCATTTATGCGATATAACATGATATATATCATGACATAACATGGGAACAAAAAAACATCCTGCTAGTGAAACACTGTCTGAAATTTCATTCGCAACCAATGCTTCAGCTCTGCAAAGTCACCGGGGTCCCAGTCACCTCGAAGGTCAGTTCAGAGTCTGATCGTTCTAAATGTCGAATGATCGTCCTGCCACAAAACGCATGAGTTGCTTGGGCAACTAGGAGTATCCCAGCAACCACATCTATATGAAATATGTTTGTCTATGTATATATGTATATATCTACTACATAAATACATTAACGTAGTACAGCATCATTCTATATCTTTGTTTCGATATAATGTTACATACTAATTCTAAATGCAGATATATAGAATATATATAGAATATCAGGATGGTTACAGTCTGGTGTGGCCCCTCAAAAATCTCGAAATCTTTGTCCCAGTCCTGCGCAAGCGGCTCCAACCGGCCCCACCGGAGAGGCTCTTGACGCCGCTGAATTTGATCTTCGCTTCGGCCGCAGCCCAGCCGTAGAGGGTGTGGAACGTCACCTGCTGAAAAAAGGCCCCGGTAAAAGATGCCCTTCTGCGAGATAAGAACCATTTTTTCGCATGCAAAGTACCAGCTACAGTAGATGAAAACCATCAATGATATATCAACATGAAATACGACATCACGAGCCAATCAACAATCTAATTGTTATTATCATTACTATTTCAATGAAGCATCCGGTAATGATGATTTCAATCATCAGGTAATTACCCAAATACAGATGATCATTATTTGTAACAATGAATGTATCCTTCAATAATCGTCGTGGATAAGCTATTGCCACCATTCGGGGTGAGGTGAAAATCCACCTGAAGTAATCAAAACCAGCGGTTTCAATCAAAGATTTACCAAATACTGAAGACCACCCTAAGTTCACAAGAACCGTCTTTGGATGTTGTTCACAGAAACCATTACGTGTTTTAAATGTACAAGTGTTGCATATGATTCCATTTATTGGACGTTTCTATCTACAAGTAGGGAGGTGGATCTATTTCAGCAAGTCCACGAAAGGTTCACCATAGTTGGTTGCAGGGAAGCTTTCAATCTTCTCTTGGGCATGTGCATTCAATTTTACTTGAAGTGACTTCTTTTTTCACACATGGAGGTTTCCTCACTACCCCCAAATCATGTCGTCATGGATGACCATGACCATGATGTATTTCCCTTCACCATGGTGACTTACGACTGGGGATCCAGCAGATCCCGTTTCCGTTTAACCGACAAGTCCCAGCGGCCGCCGGAAAGACGAACTGCAGGATATCGAAGATCGTCGTGCCGTTGTTCACCGCATCTGCACCAAAGTTGATGAGCTCGGAAGCCTGCCAGGATGCGCCCAAAAAAAAAAATCGCCAGGGATTTCTGGGGAAGTCAGGAATTACTCGATAATTAGGCAAATCCAACAAGGCCATGTTGCTGGCCTTGCCATGGCTTGCCTAAGCTATTTGCAGGGTATCTCTGAGAGGATTGATAATTATGATATAAATCATATACAGTATAATTATATATTATATATATCATGATCCCAAATCTGCAATTTTCAAGGGGGAAACCAATGGTGAAACGGGGACCTTCAATTTTCTGAAATCCCACAACTGATGCCAAATGGATGAAACATGATGAAACAGTGGACAGTGTGTCAGACTTGCAGGAGTCTCCGTGTGAAGGACTTCAAACTCTCGTGGCTCAAGCTGCTGAAACTGAACCTACCAACTCTACTGAAATTCAAGTTGTGAAGAAGTTGCAACAATCAACAATCCAAGAATATTTGTTGCTCAATGGTACGGGGCAATGGTTGGAGATCAGAAAGAAATACTGACCAGAAACCCAACTATTGCAACAGAACTCAAAATTCAGTTTCATCATGTTTCATCCCTTTCCGATCTTGGATTTCTTTGGTTCAAACCACAATTGGATTCACAGGAAACAAACTGTGACTGCGGGTGACTACGGCATGATCCTCCGATCCATCCGATCCCCTCAGAAATCTTGCCCCTAGATATGTGAACAAACATCCATGCAGATAAACAAATTGTGGATGTTCCATATAATCCAATATAATCCATACATTTAATTCGATATCTTCGATATTATATGAATCCATATTTTCATGTCATACATAGTATCTGCAGTACTATACTACATGATTTACTGCAGGCTTTGCACATGCATATTCTGATCCAGATCCACATCGTTCCAGTCCCACGGAACCTGCGCGCCACAAATGTGCACGCCCAGAACTTTGCCATCAGTTTCTGAAAGGCCGGCGGTGGATCTTTAAGATTCATTCGATATATCAAGAAACACGGATTTGAGCTAATTTGATATGTCAATATGAATGAACGTTGATATATGTTGATATATGTTGATATATGTTGATATATGTTGATATTGATGTTTGATAATGGGTCATTAGAGTCATTGATCTTGGTCTCCACATGTGTAAATTTACAGACACACCAGTATCATTGATCTTGGTCTCCACATGTTGTGTAATTAATTAAATTTACAGACACACCAGTATCAATCATTGTTTCCATCATTTACATCACTTCAAATCCGTATCACCTCCACATCCAACCAGCCCATCCAACGGTGTCTGGTGTCTGCCGCCCAGGATCTGTCGAAGATCAGCTTCAGAAAACCGGGCTCTCCACTGACGATGCCACGCACAGTCTTCCCATAGTCCGCCTGGGCTTGGCGAAAAAACCTTGCCCAGAAAATCCCAGAAACTAAGAATATGTTGTGATCAGTGTATGTATACATGTTAATGTGTACATACATGTGGATATATATATATATATATGCATACCATGTTTCATCTATATATCAGCACATGGTGCCATATCTACGATTTACTGATTTTTCACAGCCCTTGACCGTGATGAACCCGGCCTGGACCACACCATATTTCAGGCCCTTGGTATCTGCTTCTTGCTGATTGAGCCCAGCCCAAGCGATCTCCGGGATCGTCCACCTGGGATTTTTCTCACCAAGGGATGGACATCTTGGATTTTTTTGTGGATCAAGCCAGAATGGATTATCATTGGTTGATATCGGCGAGCTACACCGACTGAACATGAATCTCCTCCGGATCTCTCAGTTGGTTGCGACTGTTTAGGAAAATCCTCTTGCCGCAGCTGTGCAAAAGCAGCCAAGCAGCACGGTATAGGGTTTCACAGCCTTGTCCTGACCCAAAAGATGGAGACTCACTCTCAGGGTGACACCATGTTCCAATTTTCTGTATCACCATGCCATCAGAAAACAAGGGACATCGCCAAACAAAAACATCAGCTCCAAAATGCCGGTTTTCGATCAGGATCCAATGAATCCCACCATGACCGGACCATTGGACCAAGCCCTAGGGCGCCCGCCCAACTGGGCCGTCCTGCAGAGTGTACTGTCCACTTCCGAACATTTTTCGCACCGCCCGCACCGCTTGGGCTTGTCCAACGGTTGCCAGGTTCCCACCTCCAGGAGCCAGGGGGATCCAAGGGGAGCTTTATGCAAGCCACAAAGAAAGTATCTACTAAAGCCTATGGCTGTAATATATATATATATACAATTTCTATACATGATATATGTATATAACTGTTATAACTTATATAATCTTAAATGTCTATAACTTATATACAACTTATATGACACATATATGAAAAATATGCAGGGTGCACCTGCCACATCTCCGACAGCATAGATCTTGCCCACTCCTGTGTAATGGTTCTCATCGACCTGAATCATCTTGCCCCGGCCTGCAACAAATGGTGGTTTACGCATCAAGAATGGAGGGTATTACAGTTCAACATAATATAACCATCATGAAATGGGGATGTATTAGCCAGTATAATATCAAATACCTTCGATTTCCGCCCCCCCCCCCCGCAGTGAATAGATCATTATCAATAATAATATACAATATTAACCAGGGTTTCAATAGGGGTATTTATATAATCGCGTTTAATATATGTCCAATATCTGGGGAAAGGGATTACTACCTCAGGCAGAATCCAGACGGACGAAAGAAACACATGAAAAAAGATCCGGGAGTCTGCCATCTAAGTTGTGAAAGTATGAGTTACCCTCTGGTAAACTTGTTTACTTATATTATATGTGTCTGTATATATATACAATTATATACATATTTACGTATATTTATACAATTGGACATCGAAAACTGAAAAGCAATTCATGGGCTTGCATCATTTCTGAAGGCTTTTCCATATGTTAACCATTGCAGGATATGTTACCAGATCTTTCCTTAGCAATTGGCAACAGTATTGACATGTTCCCAGATATATTTCGATATGTTTCACATTGTTTTCCCATAATTTTTTGGAGGGGAATTCACCAAAGAAGCTTCACCAGTAGCCACAACCCCCCAAGCCCGCCCAAAGGCAGTGGAGGCGCCTGTCTTGATTCCCACCTTCTCCAGATTCAATCCCTCGACGGTTCCACAACGCCCCGTGGCGGACAACAGAGCTTCGCACTTGAAGTTGCCTGAGGCAGGAACAGCTCCTGGGAGGTTTCAAGTCCTCTGCTTGAATAATCCCATCCCTCTAATATTTCCAGACTCCTAGAAGCCATGGTTTAGCAAGGATTTTCCATGGTTCTTGGTATATTGAGACCCCTCCATAATTGAGATTGTTTAGGAGGTGTTCAAAATTAGAGGGATGGGAATAACATGTGCAGCCTCTCCAAAGATGCAGCGCACACAAGTCAGAACAAGTCGGAACATGTCAGAACCATCAGATAGGACAAACACATATCAGACATATATCGTACCGCAGTGTTTGTATCTTTTTGTGCTTACTGTACTTTATCAGGGCTTGGTAAATGTATGTAAATGTCCTAATTGAACATCACCCAAATATTGGGGATATAATCTCCAACAGATCATGGTTCAAGTGATGTTCAAAATCCCCAAAATTGGGACATTTACCAAACCTTGTTTATCCTGGCTCTCCATGGACCCACCCTGGCCCCACGGTGAAGCCATCCGACATGGTTCTGGGTTGCCCAACCGTTTGTCGTCTCAACCAGCAGCAAAGGCTTCCCACGGACACCTCCTTCCAAGGGTGTCCTCAGGGGGCACCATCAAAGAGCTGACCTTTGCGGATGATTTTTGTTAAGCACCTATATTTATATAGTAATATTGGGGATTGTTTATCAACTACCATTAATAGATATTACAGTAGCGTTTACCACATGAACATGAACTCTCTCAAGTCTTTAGGAGTCGATGGATGCTGATGGATACCGAGCCCACTGCTCCCAGCCAAGCATCACTGAGCTGATTCCAGTCTTCAAGAGGATTTGCACTTTGTTGCTCTGTAAGTCGTTTATCAATGCAGCCTGAAGTTCACTGAAGCGCCATCTGGGTGACGGGACACAGCTCCCCTTAAGTACCTCCCATCCACCTAATACCATTGAATACCTGGGTTCATCAAAACTATGAAACACCTCCCAAAAGCAACCCGCTATCAGTATGAGTCCAAATTCGGGTTGCCAATCAGACCCCCAAAAATGATCTGAGTTTGTCATTTTTTAAGGATTAAACCACCCAATCCATCATTTTTCAATTTTGAGACCTCCTGCTCCATCCCATAACCTCTGGTAATCTAACGTGGCAATGGACAATCCACAATTTATGGATTATCTTCCCAGATTTTTGAACCTACGTTTGTAGGGGATTCCTTTTCCCCATTTAGCATCATTTAGCCATGTTTGATGATACCGGAGGGTAAGCCAAATCACCTTCAGGTCCACATCCAACATCTGAAGGATGTTTTCCATGAACTCGATGACCACCACCTTTGCGCCCAGCTTGGCAAACATGTTGGCATACTCCAGACCTGAGGCGCCAAAAGGCCCAGAAACTGATTCTCTGAACGTTAAGCAATTAGAGTCAGAGACAGATGGAGAAAGAGAAACATCAAAAAATCAAAAGATCAAACAATGGAGAGAAAAATCATAGGACTTTGAGGTGGATTTTTCGGATTTTTCGAGAATCCAACTCCTTGACTTCGAATGTGCCACTGCCAATGGAGGAATCCAAGGGGCCAATGATGCCACCACCCTGCACCACCATGGACTTGGGGATGAAGTCCAATTGGTTAATCGTGTCCTTGGTAGAATGTGCTCCCCTTTCTGACCCACGGAAGGTGGGTTCACAGTTTTAATATGTTTTAATGGGAACTGGGGAGATACCGAATATGTTGACGTTGCCAATTGGCTCACCTGGGGAGGTGATTGGGAAAATTGGACGGAAACATGAGTAGTTTACTGCATGCAAGGGTCATCTAGGCATGAATTTCATTTGACCCAACCTGTCACATGCAATTTTTAAATGGATAATTCCTTACATATATATATATGCTTCAATATTGTTAATATATCTGGAGAAACAAAAGTTCGGTCATTTCTGGTAGTTACCCGGTCAGCTACCCCTTCTTTCACTACCATTCCAGTGAGGTTTCTATATTTCACCTAAATATTCCAGATTATGTATGAATATAAATAATTTAATCAATATATTTAGACTTGCATGTATACAATCATAATCATACAGTTATATCCTAAACCAGACTCAAGGCCAGTTTTGGTGCTTTGGAAACCTCGAATCGCCCCAGGCTCGGAATCGAAGACACCGGGAAGTGTGAAATCGATCTGCGGCAGTCGATTCGCTTGGGAGCCGGTGGCAATGACCACCGCAGTGCTGCAGAGCTCGGTCGCTGTGCCGTCGGGCTTGGTGAGCTGCACGCGGTTCTGGTCCACGAAGGACGCCGATCCCTGCAGGACCTCGACGTGAAAAACGCGCAGCATTCGCATGGTGTTCTGGTTGGCGTTGAAGGTGATCCTCGACGATTTCCAGAGCAAAAAAGGGATGGGCAACTGATCAGTTTGCCCCTCTTTTACAACTCACAATTTTCCATTACAACATATTACATCATATTACATCATCAAAAAAACGGCTAAGTCGAAGTCAAAAGTGATGCCTAAGGATATGGTGCCAAGGATCTGCTGGACCATTTCATGGATCTCAGGCCAGGTCCACTTTTTGTTCATCACAGCTTCCTGGCGGATGCGAAAAGGGGATGCTGCTAGATGCTGAGTTACCAACAGGCTTTGAGTTGGGGATGGGTCAAAACCCTGGTACCTAGTGAACCCCAAAATAGCTGGTAAATGGATGTTCATCCCACTAAAAATAATATTAATAGGTATTGATCCATACCCAGTTGTTTATTGTAATGTTGTTTCATCTTCTGGAAGGTCCCGGATGTGATCACTCATCGATTCTGACATTGAAAGCGCCAAAACCTGAGTAAATCACTGGCGCAGAGCCCACTTCGCAGCTAGGCAGACACAAATCACATGAATGTCACTACAGCAATTAAGCAGTTACCAGTATACCAGCTGTGGATCAAAACATTACCACTCTGGTGCAGTTGGATAAAGATCAAACAAGTTAGTAAAATGCATTTCCATTTGCAGTAGTTTCATCCAAAAGATGCAAACCCATCAACGAGTCAATCATCATCATAATATCATAATTATAACTTCTTAACCAACAAAAAACTCGCAGATGACCTGGTCAATTTCCCTTAAGTACATGACCAAAAAAAAACGAAAAAAACATCACCATCACCATCCCAGGGACCATCCCATCCAAAAAACCTTCCAACATCCCAACCCTCCAAAAACCAAGGGACCCGGATGCACTTGGAGTAGGCCCCGGTGGGAGCTCCCGTGGGTTTCCGCAAGGGCTCCAGCACCGCCACGCGGTGCCCGCGACTCGCTGCCTCCAGGGCGGCGGTGACACCTGCGGGGCCGCAGCCAAGGACCAGCAAGTCGTAGAGACCTGGCACTGGGATGTTGAGGGAAAACACGTGGGAATGAAATGAATCAAATGGATGAAATGAATGACATGAATGAAATGAATGAAATGGATGAAATGAATGACATGAATGAAATGAATGAAATGGATGAAATGAATGACATGAATGAAATGAATCAAATGGATGAAATGAATGACATGAATGAAATGAATGAAATGGATGAAATGAATGACATGAATGAAATGAATCAAATGGATGAAATGAATGACATGAATGAAATGAATCAAATGGATGAAATGAATGACATGAATGAAATGAATCAAATGGATGAAATGAATGACATGAATGAAATGAATCACATGGATGAAATGAATGACATGAATGAAATGAATCAAATGGATGAAATGAATGACATGAATGAAATGAATCAAATGGATGAAATGAATGACATGAATGAAATGAATCAAATGGATGAAATGAATGACATGAATGAAATAAATCAAATGGATGAAATGAATGACATGAATGAAATGAATCAAATGGATGAAACGAATGACATGAATGAAATGAATCAAATGGATGAAATGAAGAACATGAATGAAATGAATCAAATGGATGAAATGAATGACATGAATGAAATGAATCAAATGGATGAAATGAATGACATGAATGAAATGAATCAAATGGATGAAATGAATGACATGAATGATATGAATCAAATGGATGAAATGAATGACATGAATGAAATGAATCAAATTGATGAACTGAATGACATGAATGAAATGAATGAAATGAATGAAATGAATGACATGAATGAAATGAATGAAATGAATGAAATGGTTAAATGAAATCAAATGGGCAGGGTGTTGGAATGACATGAATTAAATGAACTCAAAAAAATGTTATGTAAATTAATGACATGATGATGAATCAATGGTGTGTTTGTACTGTAATGTCGTACTCATTAAGGAAATGAATGAATGAATGAATGCATGAATGAATGAAATAATGAATGGATGAAATGAATGACATGAATGAAATGAATCAAATGGATGAAATGAATGACATGAATGAAATGAATCAAATGGATGAAATGAATGACATGAATGAAATGAATCACATGGATGAAATGAATGACATGAATGAAATGAATCACATGGATGAAATGAATGACATGAATGAAATGAATCAAATGGATGAAATGAATGACATGAATGAAATGAATCAAATGGATGAAATGAATGACATGAATGAAATGAATCAAATGGATGAAATGAATGACATGAATGAAATGAATCAAATGGATGAAATGAATGACATGAATGAAATGAATCAAATGGATGAAATGAATGACATGAATGAAATGAATCAAATGGATGAAATGAATGACATGAATGAAATGAATCAAATGGATGAAATGAATGACATGAATGAAATGAATGACATGGATGAAATGAATGACATGAATGAAATGAATCAAATGGATGAAATGAATGACATGAATGAAATGAATCAAATGGATGAAATGAATGACATGAATGAAATGAATCAAATGGATGAAATGAATGACATGAATGAAATGAATCAAATGGATGAAATGAATGACATGAATGAAATGAATCAATGGATGAAATGAATGACATGAATGAAATGAATCAAATGGATGAAATGAATGACATGAATGAAATGAATGAAATGGAATGAAATGAATGACATGAATGAAATGAATCAAATGGATGAAATGAATGACATGAATGAAATGAATCAAATGGATGAAATGAATGACATGAATGAAATGAATGAATGGATGAAATGAATGACATGAATGAAATGAATCAAATGGATGAAATGAATGACATGAATGAAATGAATCAAATGATGAAATGAATGACATGAATGAAATGAATCAAATGGATGAAATGAATGACATGAATGAAATGAATCAAATGGATGAAATGAATGACATGAATGAAATGAATCAAATGGATGAAATGAATGACATGAATGAAATGAATCAAATGGATGAAATGAAGACATGAATGAAATGAATCAAATGGATGAAATGAATGACATGAATGAAATGAATCAAATGGATGAAATGAATGACATGAATGAAATGAATCAAATGGATGAAATGAATGACATGAATGAATGAATCAAATGGATGAAATGAATGACATGAATGAAATGAATCAAATTGATGAACTGAATGACATGAATGAAATGAATGAAATGAATGAAATGAATGACATGAATGAAATGAATGAAATGAATGAAATGAATGACATGAATGAAATGAATCAAATGATGAAATGAATGACATGAATGAAATGAATCAAATGGATGAAATGAATGACATGAATGAAATGAATGAAATGAATGAAATGAATGACATGAACGAAATGAATCAAATGGATGAAATGAATGACATGAATGAAATGAATCAAATGAATGAAATGAATGACATGAATGAAATGAATGAAATGAATGAAATGAATGACATGAATGAAATGAATCAAATGGATGAAATTAATGACATGAATGAAGTGAATCAAATGGATGAAATGAATGACATGAATGAAATGAATCAAATGGATGAAATGAATGACATGAATGAAATGAATCAAATGGATGAAATGAATGACATGAATGAAATGAATCAAATGGATGAAATGAATGACATGAATGAAATGAATCAAATGGAATGACATGTATTAAATGGATGAACTCCTTAATATGGCATTCTTATCATATGAACTATAGCATGGGGAAACTCCCTATAAATGGAAGTTTTAATGGAAATGAAAGCTATGTATCAATCATTATCATCATCAACGATCATCAATTCCCAGTACCGGTATGAAACTAATGGAACACTGCTAAATGATATGGGACTATCATCAATTCATCATCATGAAACCATTTTAATGGATGTAATAATTCATAAGTATGGAACATCATGTGGGAATGGCTCACTATTATATTTAATACATATCTATTTCTTTAGTAAATGTGATGCTCTATTCATGAAAGATTGACTGATCTATTAATGTTTCAATAGTTCATTAAACCTCACATTTATTAACGATCATCCCATGATCTAAGCTTAACATTTATTAACGATCATCCCATGAATAAACATCTGACTTATTGCCCTCTACTGCAACATATGGGACCGGACCCTGGGATATCACCGAGGCCTAGAGGTAAAGCTAGCCACGAATCTCGTGGGATTTTCGTTCATTTGCTGATTTTCAACCATGTGTCATAGGAACATGTGGAAATTTGCTGTGAAACTATGGTGCTGTTTGGAATTTAAGGTGCGAAGGCGAAATGATGGTTGAAATCCAACTTTCTGATATGGGTCAATTTATCATAACGTATCATTTAAGGGCATATTTCATGGGATATAAATTGAACCTTGGGAAAACGTGAAGGGATTTTCTGAAGCCAAACATTCATTTTTCAATGAGGATCTGTATTTCAAACCATGTCATGGGATGTTTTTTGGGATCTTCGTCGGGACGTATGGACTCCTCTGAAAAAGAAGCATAGACTCATAGACCAATGAACATATCTAGTTTATGGGCATGTTCATGGGGAGAAGCCGATGACTAGGCATTGTATGAATGGGTTTATTCAAACAAACCAACATGTGGGAGCTAATCTAAGAGAAACAAATAAAAACACTATGACACGTCCATCCGATTGGTGAGAAATCCCCGAAGCAAATGGGCATTAAAATTTAGCACTGATTGAACAAAATTAGTGTTTTTCAACTAGCCACGTTTGATTTCCAAATGGTAGCTTGAAGTTTCGGTGTTTCAAGAAATATGCCGACCAATCCCTTGTGTCCATGTCCCACATCATTTTTGATCATCCCCAATAAACCAGGCAGCTCAAAATAATCCACCTGGGTCTACCTGGGTAGCTTAACAGTGGCTGCTGAAAAAAAAATCGGCTGCACATGGCTCCCCTAGACCCACCCCAGCGGACCTTCTTGATGCTCATCGCCTGCTTCTTTGGCTGCACAGTCTACATCCAAAATACGGAGGAACTCACAGAAGTCGTACCTGACTTCCAACCAATCGCGAAGCGCCAAGCGATGCTGGGATTGTTAATGGGATATTAAACAATCCCATTAAATGGGATATTCATGGAGATTTAATGGGATATTAAACAACATAATGGAGATTTCGTATGATTTTTCATGGAATTTAATGGGACACATCACCTATGTGGAAGTTCACTTGGAGTTTTTTCAACACATGGTACCATGGCGATTATCTCCATAAGTTGGGACCAGATTTTCAACCAAGGTCTATCAAGAAGCAACCGACATCTTGGACTGCAAACATGACACCGGCGGCTCTATACGGCTTGGAGGGACTTGAAGCAAAAAATTTGGTGCGGTTGGATCCCCAATCACCGCAACCCCCAAGCAGAAGTTTGTAAAATCTGACTCCGGAATAGTGGCAACGTTACCAGTTTTTTTTTCTTGGGGTGGTTACTATATATCCCAGAAAATCTCCTAATATCCCATAATAGAATAGGATAACATAGGATAACATATCCCATGTCCCATGTCCCATCTTACTATAAATTGAAACCATTCTGCGCGTCAGGCGCCTCCCATTCTTCGTCGGGGGGATGGTGGAGAGCAAAACCTGCACGTTGGCTTTGTTGACGCCGAGGCGTATTAAGGTGCCTGGAGCGTCGCAGAAATGGGCGGCTGCCTTGTGTGAAATGTATCTTATCACAACATATATGTAAATATATATAATTATATATATATAACATATATACATACATATACTATCATATAATCATATATACTATTTATCATATCAATATGGTTGGTGGTTGAATGTTAAGCACCCAAAAATGGTCTCAATTGGTCTTGACCCATGGGCCATTTTGGTGGGTAGGGCAGATTTCAGCAAAAACAACATGGAACCATTCTGGTCAAATTCCTTCGATGGTTATTAAAGTTCACTGGACATGATTAATGTCAACCCAGGAACCAGGATTTTGCTAAACACCGGATTTACTAAATAGACAATGTTTTAGAATTATAGTGATTGATCACTTTTTTCGGGAGGTCACTCGTTTAACCTTCCAAATAAAAGTCAGAGTTTATTACATCCGTGGAACCACAATGTTCTGAAGGCTCCTTTAAAGACATGTCCGATTTGGATTCTCGGAGGCCTTACACGGAAGCCAACGCTAATTCAGAGCCATGAAAACATGTAAGGCACTGGTCCATGATTACCACCTAAGGTCAGACAATGTCAGACATATACCAACATTTCCTGTGGGAAAACACTACAATCTGAGAAATAAAGGACCGGATAACCCCACATGTTACCAACTTCTTTAGACTTAGACTGAGCAGAGAAAGCGAGAAGGGAAGAGGAAGTATGAGAGTGATGGAGGGACGATGGTGGTATGTATGTAGGTATATATGTAGGTAGGTATAGGTGAGTTTGTGTGTGTGTATGTATGTTCAAGTACAGTGAGTGAGTGAGTGAGTGAGTGAGTGAGTGAGTGTGAGTGTGTGAGTGGATTGAGTGAGTGAGTGAGTGAGTGAGTGAGTGAGTGAGTGAGTGAGTGAGTGAGTGTGAGTGAGTGAGTGAGTGCGTGCGTGCGTGCGTGCGTGAGTGAGTGAGTGAGTGAATGAGTGAGTGAGTGAGTGAGTGAGTAAGTACGAGTGAGTGAGTAAGTAAGTACATGTTCCACGCCTGCCAGGGCGTATATCTGACCCCTTGGCAGTGCACATTGTCCCACGCCTGCCACGCAAAAGCGGCGGAGGCCCATGCCTGCCACGCAAAAGAGGCGGAGCCCCAAGGGACGCCAGGGCGTACATCAGACCCCTTGGCAATGCACATTGTCCCACGCCTGCCACGCAAAAGAGGCGGAGCCCCAAGGGACGCCAGGGCGTACATCAGACCCCTTGGCAATGCACATTGTCCCACGCCTGCCACGCAAAAGCGACGGAGCCCCAAGGGACGCCAGGGCGTACATCTGACCCCTTGGCAGTGCACATTGTCCCACGCCTGCGACGCAAAAGAGGCGGAGCCCCACGGGACGCCAGGGCGTACATCAGACCCCTTGGCAGTGCACCTTGTCCCACGCCTGCCACGCAAAAGAGGCGGAGCCCCAAGGGACGCCAGGGCGTACATCCGACCCCTTGGCAGTGCACATTGTCCCACGCCTGCCACGCAAAAGAAGCGGAGCCCCAAGGGACGCCAGGGCGTACATCCGACCCCTTGGCAGTGCACATTGTCCCACGCCTGCCACGCAAAAGAGGCGGAGCCCCAAGGGACGCCAGAGCGTACATCAGACCCCTTGGCAGTGCAGATTGTCCCACGCCTGCCACGCAAAAGAGGCGGAGCCCCAAGGGACGCCAGGGCGTACGTCAGACCCCTTGGCAGTGCAGATTGTCCCACGCCTGCCACGCAAAAGAGGCGGAGCCCCAAGGGACGCCAGGGCGTACATCCGACCCCTTGGCAGTGCACATTGTCCCACGCCTGCCACGCAAAAGAAGCGGAGCCCCAAGGGACGCCAGGGCGTACATCAGACCCCTTGGCAGATCACATTGTCCCACGCCTGCCACGCAAAAGAGGCGGAGCCCCAAGGGACGCCAGGGCGTACATCCAACCCCTTGGCAGTGCACATTGTCCCACGCCTGCCACGCAAAAGAGGCGGAGCCCCAAGGGATGCCAGGGCGTACATCAGACCCCTTGGCAGTGCACATTGTCCCACGCCTGCCACGCAAAAGCGGCGGAGCCCCAAGGGACGCCAGGGCGTACATCCAACCCCTTGGCAGTGCACATTGTCCCACGCCTGCCACGCAAAAGAGGCGGAGCCCCAAGGGACGCCAGGGCGTTACATCCAACCCCTTGGCAGTGCACATTGTCCCACGCCTGCCACGCAAAAGCGGCGGAGCCCCAAGGGACGCCAGGGCGTACATCCAACCCCTTGGCAGTGCACATTGTCCCACGCCTGCCACGCAAAAGCGGCGGAGCCCCAAGGGACGCCAGGGCGTACATCGGACCCCTTGGCAGTGCACATTGTCCCACGCCTGCCACGCAAAAGCGGCGGAGCCCAAAGGGACGCCAGGGCGTACATCGGACCCCTTGGAGTGCACATTGTCCCACGCCTGCCACGCAAAAGAGGCGGAGCCCCAAGGGACGCCAGGGCGTACATCCGACCCCTTGGCAGTGCACATTGTGCCACGCCTGCCACGCAAAAGAGGCGGAGCCCCAAGGGACGCCAGTGAGTGAGTGAGTGAGTGAGTGTGTGAGTGAGTGAGTGAGTGTGTGAGTGAGTGAGTGAGTGAGTGAGTGAGTGAGTGAGAGTGAGTGAGTGAGTGAGTGAGTGAGTGAGTGAGTGTGAGTGAGTGAGTGAGTGAGTGTGAGTGAGTGAGTGAGTGAGGGAGGGAGGGAGGACGGGAAGGAGGAGGACGAGGAGGAGCGGATACAGAACTAAAAACAAAAACCCCACACGTCAATGTGGGGAAAAAATACAATAAATAAATATAAACAACATCTCAGAACCATGGAGAAGCGCCTTCCATCTCGGCCCGGCTGAGGGTGGCATCTCCGCCAACGGTATTTTGGAAAGCTTGCCACACGGCATCCATGGCGATAAAAAACGAGGAAAAAACACAAGGTCTGGATCCAGAATATGGGGTATACCATGGTATACCATGGTACACCTCAAACGATCACCATTTTTGAAGGGTAAACATGGGATTCTGGGGGTTTTACGCGAAAAAAAACACAAAAAGACAACATGTCTATGCCTGGGTCGAGGTGGTTTCACCCATGTATGTTGCCTGAAGCTGCTCTCAAACTTGTGACAGGTGCTCCAAGTTGGGCATGGCTGCTGTCTGAATTTTCTAATGCATAGTTACTTGAGAACAAAATCGTCGGAAACCCAGCAACATCTCTTCCGCAACAGTCAGCAATGCACACAAAATGTTGGAGACCCAACAGTGAATATAATACTGGTTGGTGGTTTCAACCCCTCTGAAAAATATGAAAGTCAGTTGGGATGATTATTCCCAATAGCCAATATATGGAAAAATAAAAGCCATGTTCCAAACCACCAACCACAATAAATCTCCGTCCACGCCATGATCCACCAATGTTGGCATTGCACGCCATGGAATCCCGGACACAGCCCTCAAGCTGAGACCACACCTGAAGGGAACCCGTGCTGTCAATGATTTTTGGCTTCTAGCAGTTTGGTAGCATCTGCATTTTCCAAAAATCATATATGTCGCAACCGCGTCAGAAGCATCTGCATGCCTTCCGACCAAGCTCCAGCAGTTAGCGCTCTTTGGGTTGTCCTCAACTTTCTCTGAGAACGGGAGATTGCTGGTTTCTGGCTTGTAGTCTCGGCTTTTCTGCGACAAAGACCAACAGTTGTAGAGCTTTTGCCACAGCTATCAAGCTCATCAGGGTTCATTTAAAAATAAAGTGTGTCCCCAGAATTGCCACGTTCATAGGGAAAAAGATGGATCATGATTTAAGATGATGGAACATGATGAGAAACCATCATAGATGACATAGATGATGGAATAGACTGATTAACTAGTTTAATTTAACATAATTTAACTATTATTATAATATGTTGGTCTACCTTCTCTTCAAACAAACCCATGGGAAACCAAAACGACCAAACGCAGGTCAGCCTGAACCAACTCAGCCGAATCGGGTTACGAGGAGGTGCCGCTTACGTATGTCCATCGGCAGCCGATTTTCAGCCACATCAGCACCCAAGAAAAATCACCACGGAGCAAACTGTGTGTCTGAAAATAGTGGATTAATTGAAGCGTCCAATGATGATAAATGTATATTATATAATATTATATATGATATTATATATTCTGGTTGGTGGTTTTAACCATCTTGAAAAAAATTAGTCAATGGGAAGGATTATCCCATATAGTATGGAAAAAAAAATGTTCCAAACCACCAACCAGGCTATGATGTGTAGTAGTCATATTATGTCATATTGTATATGTATGTCTGGTATATAAACACAATATATGTACAATATTAGTGATGATATTGTATAATATTATATATATATTGATATTAAGGGCCATTCTTGTAGAGAACATATGAGAAAATGAGGTTCTTAACCAGCGGTGCCTGGAGTGTCCGCCTTTTTCCAAGCGCCGACGGAATGCTAGTAGCGGCTACGGTGTACAAGGGCATACCAAACAACAAATAATCACTGCCAAACAAAAATTATGGGCTGATGGTTGCAGTAAACGAAAGCGCTATAAGTATCCATGAAAAAAAAACGGCTGATGGACTGTGACAATTTCGCAGCTTTGCCCGCGAACTCAATTCTGTGGTGTTTCATATGAAAGTGACAAGTGTAGCTCACACGCAAACACACTTACCTTTTAGCCTAAATCTATACCTACAAAAAACACACATCAGCGGACAAGTCATACAGTATAAGCACATATCCATGTGCTACCCAAAAACATCTACACAAATAATTGAAATACTACATGCATGTTAAATCGCATACAGAAAGCAACAAACGTTCTGGCATATTCTGGCATTTGAACAACAAGCTTGGGATAGAACCACCAGACCTAAAATATACCGAAATCAGCTATACACCTAAAGCTTCAAACCTGACAATCTTGCCAGTCAACATGGCTCATTACATTCATTGATTTATACAATTTCTCTGGGGTGCTTATACCATTGCGCACTCAAGAGTGTCGCGAGACTGGAAGCCAACGGTGCCGCGCACCAATTGGTCCAGTTGATGCTTTTTACAATCCCTCCCTCAGGCTGGCAGCTAAGAATATATCGTCCCAAGCATGTAGGCAAAAGATAGCAAAAGTGTCCTGTGATGTCCTGTCCGCAAACCGGTCTTGCTGCCAGACTGAGTATCGAGGAGAATCCATTCACCGTGTTAGTGTCTGGATAGATTTTTTACGTTTTTTGACTAGCTGTTGGCTCGCACCACATCTGAACCTTGCAGCCCTGGGAACAGCTCATTCAGATAACGCTTACTGTACTGAGCCATGCCTCAAATTGCGGTCGGCTCGAAAACTATGTTGAGAAACACATTATTGGGCAGCAAAAGCAATGATGTACAACAGTTTTCCTTCACGATCAGAATATCTTCCTTCCATTTTCTTCCAGGGCCTGCAGATCAAATATGAAACTATTGCATCAGCCAGACTGCTTTTTGTGCTTCTTTGAGCGCACCAACTGATCGAACAGCTGGCGTATGTTCAATCCCTCCGAGAAAGGCCTGGGCGATTTCTTCGACGGAGGAGATGTAACCCCTATGCTGTTTAAGTCTCGATGAGGATGTTCATAGATCACAATGTCCTAACCCCGTTCCAAAGTTCACTGGTTCAACACCTATGTCGTCACTGGTGGCATCGCAAAATGCTGACTCTATAGCGCCCAGATCGCCATAGGAGGTGGCACTATGTACTGTGAATGGATCTCCTCAAGCTTAGCTCCTCCACTGCTTTCGGAGATCACGGATCTTCTACCAAAGCCAGCCTTTCGCTGTGCCTCTGGTTGTCGTTTCTTTCGCCAGTCCCATTGCCTATACCACAGGAAAACAACACGATCCTATAAGGATTATATAGGATTATATTTAGATGTAATCTACCATAGTCTTAGGCAAGGTTTCTGTGAATTACAATCAGACTCCGAGTCAAAGCAGATTTCTGCGGCAGGTTCTGAGTAAAATGCACCTTTATCAACAACTTATTGTTTTTTCATGAGGCAGTTGCGGAACCGTTCAGAATGGCTGACCGAAACTCGATCAGGTGGCCACAGGAAGGGTATCAGTGCCCTGCCAAGTGGCTGTATGGAATGCCCTGGCAAATTTCATTCGACGGAGGTCTTTGTTCGCCTTGCCTGCATCTAAGGGGGCATAGTCTCAACTAGCCAACTACCTACTTGGGAACCCTAGAGTTGGAAAATGTGGTGCAACATGGTGCAACAATGATCAAGAAAGAGAAAGTCCAAGCGGTGCCCTTCCAACATTCTTCACCATTCAGTCGCTTCCAGGCAGTGCAAACTCACCATAACTCACCCGTCGTCGCCAAGGACTGCAGGTCTCAAATGCCTGCGAGAATCGACAGAAACCTATGCACTGACGCGGAAGATCTCCAGAAATCTCATGATGTTTGATCGGCCGTGCCATCCAGTGGACATCCACGTGTATCACCAACGTAGCTGCTTGGCCATAAAAATGAAACATCTCATTTGCCCATGTTGATTCATATCCCCTATTTAGACCTATTTAGATCGTAGTATCGAAATATATATATATACACGTATACACCATATATTAGCCACATATCCTTTATGAGTCATGAGTCTGTCTGAGAATCGGGGATACCCCCAAAACAACCTTTGACTGCGAAACATGATGATAAACCATGGGATTTCTGCGTATTCTATGTTCAGACAAACCCATATTCATATACCATTCATAGAGCCATTTATTATAGCCGTTTATTCCCTACAAGTACAACGTCACTATAGAGACGTCGCTAGAGATCTGCCTTCAAACGTCGCTGGGCCCACCAGATGAATCCAGACAGAGTCTGCTGGTCAAACTGCCAAGATCGCAGGTTGAGACATCATTTCTGGCACCTTGGTTTGAAAACCCCAAAATACAATTAGTTGGTAAATGATGGGTAAATGATGGTAGTTATGGATGTTATTGGATGCTTATACTAGTATATATATATATATATGTATATATAATAGATATATATATATATATAATATATAAAACAAGAGCATGTTGCTTGTTTTTTTGAGCAGTCACGTGAAAGGCTCAACCCAAGACAGTGAAATTCTGCTTTCCTACTCCTGTCTTAGAGCTAAGGTGGCTCAGCATGCAGAAGCACTGCTGTCTGCATACCTGAAGTGGACCGAAGGACAACAGCGGAGAGAGATTCCTGCCAAGTTCATCCTGTTACCATTGTGGCAAATCCTCCCATCAATGCATTCAGCATTCACCAGTATGATTTTGGGGAATTCAAGTCTTGTAAGGGCCAGAATGTAGCTGCTCCCAGTACAGGCCACACGTGGCATGGTGATGAAGCGTGAAGATATCAGTGGATATCCAAGACAAAATCATATAAAACCTCTGCATCATGATACCAGCCATGCTTCCCCTGCAAAAATCCAAATCAAATTCCACCGGGTTTTTCGTATCAATGGCTAGCAGTTTCAGCGCCCAGCCTGTCTGGAAGGCCATCGTATGTACAAACACCTCCTGGCTGCCAGGAAGACACGCAGAAGGTCAACCCAAATCAGCTGCAGCTCTCTTTTGATCGGAGCATGTTCTTTAATGTGGTAAACCCAATGCGATAAATCACCCAAGTCACCACGAAAAATGGGGACTTCAACCATCCCCAGTCATGGTAGGTTTATCGGTCAATCCCTGTACCTCGGGAATAGTCCATGGGGCAAGCCCCCGAATTGCCATATTTCTAGCCTTTTTCTGGATCTTATTTTCGGGACAGCGATATCATAGACATCGTCATCATGTACTTGGGGGTGAAGTTCCATTTGTTTTCATATCACCATAGTTTTGTCATAGTTATATAGAAATATACATGTTATATATGTTATACATGTTATATTTTGGCCCCCATATCCTTAAGGTGCTGATAATCCCATGGAATCATGCTGTTCGCTGTTCCCCCCCGGATCCTCTTCAATACGCTGGCTGTCCCAACGGCCTGGATGGGATGAGTCGGAACGGCCCAACTTGCCATGCCGTTCCACCATCATATGGTCGACGTTAGACAAATGTGGATTAAAATGATTATATAATATAATAAATATATATATAACATATATATATATACAATATAATATATATATAATATAATATAATATAATATAATATAATATAATATAATATAATATAATATAATATATATATATACATACATATTAAATATCTACATATATTCATTATAATTCTATATATAATACATACATATAATGCGGTTTAGCTATGTGTTTTTGGTCACTCATTTACACATGGCTAATGTTCAATATCGCACATGGCCAAAGGGCGTGGCAACTTGCGGGACCACATGGTGGCATAATTGTAATGAAACCTTTCCCCAGTTTTGGGTTCATGTTGAATTTCCATACTGTTTGATGCACACACTAATCCCCTCGCGAAGCACCCAACCGGAATTTTTGAACACCACTCAATTCACCTATAGGAGCAAAAGTGGCAACAGCTTAGTTTTGGAATACCATGATATTAATGATACAGTATTCTCTTTTTTAGACTGAGAACCCGTTTGGATTTTGGCACGCGAAAAATCCTCCCATTTTTCCATCGAAAATCCACTCGAAGCATTGGCATCTCGGTCGCATCTCGTCCCGCACGTGCTTTGACATGTGAGACATCAAAGTCCTTGGGTAAATTCCAGATTTCCATCTCCTGTGGCGTTGACGTGTTGCGGACATCAGCTTTAAAGTCATCACATGGAAGAACACACCAAAAAAACAAAACATAAAAAAAACAACGGGAAAAGAGGACCTAAATCTCAATGTTGGTAGCACGATGCAGGAGCCGACTGATGTTCAGTTTGCTTCAACTCTCCAGTGAAAACTGGGTGCCTGCACCAAGTCCAGCTCCACCAATCCGCATCCTGGTGCTGCAAGAAATTGGGTTTGGCTTGCTAAAGCCACGTTTATCAAGCCAGTCAATACCAGAACTCATTTGGCTTTGTTGGAAAATAGGGTATACCTCAAACTTTGATGGTTGACAGCATGTTTTGTTCAAATCATTGTATGGACAAACCCAAATCATATTTATCCCCATAATGCCCGACTATATCCTCATAACATGATTTGTTTCAAGACCATTTTTGGACACGACTCATGTTCGAAGAATTCCCCGTTGTCTTGCTGGTAAATCCCCATTTCTATAGATTAACTCACATGTTGGATGGTTTTGATTGGTCACATAGCATTTATTGGTGCTGCTCCCAACACCCTAAATATTCCCAAATACAAGGGGAGGAAACATGGCTACAGATAAAGAAAGAGGCAAACCAACCATAATGGGTTATAGTTTAAAATTTAAACAACCACAATGGTAAATTATAACTATTATATATAGATAAAAATGGCTACCAGCGGCTACCATTGTGGTTACATATGGTCCCTTGTAGTTATAATTTACCTATGGGCTGGAGGAACTCTGCTTCTGGTTGGATAAATCACCATAAATCTCGAATTCAATTCCCCACTTGAATACCAAAGTTAGTTTTTCCCCTTAGATCACCACTTAAATTCTCACTTAAATCCGCATTATTGGTCAAATCAAGTTAAATCAATCAAACAAAACATGCTAAATGACCACAAAACAGATCGAAAAAGAATTGGGTTGGAAAGGCCCCTTGATGGTTAACAATACCGATACCAAGCCTTATCATGAACCATTCACCATAATAAAGGATTTACTGAAAACATATGAGTTTGTCTGAAAATAGGGTACCCCCACTTCCAATGGTTGACCATCTTTTTCCCTATTAAGATGTTTTCTTTTAATGCACATTCCCACTTTTCAGACAAACCCAGAAATACAATCATCCTGAAGTAGATAGAAGATGGAAATTTCAACAAATAAATCAGTACGAACGATCATACTACTCATTGAATGCCATTGACAAGATAATGACATCAACTCATGTGAAATGATTTCAATATATTTTAGTAACACCATGGGTATACTAATGACACCAATCCTCATGATATACCAATTTTCCATGAGGATTGGTGTCATCATCTATACCAATCCAATGGTATTGATGACATCAATGGTGATTGTTTGATATTGATTGTGAAGCATCAAAATGGAGTTCAATAATCATATTTTGTACTCATGTTTGATCCAATTTCACCAATGGTGATTGATCATGACATTGATGTGCTATACCAAGCCTGTCATTGTGTGAAATGATTATCATTTCACCTCATTATGACATTAAAAAAATAACAATTTAACCAATGACAATGTCATTATACCACTAAAATGACCAATGGTAATGACCAATGGTATTACATAATCATTTTCTGACATGTCACCAATGATGTTTTTTGGTTTTCCAATGGTTTTTTCCATATTGATTTTGCCAATTAATGGTTTACCAATCCTCATAATTGATGATATCCCATGATCCATGATGACCATGTGAGTATTATTAGTCCACCTACAACTTTACCAATGATTCATTGGTTTTCCAATGGTTTTATTCCAATGCTTGGTCACGGTTTACCACTCATCATAATTGATGATATTTACCAATGATTTAACCAATGTTTTACCAATGGTATTACCAATGATTTTTCCAATGATTGATTGGTTTACCATCGTGTCACCATGTCGTCACCAATGATGTTTTTTGCTTTTCCAATGGTTTTTTCCAATGCTTGGTGACCAATGGTTTACCAATCCTCATCACGTCCCTGTCATGGCTATTCCATGATGCCCCACCTCGCTGCATGGCAGCCACACTGGGCGCTGCTCGCAGCCGCTCGGGCGAGATGTCCAGCTGCGCCGCGGCGTCGAAGCCTCGATGTTCGGCGGCCGTTCACGGTGGGCGCTGGGTCTGGATATAGCAAACCACCAAACAAAGATTACAAAGTAACATAGGACAACAAAACATTCATATATATATATATAGAACGAAGAATTGATACTATATGTGAATTTGAGTGGGATTTGTTTGCTCTGGTTGCTGTAGAATAATCTTGGTCCATGATTTCCCATGGCTCCAGATGGTTACAGATATGGGATGGGTAATTGTTGAGGTCAACCAAACAGCATGGTTACCCTCTGGTTATGACTAACATAGCCATGGTATAGATGGCCCTAATCGAAATAGATGGTTTACCGTTCTTAAAAATGGTGGATCTTTCCATGGCTATGTGAAATAACCAGAGGGTATCATATGTTATCATTAAAATCTGGGATGTGAGCCATTCTTAGTGTCTTAGTGATAATAATAATGGATATAATTGGGGTTTCGACAAGCCCCCAGATGGATAGTTACTTTAGATATCAGCAAACATAGGATGTCCAAGCAGCACATTATTGTTGATATCGATGACATCATATCCATTCATATTCATATCCCATTTGTGTTGGATGGAATTAAAATATAACATGAAATTAAGAACAATGCTGCGATATGTAAGTGTAGTTCATGACATATTGTGTTTCAAGTAGTGGCTTTAACCTGCCAAAGGAGGGGGGTTACAGTTTTTGGAAGCCATGAATCGCCAAGGAATCAACAATAAGTGTTAGACATCTTGGTGTAAAGTCATTGACAGGGTTGCTGCAACTCATTGAACGCTTATTTGATAGCCACTTTTGGGAGGTTTTCATTGGTCATTTTACATCATTTTACCATATGTTACCCACTGGTAAATTAACATAGCTATTGAAAATGACCTATTGATAGTTCATTTACCCATTAAACATGGTGATGTTCCATAGTTTTTTGTTAGTTTACCATATGTTACCCCCATATTTACCCAAGATACCCAACAGTAGCTGAAGTGCTTGGAAACCAAAGAACCAAACAGCTGCAGCTGGCAACCCTCCTTGGTCCTTGCCCATCGATGTTCACCAGCGCGAGGCTCGGCTACTTGATCCTGTGCCTGGGACAAAAAAGGTTGTTGGTGGTACAACAAATGGATACAAATGGTACATAATGGTACATATACTGGGATATTAAATGGATATGAATGGGATATGAATGGGATATTAATGGTATATGAATGGGATATGAATGGGATAAACATGGGATATGACTGGCTTATTTCATGTCATTCTTGTCTTAGCCATAGCCCCGCGTCCAAGGGTTGTGTTTTGTTGGCTTCTGTACAGCGCCGGTGCTAGGGAATCAACTTTGAAGCTCTGGCCTCTGTCTTCTTGCCTCATCTTACGTCAGCTATGCGATTGCGGCAATGTCAGATTATTTAAAACTATGTCTCAGCTCAGAAATGTTGGGTTTAGTTACTTATATTACACCAACGGACAAACATTTAATATGGCAATGGCAATTCAAAACAGCTACGCAGAAAAGTCATCAAACATCCACCATTGCATCAAAGCTGTAAATCATCGAATCAAATGGGTCTTGATCGCATCGCGCCTGCGTTGTTTGCGGCTGCGGTTTGTCCGTTGCTCTCCCAGATGCCCAGGTGCCATGTTGGCCCAGCACTGCCAGAGCCTTCTGCCAACCTTCCTCCGTGCGAAGCTCCTCCTGGGCTCTGGGGCTGTAAAAATAGTTGTACTGTTGAGAAATCATATGCAACAGTATGCAACTCAAATTCAACCAGATTCTCAAATATATCCACTCCCATCATCATCAGCCACCATGAACCACCATTCCATTTTTCAATGGATGGCTTCAGATCCCAAAAACACGACCAAGCCTGGTTAAGAAGTCGCCTTTTTTCGTGGGTTACCCTCTGGTAATTTAACATAACTATGGAAAATCACCATTTTTAATGGGAAAATCCACTATAAATGGCCATTTTCAATAGCTATGTTAGTTTACCAGAGGGTATCCCATTCATCACCGGGATACCGGGGAACCCCGACAATCACTCACTGGCAGCCAAGTCGCCAAGGCCCGCGGCGGTTTCATCGCCTCCACGAAAGCCTCCAGCGCCGGCTGCTGCGCTGTGGCAGCCAAGCTGGAGACCTCGGCTGCTGAAACATAGCCATGGAAAATCACCATTTTTAATAGGTAAACCATTCTATTTCTATGGGCCATCTATAGCATGGCTATGTTAGTCATAACCAGGTTGGGTATTTTATATAACCAGAATGTGGCCGAAAGCAGTGAAGATGTTGAATCATATATCAACTAAAGCTGGTAACAAAACATGTGTGGGATAATTTCATATAACTGGTGATATTACAAGAATTTCATACCCAAGCAGGAAGGGGGTAAAACACAGCTCGAAACATTGACATTTCAAAAGCTGCTATGCAATGCTGTTGGCTATGCTATGCAAAGCTAGTCATGAAACCATGCCTTGCTTGAGGGTTTCAAAATCACTTGGTGAGTGGCATTACTTGCATCAAGAATTGAGTCGAAATTCAGAATGAACATGCTTGCAGTTCCAGCGGCTGACCAGTTCATGTGGTCGTTCGCCTGTAACAGTGGGCTGACTGATCCTCATGAGAGGCCTTGGACCTTGTAATCCCTGAGAACCATCCCATTCTAGCCAGTACCAAGACAGGAGTACATGGCCACTTGGCTTAACAGTGTAGTCTTTCTGTCCAAAATTACATCAACAAAAGTCCAAATGAATCGTTCGAGGCAAACACACACACATACACACTGATCCAGCAAAGTCTCTAGTCATTCGAAAGGTTCCAACCAACCCAATCATTCCTAAAATGTGGTAAACTCGATAATCAACCTACAAGTGGGGATGGTTTATACGTTTTTGGTCAAACACATGTTTTTGCAGCTCCCTAACACATCCATTAAACAATAGATGCCCATGACATTCTGAGTTTCCCCCATAGTGGAATGAGTCTAAGAGTCTAATGCCCCATTTATATCATTTTATCTCCAATTATATCCCATTATCTCAAAATCCCCAGATTACCCTCTGGTAATTTAACATAGCTATTGAAAATGGCCATTTATACTGAGTTTTCCCATTAAAAATGGTGATTTTCCATAGTTATGTTGGTTTACCAAAGGGTATATCTCACAACCGGTCCCGTGGCGCCTGCAGCACGCCGTGTCGCCCCAGCCACGCCGCTAGGGCCATCCGCAGCGCCGTGGCGTCGCCGGGACACGCGGCTGCGGCGCAGGAGGCCGCGTAGAGGTGGTTGGGAGAGGACGGTTCCAGCTGTTGAAGAAGATCCCGCACCTGGCAATGAATGGAGAGAAATCTATATTAAACTTTCATATATGCATGTAATATATATATAATATATACGTATATATATATATATATGTATATATATATATTATATAATTATATATATATATGATATCGGAAATTACAATATATATTATATTATACCTAGATAGGTGTTGCGTATGAAAAAAAAGTGCCGGGTTCCCAAGCAGCGTTCTTTTTTAGACGTAACCCGGACCTTTTGACGCAGGACATCCAAAAATGACGTTGCCAAAGGTCAATGGTTGTGAGGGCTGTGGAACTATGGCTCACCATGCATACGCTTGACTGACAAAGAGGTGGTCCCAACACCCTGAACAGTACAAAACTCCTTTTCTCCATGGACTCCGCAAGTCCATGAGCAGCAAAAATAGTGGGAAATGAATTATGTAATGGTTCCGGGAAATTATGCCGTAATGTTGGGAAATTACGCCGTAATGATTGGGAATTACGACGGCAACTTTTGGTGATGTTTCCATTAGTTTCTTTTTTGGAAAATCAATTTTAAAAAACTGCACCCAGGTTCCAAGACATCGAACCAATTTAAGTGCACATCTTGGCCTTTGAGCCCAACATGGTCCACACATACCAATGAAAATGACGCAGCCCAAAAAAAATATTACGATGTCCCTCCTGGAATTACGCCGTAGCATGGAACAAATCATTTCAAGGCTAGGTATATATTATGAATATTTATGAATGATAACTAACAAAAGTAACTAAGCCTTTCTGTATAACAGTGCTCAGTCCAATCCAGCTTTCAGCACCTCCTTCCAGGCTTCGTAGCGCCTCTTGGCCGGCGCTTGCACATGCTCCATGGTCATCGCGCGGCAAACGAAGACAGGTGCATAGCTGGATAAGAGAACCTGCCCCGGATCCCAGCTGTTTGGTAAAGGACTTAAGGGATTTTTTTGGGAGAATATTTGCCCTTAAAATTCCAAGATTCACAGGTTGGATGGCTTCTAATTTCATGCGACGATGCTATATCACAGGATGGATGAAAATCCATTATATTGGGATTAATGTCCATGTACATCCACTTACGAGCGATTTTGGTGTTCACCAGGGTGTCAGTGTTTGGACCCATGATAATATGCTGAAATATATAGGAACAAGTTTGAGGTGGCGGCAAAGCGTTTATATAGCAAGGACTTATGCTGGAACATTAATCAACTTTTATGGTACTAGGAGGGTCTAAGTACAGTAGATGGGAAATGGAGTGCGCTAACATTAGCTAATTGGTTAGTGATTGGGTTTGGGGTACATAGCCGGATTGTATACCAATTCTCACCAGTTAGCCAGTTAGCTACAGTCATCAAACAACTTACAACTATGATAAGGGGATATGAGTTAGAGAAGGGCTTGCCCCTCAACCAATCTTCCAGACCCTCAACCATATATGCCCACAATATGCCTACAAACTTCAAAAACACTCTTAGGATGTAGGGTCAGGTAAAGAAGATTGGTGGGAAGGCAAGCGCCCACATAGAAAACTTAAGCATATCTCTTCCTTGGTCATCCACGACCAACTTCCCTGAAACATCAGGACCAGCGAATAACATGATTGAACATCCTATTGCGCTGAAGCTAAAACTTGGCTTTAGAATCACGAAATTGCACATTGCAGCTTCAGGTTCAACCATCACATGCGCACTGCAATAGCACCTCTTGAATACAGAGCCCGGCCATTTTCAACAGCACTTTGCACGTCAGGAGTTTCGTGAAGGACATCCCTTTCTGACCAATCACCCCGTCTCCTCAAACACATGGATGGACAATTCGGCTTGTACTCGTCAGAACGTATTGCCCGATACACAAACCTCACCTGCTCAGGTCCAGGTGTGTACCGAATCTCTTCCAGACGGTGCAAGACATCCTCCCTGTGCTCTTCCTCTTCGTACAGCACCAGATCAAGTAGCTCGCAGTACTGGCATTTCTGAAGAGAAAACCGAGGCAGGTGACTTTCTGCACGGCATGCCCTAAATCAGGCAGGATGTATGACCAAAAACAAAATTACCAACCTAACCCTCAGCCACGGGCAAGATGAACACAAGACCAAGCCCGGCTGCATTTAGTGATCTCAAAGGCACATGCTTGACTTGACCTATAAATCATCCAACTATAACATCATCCAACATCATCCGACTATAACTGTCGAAGCATGCCTGGAGCTCCGCCTCTGAGGTCGCCCGGGCACTCACTTCTCGACCTGGTCCAAAGGTGAGGCTACCCAATGTCTCATCTTATGACAATTCCTTGGGGTACCCAATTTCAGACAAACTATGACAAACTCATATACATGTGTATATATATATATACGTTATATACGTATATCTTAAGGTTGTCTTTCAAGTGCAATCTGACTGACAGTAGAGCTGAACTGGCATAGAATTCTGTGATGCCTTCTGACCTACTTGCGCCAGAAAAAAAAAAACAGGGAAATGTCCCAGCTGCAGCGTTGCAACGTATCAGCAAATTCTGGTGAGTTCAATGAAGGAGGAAAATGTCATCACAGCCCATGCTGTTCTTTTCGAAGTAAACAACTTAATATTACAAACTAGATACCATCTGGTTATTTAACATAGCCATGAAAAATCCCTTATAAATGGAGCTTTCTAGCTGGGAAAATCATCTATTTCTATGGGCCATCTATACCATGGCTATGTTAAATAACCAGAGGGAATATCCAGTTACAACATGTTGGGTCTACCGGGGGGGTTTGCCCGGAATTTTAACATGTGGGGTGGGGTGGGGTGGGGTGTGTCAACGTTGGTGTTCATGTGTAATTACACATGGTACGCTGCTGGTGTGTTGATGTGTACACATGGTACGTGGGGTGGGGGTGGGGTGGGGTTTTTCAACGTTGGTGTTCATGTGTACACATGGTACGCTGCTGGTGTGTTGATGTGTACACATGGTACGCTGCTGTGTGTTGATGTGTACACATGGTGCGCTGCTGGTGTGTTCATGTGTACACATGGTGCGCTGCTGGTGTGTTGATGTGTACACATGGTACGTGGGGTGGGGTGGGGTGTGTCAACGTTGGTGTTCATGTGTACACATGGTACGCTGCTGGTGTGTTGATGTGTACACATGGTACGTGGGGTGGGGTGGGGTGGGGTGTCAACGTTGGTGTTCATGTGTACACATGGTACGCTGCTGGTGTGTTGATGTGTACACATGGTACGTGGGGTGGGGTGGGGTGTGTCAACGTTGGTGTTCATGTGTACACATGGTACGCTGCTGGTGTGTTGATGTGTACACATGGTGGGTGGGGTGGGGTCAACGTTGGTGTTCATGTGTACACATGGTACGCTGCTGGTGTGTTGATGTGTACACATGGTACGCTGCTGGTGTGTTGATGTGTACACATGGTACGCTGCTGGTGTGTTCATGTGTACACATGGTGCGCTGCTGGTGTGTTCATGTGTACACATGGTACGCTGCTGGTGTGTTCATGTGTGCACATGGTACGCTGCTGGTGTGTCATGTGCAAACGTATCATGCAATCGCAGTGTCATGTTTGATTGTCCATCGTTTCCTCATCTTGATTGGGTTCAATGTATTTCTTCTTGCCATGTGTCTCCTTTCTGTCTGACTCTTTCTGTTTACTTCTGGTGTATGTGATATATATATATATATATGTATGTATGTATACTTCATGTCTGTCTATATATGTATGCAAATCGTGTCAAATGGAAACGCTGTAAATTACAGGTGATTGTTGATTTTTCCGCCAGATTTGGCGAAAAAACTCAAGTTTGGACATTGTCAAAACATTCAATGATCAATTGCATCTGAAAAAAAAGATATGAAGTCTACTTGTGAACAACCACATTTTATATGAAAAAACACAGTAAAATCAACACCATGACTACAAGAACAACAAACGGCTGCGGATACTCATCACGCGTAGTCACAGTCGACCTTGTTCCAAGCCGGGCAAACCCCCCCGGCGGAGCCAACATGTTGTATAATCCATAAAAATCCATACAATCTATATAATCTACAAACTAGATATCTGAAACCTTCTAAAAACCCTCCCCTAAGGTTTTGCAAATGCTGAGCTGCTGAGCTTCCCACGTGTCACAGCTGTCACCTCCTCAATGGCCGCCAGGAAATCTGGAGCTGGGAGATCCTGAGGCTCTTGAGGAGACAAGTTGACGAGACAAGTTTGTAGAGTATGTATATATTATCTATGTATTTCTGGATTATATGCATGTATATCATGTATATATACATATATATATATATATGCATAGGCAAAGAATTGAACAGAAAGACTAAAAAAAAGTATCATGTAAAACAAAACCATATTATACCATATTAGTCAATCCAGCAGTTGTAGTCTTATTAAATTAACAGTACAGATGTACGACAGAACATACAATTATATAAAATGATAGACTATATGGCGTAGGCAATCACCACCAAGACACGCAATGGCACTATAAGCAAGGCAACTTTGAAATTTCTTCGAACATAGCACTATTTCAAGGAAATATCAGATTTTGGAAGCACAACATACTGATAGCCAAAGTTTCCGAGAGCAACTAATATTAATGTGTCATTGAATATTAAAACTAGCAAGCAACGGCAAGTACGGCTTGTTGGCTTGCTTATTGCTTGATTGAGTTCTTGCTTTTGCTAAGATCATGTGACATCCTAAAATTCACATGTCCTTATTTTCTGCAGACCGGGAAAAACCACATATACACACACTCGCTTGCGTGGACATAGGTGGTATACGTTATATCGCTACATAGTATATAATTTACAGTCTATATATATATACTAATATCGCTATATAAATAACATATAATATAACTGACATTCTATAATATGTATATATATATATATATCGCAATATACGCATGGTACTCAGATCTGAAACTAGTATATTGAGGGCTTTAGCGGCTAAGGGCGTCAGCCTTAGCAAAAAATCTGCAGGTGGCAAGTCTCCAGTGCAGCTGCCCGTTCTTGCACATGCATCAAGCGTTGTGCCAACTCAGGCGGCCTCAGGCTGTGTGCAGCGCCTCGAAGTTTTAAGGGTGTACCCACAAACATGATTAAAAAATAAGTAACAGTCCCACCATAGTGGATATATATGAATGTATTGTTCAAGGTATTTGGAGGGTCTAGGCATAGTGGCGAAGAATCTGCACTGCAACGCAGATTTCTTGGCTGTCTTTGGAATCTTTGGGTTTGCACAGAAATTTCCAACCAAACAAAAACTGGGGCCAAGCAGCACTTTCTCAGCCTCCAGATTGCAGCGTGAGCAGCTGCATTCAAAGCCTGCGGAATCGACATGTCAGTTGCGATTCACTTCAGATCGGGTAGATCCAGTACAGCACGCCCAAGTCATGCCTACAGTGCTTTTCCGCAAGGCACCGCTGTTTTCAAAAGTCACGCCTAAGTCATGCCTAAGGGGCTTTCCTGCAAGCCACCGCGATCATTGCAGCACTCATTTACAGTAATTGATGTGGTTTCAAAGTGTTCTCCTTCTTCTCTCCTTCCCTCCTTCTTCTGTCTTCCTTCTTCTACCGCCACTGTGGGCACCAATGGGCCCGAGCCATATCGCAAGCCATATGATCTGTATGTAATTTGCCAGGGTGGGGATCACTCGATGTAGGGTAATTCTTTGTGTTGCTGAGATTGTTGAAGGTAGGAGAAAAAACGACGTCAAAACGATGTACAAACGACGTAAGAAACGACGTTGGAACCAGACTCTATAGCCACTCCTGGCCAATACAGACACCAAGACAGTAAAAACTAGATAATCCAATGTCAGAACTATTGCAACGCATGATTGACCAAATCAGGCCACAAGGCAAGCATCCAGCAGATTTCCCAATGGCACCGCTGAATCCAAACAAACACATTATATATCCCCTAAGCAGGCTTTGATAGCAAAACACATAGACACCGCAACAAAACTCAAGAAAAGTGCACCAAACACATCAGAGGTCGCCCGTGTTTAGGGGGTAGGCACGACTTCTTACGTTAACTTCTCTGCAGCTAATTCTGGTATTCTGCAGCCCGTGGGCACGACATTGTCTGTTCCCTGTAGGTGGGGTATATCTGGCTTATTAGCTTCAGTTCAGTAGCTCAAAGAGCAGTTATACTTTCTTGACCAGATGGCAGAATTGGTTTCCTGAAACTTGCTGAGCATATCTTCAGCTGTCTCAACCCTCAACCTGCGGTTCTATGATGCGGAGGAACTGGTCTCTGAATGGGGCACCTTTAGACTGGGCCAAAACACATTGAGAGATCAAATACGATACGGTGTCCATCCCCCATGTTCGCTGGTTTAAATCCGGTTCAATCACTTAAAGGATTGATAAATAGATCAGCCCTTCATGGATTAAATCCCCAGTTGTTTCAATTTCCATCCGCACCATTCATCTGGCCGTTCAACGGCCACAAAAAACCATCCAGATGGTTTACTTCCCATCATCCCGTGGGAACCAAAAAATCCTGCACCAGCGGATGTTTGAAACATGTTGAAACCCACCGAAAACAAATGGGAATTGTTACGACGGATCATCAACACCTGTCAACTGCAGGGATTTCTTACACTATCCACATCCAAATCATCCTATTGGGTAACAGTTGGCAAATTAATTATAGTTGATGTTTGGATGGTATAACTGATAGTTTATCATCCCACATCATGCCATTGAGCGGGACAATCCCATTATATTCGATTATAACAGTTGGATAATCATAATGTATGGGTCGATCTATCCCATAACCACATTATAATCATCCCAATATCATTGGATCCAATTATCATCTCATTATCCATTATGGTCCCAACAATTGGATATCCATTATCATCCCACATCCCAACATTATGGTTGCTCTCAAAATGCTTGATGGTGGGGTAAAAATGCTTAACAAATCTTGATCAATTGGACAATCCATTAAAAATTGGTTAATGCCATTATCCAACTAACCATTATGATCCCAACTAACCATTGTCCATTATCATCCCGCATAGCCAATCATCCCATGGTTGCTCTAAAAAACATGGCGCTTTCATTTGCCGCCTTTCTGTCGCTTCAACTCGCTCCGCCGCAGTTCCACTGGCATCTGCAACTTGCCTTAGGGAAGGACACGGGCAGGGCGCCAATATTGATGTTCTATGCAAAGGCATAAATATGACACAATACACATTAATACTATGCATATATACTATATATATACTTACATATATACACACCTCTTTGTATATATATATATATATAACTGTAATGTATGTATATATCATAAGTATATATATATATCGTATACATAATATTCTTATATTATGTATATATATATATATGTATAGTTACTTATATAAGGAAACTTGCAACATTAGTATATATTTGTTCATTGCCATAAACAAGTGAGACATGATTAAAATCCATTCAAGTCTATGGAATATTTATATGGTTGATTCACTTCAATATTGACTATACTAGGTCCTGGTGAGTTAGGATTTAGCTGTTCCAGACAGTTGGGTTATCCCTGGGGCGGGCTCCTAACTCTTGTGCTGCCGAGGCTCAAGTTGTATTTTTTTAATGGTTCCAGCAGGGATGTGATAGGAGTCACGTACGCCTCTAGGTCCTACCTCATGTTTTTCCTAACATCCACAAAGAGCATCAAGTCACGCATCATGCGAAATTCAAAAGCAGGGAACGCCATGATAGAGCAGACTACATGAGTTAGGAAAAGAACTTGAAATTAACTTCCTTAGTTCCTATCTCTAATTGCACAAGCCCAGATTTTTTTCTAGCAAACCTTGCGCAAGGACACATGAGTTAGGACAAACTCTTGAAATTGATCAGGCTGCTTCCTATCTCATGTGCATCGGTAATTCTCACCGAGTTTTGTATTGACTGCCTCAAACACTAG